GACCCTTTGCAAGTTCAAACGTTGCTTCGCCTGTCCTGTCCTGTTTGCTCATTAGCGTGGAATCTTTCAGTTCTAAATTCGCTTCTTGTTTCTATCCTACAGGTTAGAAACATGAATCTGAATTATTGCGGGTAGGTACAAAGCGTGTAAGTTTACCATATCATGTGATTATGGTCTGGAAGAGCGTTCCCCAACATGGAAGGTGATGTCGGTCGCCACTCTACTGTAACGATCCTCAATAGTTTCCGCGATAATCCGATGAATACTCTCGCTTTCCTTCCATCTAATGGTTCATTTAATCTTGACATGCGCGATACATCAAATTCTGCTCCCGACATGGTAATTACCCGACCGGTCGTCCGTCCAGCAACGGCTATAAGCTCAACCCTGCTGACTTGCATCTTTATCTATGATCTCGATAAGCACGACGTCAGCGGAGATGAAGAGGATTAATTGACCCTCTCGGAAAATGGGATTGCTGCTGCCAAAGCTGTACCTGCCGAAGTCTACAACACTGGCCGCGCCGCGTCCCATGGTCTGTTTCCATATGGGATCTATCTATGCAGAAATCAAGTGCGTTGTAACTCGCATTAGCTGATCATGGAATTTTAGTGGAAGTCTACTACTACCAACCTGTAATAGGTGAAGTCTGCCATTGCTAGCCCGGTGAAGGATCTGTACGCCCATCAGACAGGGTATTAGGAGTTCAATTGAATCAGAAGCCTATGACTACAGTAGCATGCCCATTTTTAAGCCCCGTCAAAAACCAAAAGACTTTGAATGCTTGCCCTGCCAAATCCACTCTCCCGTATATTTTTTCGGCCACGGTGAACAGGGAACTCGGCCACCACGATAATGCTGACATTCTCGGCATCGATGCCAGCTTTCTTTAATAAAGTCAGGACCGCACACAGCGTTTTTCCCGTAGCGAGGACGTCGTCGACCATCACTACTGAAGCTCCTTTGGGAATCAAGTTCCGTTCCAACTCGAGGAACTTCTCGTATGGACTTTCAAACGCAGCAGACGAGATGTGCGACTTAATTGTACCAGCCGAAACGGTTGGGGGAGGAAGCTTTTTGGCTTCGCGAATCAGGGCTAAAGGTATCCCCATCTGTGTAGCCAATGGCGAGGCAAAAACAAAGCCACCAACCTCACAACACGCTACTGCTTTAATTTGGGTCCAGTCGCCTGTGAAGTGCTTTTGCAGCAGAGAAGTACAAAGGGCTAGCCCGGCAGGCTGCTGGGAGATATTGAGCACGTGACGGAACTCAATTCCTTGGCATGGGAAGTCAGGTACCGAGCGAACCATGTTGGCCAGCTGGGGAAAATCTTCGTCGATAAATGGAAGCAGAAAGTTTTGGCAAAATTCTGCTGCTGCCTGGCTTCCCATATGGTTGTTGTGGAACACGAAGTTTGGGCAATCGTCATGAATTTTCAGATTGGGGACATATTTCTTATTGTTCTCAGCTTCCAGGTGGCACTCAAAATCATTATCGCGATGGCACTCTCCTGGAGGACGCCCCGCCTCGTGAGTGGTCTGGACGCGGACCTCCAGCAATTTGCTGCTGGGCACCAAATGCGAAAAGGCTGCTACCGGCGCCTCGTCTCTCATTCCGGTGATTAGCAATACGTCAACTTCTTGGGCGTCACGCACGATGTCCAAGAAATGCTCCTCCGGCAACCCCGGCCGATCCTGCAATTGCTCGCGGTAGAACCTTGTGAGCGCTGGTCGGTGCTGCTCTTTGTAGGCACGGTCTTCAAGCAAGCGATTCAAATTGGCCCCTGTAGCTATCGCGTACTCACTCTTCGTCGCATCGCTAATGCTAACTGCGCGCACCTTGAGACCTTCAGGGTTATACGCTATGAATATGGAGGCCCAGATGCTAGCGCAATAGTCCTTGCCGGCGCCGTTTTCTCCCGTAACGAGGATTATCAGCTTTTGTTCCATCGCTATCCTTCGAAGCGGACAGGCGTATGCCAGCACGTTCTTTGGATCTGATCTTTGCTTTAGGCAAGCCAAGCGGTTCCGATTCCTCCCAAACGCCTTAGCTGCGAGGAAGGCGTCTCTGGGGTCTGGCCCAAGATCTGCGCCGTAAACTCCACTACTGAAGGGGAGTAGATCGCGGGTAACATTGTAAACCCATTTCGTGGCTGCTTGAGCAGATTTGGTTCCGTCTTGGCTGCGAGCCCAGACGCCGGTGATGACACAGGCAAAGTCCCAATCCCTGCAGCCAAAAGCGGTCACATCGGCCGCCACGTCGCGGATCGCTCCCCCGCCTTGCAGTAGATGGAGGTAGCAAAGCGATGTCGGACGATTCTCAACTGCCGCCACTAAGCAGTCTGTAATGCTCAGTGTTCCAATATTCTTCAAGAATAAACATCGTTTGAAAGAGGACGTCTTGCCGCCCCCGTGCCCGCCGTGCATTTTTGACACATAGGTATCGGCCTCGAACAAACCAACGCTGTCCACGACTTTAACACTGTTTTCCGGGCCAAAAGGTGTCTCTGGTGGCATATGTTGTGGCTTTGACTCTTCATACATAGATTCAGCCGGAATGGTCTCGAATAGGGCGACTCCAAGATGCATCTGGCCAGTCTCCCAGTATAAATATGCATCCGCTGAACAGTTCTGGGAAAGGCCTCCCGCGAATTCGTTAAAATCGCTAAGCTTTTGGCGTGCCTCGATGCCGTCGCTTACTGGCACATCCCAATTTCGAATCAAGATGGACGGAGCCGCGCAAGCTTTGAAAGTAACACTGATCACGATGCCAATATTGGTACCAGCCCCTTTAATTGCCCATAGCAGCTCGTTCTCGTTACTGGGTCTTTCAGCACCGGTAGGCTGGTGTTCGCTCGGAACATGGCCAATACAGAAGACCCGGCTTGAATCAACGCTGACGACCACAGCACCGACGATGGCGTCGCACGTGAGACCATGCAATCTCGCCAAATGTCCGATACCCCCTTGTAGCCATAACCCGCACCCAACGCTTGGGCGAGCTCCCAGAGGCACTGTGACGCCCTCTGACATGGCTTTATGGACAATATCCCCGGACTTGCAGCCGGCCTCTGCGACAACCAACAGTTCTGAATCAGGAGTGGATTTTTCCTCGCCACCCACTGCCCTCACAACATGTACCTGGTTAAAAGCACTCATATCGACTGAAACAACAATCGGCCAAAGGCAGTGGCCGCTGTGACTCCCACCAACAATGGTCAGATTAAGCCGATATTCTAGGGCCCACCGAACACATTGCTGGACATGCCTGATCTCCTTCGGTCTAATAATTCGAGCGGGATGGTGAAGGCGTGCCTCTCGATTTTTGATCGTCTCATTGCCTTGCAAAAACGGCACTTGTCTCACTAGCTCTTGTAATGCGGTTGCATGTCTTGTGAAAGAAGCCATGAGGTTGGGTGAACTGAAGAGAAGACGGTGTGGTTCAGCTTCTTCATGACCGCCCAGGCTGCGGCACAAGTTACGCCATTCAAGTTGGGCGATTTTGTCGGTCTCTTCATCCTGCATGACGAACCCGGCCATGAAACGAGAAAAGCGGTCGATTTCATCATCTTCATTCGCCACAGAAACTATTCCAGTGGGGAAAGACGCCATTTTGTGAGACACCAGCCCGTTGAGGTCCAAAGACCGACCGCGATGGAAAACCACTACCATACCAGCTTCGGGCAGCTCAACCAGCATATCAAGCACTTGCTCAAGGAACTGATGTTTGGGTTTCATGCCATACATGCTATGGCAGAGTATGATGACGTTGAATCTCTCGCCAGCTTCACTCGGACTGCCACTTTTATCCCTACCGCTGTGTTTCAGGACGAATGGCTTTCGATGGATGGACGGTCGTTGCTTCAGGTTGGGCAATGGGTGCTCCTTGATTGATTTGGCGCAAAGCCATTTTTCCAATTCGGTGGCGAACAGACCATTAGGCTCATACGCGGCGTATTTACTCACTGTCGCTCTGAGATGGGCCGGCAGATGTCCAAGTATGCTTTTCGGACCGGGCCCGATTTCCAATACCGAGATAGGAATGCGAGACGCGTAAAGAGGCGCCAGTAGCTCGGAGACCTGAGGGATAATGAAGTCTCGATAAGTGATCCACCCTGGGCCTTGCACCAAGATATCAAATCCTGCGCTATATTGTGCGTCTGATAACGGCTTTTGAAGGGATGCCGTTGTTTCAAAGGCCTCCTTTCGGAGAGCCTGCTGGAGATAGTTGAGATCAGCCATATCTTGACTTGAAAGGATAATCGATGTAGCGTCTCTGATCGATAATAAATTCCTCCAGCTGGTTGTTGGTTGGGATGAAGAGTGTTTCACGGTGGGGTTCCGAGTTCTAGTCCAAACCAGCACGTGTCTAGTAAGTAGGGGTCCACGTGGGTAAAACTCATAGGTTGGCATCAAGCCATTACCATAGCTACTATGGGGATTATCTCACACCAATAGATTTCTGCCTTCTGTCATCGGATAAGGATTTTGAGTGTGACTTTGCACAAGTGAGGCTTGGCTCCCGTGAGACGGTGTATGTGCAAATCAAATTTTAGTCATTATCTCGAGACTGGTAATAACTGGTAATACCTTTTCAGACTAACGGGGATAGTTTTGTGGTAGTATCTGACCAGATGATACTATCAAGCACTGACCCCTGGTCTAGAGCCCTAACGCCGTAATAAAGCCTCTCTCGCATGTTGGGCGGCAATTATCCCTCTGACACCTGCAGGTCTTACTTCAAATACTCGTGCCTGTAGTCATTCCATTTCAGCACTATTCGCTCCGTGCAACGACTCTCAGCGATATTAAGCGAAGGAAGAGATTTATGCTCTACTGTCCTATCTCCTTCTGTGGCTCATTATCACCTTTCCCCTCCAACAAAAACAGAAGCTGCCAGTAACATAGAGCTTCTGCGCTAGCCTACTGAGATATATTATTGGATCATTTGGGTTTATTATGATCAACGACCAATCAACTATTATTTGTGATCTACCAGGTAGAAGTAGACAATTGACCATACAGTCGACTGTCAGTCCTCCCGCTCCTGCTGATGGCCCAAACCCACCAGTCGACCCTAATGATCTGAGCTGGCCTGGTAAGCTATTTCAAACTGAACCTTTGTGGACCGGTTGGACTTATATTTTCCAAATTATAAATCTAGGCCCAAGCGAAAAAAGGCCTCTGGGGTCGATAGGTGACGAAAATGAAGAGCGAATTCAGAAGCTTGCGGAAGCCGTGCGGATAATATTGAAGTGCGTTGGTGAAAACCCGGAGCGAGAGGGTCTACTCCAGACTCCAGAGCGATATGCCAAGGCCATGCTCTATTTCACCAAGGGTTATGAGGAGAGAGTTGAGGATCTGGTTAATGGGGCTATTTTCCATGAGAACCATGACGAAATGGTCGTTGTGAAAGATATCGATATCTCTTCTCTCTGCGAACACCACATGGTTCCATTCACTGGAAAGGTATGGACTTCGGTATAAGTTGCTCGCGTATTGAACTGACAGTACGAGGCAGATGCACATCGGTTACATTCCAGATCGCCGTGTCCTTGGTCTCTCCAAACTAGCCCGACTGGCAGAGATGTTCGCTCGCAGACTCCAAGTTCAAGAGCGTTTGACTAAAGAAGTTGCTATTGCCATTTCAGATGTCCTTAAACCCTATGGTGTCGGCGTCGTGATGAGCTCCTCCCACTTTTGCATGGTTATGCGCGGCATACAGAAGGTTGGAAGCACTACCACCACTAGCTGCATGCTGGGATGCATGCGCTCAAACGCGCAGACTAGGGAGGAGTTTCTGACACTTCTAGCCCGAATTTGATGTTTTTATCACCTTTTGTGACTCTTGATCTTTTTTTGTGCGTTTTTCCGAAGCCAGAATGAAATTTTAGGTCGCAATTTCGAATCGAATTTTTCAAAGATGACCATAGTCTTTATTCACGTCACCCTGTCGTAGACAGACTGTGCAAGCTGCAAATTTGTACTTTACGTGAAGATGGTTGTACAATATATTTCTATAAAAAGACAAATATTTCCCACATGGGTAGTAAGTTGGTATTTGAGACTCCTTGACTTTCAGTGGAGACGATTGTGTTGCATGTGAAGAAAGCTTGGCATGTTGAGTATTGTTGCGGTAATAAATGCCCTGAACAGTGTCGCCCTTTGGAGTTTCAATCATGCGGGAAAAATGATAGCACCCAGACAGATGTTAATGAAAATATATCAGAGGTTGGATTCAGTGACGTTCCACTTGAAACGCACGACGCAACATACCTTTATCTCCGCTAGACGGTGATTTAGAATATAGCAGGCCCACAATCCAGGAGGCCTACAACGCAGGAGGCCCACGATGCGGGAGGCCCATAATGCAGGGCGTCGTCAACGTGCGAGAGATATTAAACAGTGTTCCAATACAAGCTGCGAGATCGATGCGAGCTGTCCAATCACCAGTTTCCGAAAATTCTGCGCTGCCAGGGTATATTATTGAAACCTGCACTTTTCATTCTAGATGGCAAAAGGGCTTATTGGCCGGGTGGGTACACGGCTATATGTCTGTTTTTCCGTAGAACATAATCGGACAGAACAGCGCGTGACCTCTATTCAGACGCCACAATATGTATGGCAAGTACGTTTAGTGGCTAAAGGAATTATCTGGTTCCCCGAAAGGGCTCAGAATGATATTTCTGGCTATCCAAATTGGTGATTGGTGGTAGTAAGTGGTGGTATTAAAGAGACAGGTTCTCATTTAGCTTTTTGCAAATCCCCTTTGCCGCCAGATGTGCCGCTTCTTTCTTTGTCCTAGCTTGGCCAGCACAAGTCATATCTCCGTATTCAACCGTTATCTTGAATAAAGGCGGGTCATGTGAGACGATTTCTTCTTTAGTTCGCCGAAATATTCTCCCCTCTTTCTGAGCCATCTCATTCAGTCTGGACGTATAACGATGGAGGCCGCCGGTGCGATTGGTGCTTTTTTCATGTTGCATTCGACTCAAGCTGGAGAAGCTGACGGTGGTTCCAGTAAACATACTTCGTGGCTATTATGGCGAGTTTGTTCCGAAGTGGGACATGCAAAGAGATCGGCGAGACCCCAAAGAAGAATAGGTCGGTCTGAATCAAGGCAGTGCCGATAGATCTGTCCTAATAAAGTGATTGTATGATCTCGAACATTGCTTTCTCCAAGATCTCGCTCGTTCAAGCCATGAATATCTTTCAGTGAGGCCATCATCCCATGCCAGTTGAATGTCTGGAAATCATGATTCACATGATTCTGCGTATGCGTGAGTTCGAAAACCAACGAGAAGGACGGAAAGGTGAACTCACTTCGACCTCACTACGCGACATTCCGATGCTTGCGACGGATGAAGTGACCCATAAGCGATGCACAAGATTCCCAATGAGATAGTCTTTATAGAGTGTCAGCTTCGATTCGATACGAAGAGAAAAAAGTTATTAGGCTTACCATCGGATCCGGGTAGTTGAATATCATCTTGTGAATTGGCCATGGTGATGCTCTGGGGTAAAATAAGAGCAGTGATTCAAATCGATGATAACGAAGAGTGAGGATGTAACCTGGATGACCTCCCTCGTCCACCCTTTAAACCCCAATTTAAAATGAAAAAGGAAAGTCAAATTCGCATTGATTGCTTCCTGCACCGAAGCCCAAGTCCTGCAAAATATCTCACTTGCGCTCAGCCAAGAGCGAAAGAGATTAATAATATGATGGTGTATCGGTGGATGTCTTGTCAATTATGTAGATGGTGACGTGTCATCTTTCAGCTATGCCATTTTCGTAAGGGCCTTATCAGGAGCGCCATAGGTGATCTTGCACGTAGGAATGGACTCAGTGCTTCTACAAAGAAACACCTGTTTGACGGCGGAAAGTGACAATTGGTCTCAATACTGTATCAAAACACAGTCCATACAGAGAAAAATATAATGTGCAACTCATTTGACTTCGCATTGATCTAGTTTAGAATAGTATCATTGTTACCAAAACGGTGAATGAGAAAATCCAGAATGGTCCTATCTTCTCATTCTTAGTTTTGCTGTTTTAAAATATCACTGTGAAACCCTTCAGCCAAGTTCCAGCGACTCTGGCCGAGATATACATGAATGGATAAAAGATGCAATTCTACCTAATTTTACTTGAGCAGATATTCGTCTAGTCTGAGACAAAAATTGCTTAATAGAGTGTAGCATCGTATTAAAAGCAATACATTTGTTTTCTACTCAACAACTAACCCAGACTTAGATAATAGTCTTGATTTGCAGGCGCCAGAGGAAACAGGTAAGTTTGTTTTTCATTTAATGGGGTTTTTTATCTATAGTTATCTACTTAGTATGATGACAAATGACTTGGAACTTGTCTCGGGAAATCCGGCTTTACGCGACTGATATGCTTTCTGTTAAAAATGCAGTTGCTGAAACCGTGAAAGTATGAAATAGGTAGAGCTTTCACTAATGCTTACAGAACTATACGAACAGACAAGGTGCGGGCAGTCATGAGCAAATCTATTGACACGTGGGTTTGCATCTGGGCTGGTGATGTTCCCACAATTTTAGATTTTTGATTGGTCGAAGTCTGGATCGGTGGCTTCCCGCATTGTTGTGTTGTTCATGCGCAAATTTGATGGCCCGGCGCTACGCCACTCATTCATCTCCATTCAACATCCTACAAAATATGTCCGTAATAATGAACTCTCAAGTTTCCAGCTAGTTGCCCCCAAATATCCGCATACTTAAAGCCGTCCCCTCCAGAACACAGGTACTCATTCTGTCTTTATAATGAATCCGTTGCCCCGCTAATCGGCGGCGTTTTGAAGATAATACGTGACAACGCATTTATTCCAATGCCTTCTCAGATCTACAAAAAGCCTCGGCCTGAAATGTTTCTAGACAGATTTGAAGTCAAACCTGACGTGACCGGTCCCCCCAGGCTGGGTCTTTACCACAAACTTCTCAGTAGGTTTTATGAGCCCTTGGTGCTTCTGCGATTGCTTGGGCAGAGCCGCGGCACTCACAAAACGTACCCACATGATCTAGACAACTCCCAGTCAGATCGTTGACAGTTCTTACAAAACCTTGCCTATATCTGTGACTTCGATAAGGGCGGTGACACTTGCACCGCCATCAGGCTTGAAGAGCTTGATGCATGTTACAGGTTTTGGACTGCATCAAATGAAGGAACACCCAAAATCCCGGAGTTCCTCACAATTACCCTTCAGAGGTTGGGTGAGATCTCGAGCTCTCCAGAATCAGAATTCCAACCCAAGGGAAAAGAATTTTCCAACCTTTGTGTTGATTTTGCGAAATCCCGCATTTGTAAGGAAAGCAAGTGTCTTTCTGCGGCAGTGAAAGCTTGCCAACGGGAATTGTCTTCTCAGGACACGAAAGAAGGTATTTCTTGAAATATATGACGTGAAAACCTACGACCGCTGACATCCTGACAGCCACAGAATTGAGCAAGTGGTTGGATTTACTTTTAAACTTTGAGGATCACTTTCAGCTTTGCAAATTTGTCTATGAAAATCGACATTCGGAATTTGTTTCACAATTGCGGATCCTGTCTAAAAAGCAAGACGACCAGCTTTCTCGTGAAAATTATAATGAACCCTTTTCATCCGCGAGACATTATATTGGAAGACTTGCCCACCACATCCGAGCATCGAAGGAGCTTTGCGACACCTCCAGGGATATGAGCCACATCCTTCAGACATTTGAAGTTCATGCTGTCGCTGGCATCTCACCCGTACCCCCAACGGCACCTGACAGACATACCAACCTTCACGGTATTTTGAATCGTATGTTCAAAAACAATAATAGTGAACGACTTGAGGTTGAGAGTGGTCTGCTTAAATGGAATCGTATCGAACCCATTTTCCAGAGGTTTACGAACGACTACCAGAATCTACGTCCACGCATCCACGCGGAGGTACAGGTTCTGGAATACTTTTATCGCAATTGCATGAATTTTTCGGGAGAAGATGCTTTCATTGCTTGTAGCAAAGCTGCTTGTTTTTGTTGTGAGATGTATTTCCAGTATCACCCTGCTCGAGTGGTTGTTCCGGAATCGCATCAAAATATCTGGACAAATTAGTCACCGCCTTGCGTGAGCGACTTTTCTAAATCCAATTCTGCGGCCAAAGAACAATTGGATATACTAAATAAAATGGTTGATCGACTTCGAGAACTGGCTATCAATCAAATCCTTGGGAAATCGTCAGCTGTAAACAAGCATCCTGATTCAAGGACAGGTATCACAGAACTTCCACGCCCTAGCTCATCTGCGATGGTTTGCAATCTTCAGCAGGAAAACCTAACAACCTCATTCACCGAGCATTCCATTGGCCAGAAGTTGTCAAAATTGACGTTATATCCTCACAAGGTGTCCACTAATTTTGAGGAACTTGGAAATGATGAAGAATTTGACGTTGAGAACGGAGGCGTCCCCCTTTATGTTTAAATCGAATGAGACGATCTTTAATTGGAGAAGCTCTGGATTATCTTACAGTATTATTGACTCACAAAATCGAATACAGTACTCATCTTTTCTTATACGGTCTAACAATTCTAAGCTTTGTGCCCAAGAGTTTACCAAAAGCCGCCAAGTTCTCACCGGTCTTGTCTTCAAGTTGTAAAAAATTGAAGTCGCAGAAAGAGATCTTGCACGACCAGAGTAATTAAAAATCGCAGCTATCCTCAAATTGACAGTGAAGTCTATCCACTTCACCGATAAACTGATTTGGAATATGATCATTCCTATACTAACTAAGACCCGGGTAAATCTAAACGATTTTCCCAATTCCATAGATCTGCATCGCTTTTTCTCAATGTAAGGTCTCTTGAACCTAGTTTTCCAAATCCGATAAACTGATTTGGAATATGATCATTCCTATACTAACTAAGACCCGGGTAAATCTAAACGATTTTCCCAATTCCATAGATCTGCATCGCTTTTTCTCAATGTAAGGTCTCTTGAACCTAGTTTTCCAAATCCGATCATCCTCCCGCATACTGACTACCATATTCTTTTGACAGTTTAGGTACTTTATTTGCCGTGGTCTATGTACAGTCAAATTTATTTACAGATGATTTCGAAAACAACTTACCCCCCAGGCACACACGGTTTCTTTCCCAAAGACGATCGCCGGGTTTCAGATTCTCCCACAGCCAGTAAGACGGCGTTGCGCGTCACCGAAGATACAACCAATATGGTTGGTCCACTAACGGTAGACGGAATTTTGCCAACACACTGTGCATGAGTGCACCTCACTCACTTGGGAGTCATGCATGAGGTAGACTGGTTTAGCGATGACGTGGGCGAATGACAAATGGGCACAGTGGGCTTTTGGAAACCAATATGTAGCCCGGAACGGACATTGCGAGTCATCTGAGTATATATATCCTCAAATTTAGGGAACGAACCTCGAGAAAACGAAGTGAACAGCCACACTCCACTCCTTCAAGATAGCGAGTGTCAGATGATCTGGCAACCGACCAGAGAAAAATGGATGAAGTTATTCGCACAAATGAGTCTCTTTAGAGCAAGATTTGTGAAGACTATCTGCTTCATCTGGAATCCGATGTCAGTTCTTATAATCCGACATACTTCACCAGCGACATCACAGAAACGGAAGCCGATAACCCCATCACGTCAGACATGCCATCTATCGGCGATGCTATATTCGAAGAGGCTGAGATGCCTTCGTATGATAACATCGCGCCGTCGTCACACGATGGGCTTTTCCACTGCCAAGTTTTGAGATGTCGTGAAAAGGCTGGCTTCCTTCGAAAGTGTGATTTAAGGTGAGCTTCCTATCCGTTACAAAAGCCTCCCGCATTCTGAGTTTTTAGAAAACACATGCGAGTCCATGTTCTACCTGTCAAATGCAAGATATGTTTCTACGCTGCGGCTGAGCGGAGAGACGTTTATCGGCATGTCACTGTTGCTCACAAGGAACTGGCAAAGAAGACTTGGGGCGTCAAAACTTTCATTTATTGCTCGTGTGGAACAACTTTCACCCGGAAAGACAATGCTCAGAGACACTGTAAATCGAGCCAATGTACCCTTCAGCACAGTTGATATTCCTATTGAAAGATAATTCAAAATAAATATCGTCAGCTCCTGGTGTTAGCGAACCAGTCTTATTTTCCAACTGTGGTCTACTCATAAGTCTAGCGGGCTAAAATTTTCAACAATTTCATGAATTCAAAGCCAAGAAATTGCCCCATAAGCAACCTTATTCTCAAACCTTCCATGAAATAAAAGGCACTGGCAACCTAACGTGACCTGAATGCAACTTTCCTGTTGTAGAAGTACAATGCGGGAGGCCCACGATGATTTGCGAACGGATAATGAAGATTTCAATGCAAGGCTCGGCTCATGGATAATAGATGAGAGTTAACATCTGGCTCTTAAAACACCCGGAATGGCATTGGTTCTATATGTCAACAAAAAGCCAACGCCAAAATATAGCAGGTTACTGTTCCGCGATATTGATATGAAGTCGCCTGCTGGCAAATATAGCAATTACTCATTGATCGTGTTGTTCAGCAGCCCCTTACAATACCACTATATTGCCTTCCATGCAATTAGCGCACTTGTTTCCTGCTGTGTCACTGTCTTTCCGTGGGCAATCCCGAGACTGATGGCCCTCGGCGCAGTACACGCACTTAACGGTGTTGGCACAGGTGGATCCTATGTGTCCATATTGTTGACAGTTGAAGCACTGATGCACACGAGCCGCCCTATCGTATAGGACAGCTGTCAGATTGTCGCAATCCCAGAGGACCCCCTTATCGATCGCCACATTGGCCGGCACTGGCGAGGTGAATTCGACGATTAACGAGCCGCTTTTCCCTGATGGGATGCGAAGCCAGCTAATTTTGGTAATCTCTGCCCCCTCGCCCCAGTACTGCATGTTGCTAGCTAATAGGTCTTTGATCACCCTGTCTTGCGGTATGTCCTCCGAGGCCTTGTTAACGCCAAGCGATCGCACGTTGACGTCGTGCACGATAACGCCCCACGTCGGCATGTGTACGAACGCCGTTTTGCAGAGACCTTTCGGCCACTTATCCCGGTGGACTCGCATGATCTCGGCTTCCTTCGCATTGTTATGACGTCATAAGCGGGAATGGTGTTTAGTTTAGGTTTAGTGTCGGAAATTGCAATTCCGACCATTTTTTAAACTACACAATTGAAATCCTGCCCTGGGTCTTCCTCTCCCCACCGCCGCATTGGGCCACCTCCCACAAGGGGGCGGGGAACAAAGATCACTTATTCACTATTTTGCGGGACGGGGGTGATGCCGACTATGCGGAGCTGGCTCAGTGACTTCGCCGTCCAAGGCTTAGAGAACAGAACAAGAGGGAAAATCGTATGCCAGGGGAAATTTACAAGAAGTATCCTGGATAACAGCTTTTTACAGATACACGTGACACATAAATTTCTATGGAGCCGACCGTTTATCAAGGACTTTTATGCATTAACCTGCTCCGGCTCGCTAAAATAGCGGCTGCAGTGAACTTTGTAGTTTACAGTTATGATGCAGGTGTACTGGGAGGAGTTCAGTGTACGAGACCGTTTCATGATACCATTAGGGTAAAGCGCTGGGTTTACCGCCTCGTCATTGACCATTGCGGTTTAATTACGGGCCCTGGTTCATTAACTGCTTTTAAAACTCGTCAGAATCCGTAGTCTGGCTAGCCATTTTGAATTGGGTTACAGTCCCGCTTCACCTTCACCTCCCTTGTCGTGATGTCTATTCTACCCCTGTGGGCTTAATTATCCACTCTGAGCCTAATGAACAGCTGTTCGAAATCTTCTATTTGGAATATAGACACCTTTACTGTCTCATGTGACGAGCTCTAACGTACCTTTTGGCAGACCCCACTGGTACTATGTAAATGTGGCGAACAAGAGGGGGATTATCGATATAATCCAATATAAACTCCCCGAGAAGCCGAAGAAATGCACAGGTTTTAGCGAGTATAAAGCTCGAAGACAAAGTTGGAAATGGATCCAAGGGTATGGATCTGATCTGGTCAGTTTCTTCGGCTTCATCGTTCTATTCGAATTCAGACACTTTGCCCAGAGGCTACGTACTAGGTTCACCCTCTAATACTCGAAAATCTGATGGGCAGTTCAACCTTTGCGATTTTCAACCTTTATAATTACAACTCACTTCCTAGGTATCAGTATTATGGTCTGATTACCACTACCATTTTGCTAAATTCGACCATGCTGCTTTCCTGTCCCAAGGTCTTGTGGCAGCGTTGAACACTCAGGTATAAGACTAGGTGGACCAAGTCTGAGAAAGGGGATTTAGTCTGATAGTCGTTTGGCCTAGCTTGCCTTTAGCTGTGTGGCGATACCACTGACTCCTGGTTGATTTGGACGTCGCAAACTGTAACTAGCCGAAAATCTTGCAACGGCTCTAATGGAAAACAGAATCCTTGGTGCCACCACTTTTCACTGAAGCATATTAAAGTGGTCACGACTAAATTATAATCCAACGTCAAAGGGACGTTTCTGACTACGGAACCAGTAGGTTGGAATAAAGCAAAGCAGGGTTGCTCTGTTGAAATGTGTCGGGCTGCTGTTCACTGCTTGCGTATGTTCGTATTCGTGTTCACATAAGGACATATCCGTCTCATTACATATCCGCCAGTTTCACTATGCTCTCATGTTCGTACGAAACGGAGTCAACGTGGTCGCACTGCCGGGAATAATTGCTTGACTTTCCTAAAAGGGCAGATTTTATTTCCTTTTGCTCTGCTAGTTTCTTTACAACGGACAGTGCAATTACCACTATTTTACAGAACGGAGAGGAAGTTAAACAACAATAGGGAGGGTGATGCAACAATAGTGATACTGCACGTCGTTTGAAAAGATGTTCAGATGAAGGAGTACAATCTTGACAACCTCGTAAATTAGATAAAGTGCGGAAAACGTAACAATTGTCCTTGATTGATTCGAGTCGTTACTCTGACTTCACTTGGCCAGAGTCGTAGGTGGACTGCTACGTCCAGCATGCAGCCCTCCGGTTATAAGGATATCATTCCCGGTTACGTACGATGATGCATCGCTCAAGTAGTAGGCAACTGCACCTTTGATATCCGCCCGATTGCCTATACGACCAAGTGGGGGGTCTTCTTTCATGAGAGCTGCGAGAGATGGGAACTGCTCCATAACCCCTTCGATCATTGCAGTATAAATATATCTGAAGACGGTTAGTCTCGAAGGCAAAACAAATTCGATCAAGAAATAGAAAGCCGGATCCTACCCTGGAGAAATAGTGTTCACACGGATATTCTTCGGTCCAAGTTCAACAGCTAGTGCATGGCCTAGAGCCTTGACAGCCCCTTTAGAAGCAGAATATGCGGAGACATGCTGAGTCGGCAGAGTTTGGTGAGCACAGATGGACGCAATCAGCACAATGCTGCCTCCGGTGCCTTGAGTCTCCATTTGTCTCGCAGCCAACTGGGCGCTGAAGTAAGTGCCGACCACCTAGAACGTTGTATTATCTCAGCTACATGGGACCTGAACCCCGGGGAATGTGATCCTACATTGACCATCTGAGCCCGGGTGACGCTCTCCCAAGTATCTTCAAGGAACGGTGCATCGTAGACAATACCCGCCGCAGCAACGCTGCCCGTCACCATTAGTGGCTGATTCAAAGAGATTGAATATTGCGCCTCACCATCCATCGATTCGCCCAAATTCCTCAACGACTTGAGCGACTGAATTTTCTAGTGATTCTTTCTCGGTCACATCTGTGCTATTCGTACGGGATAGCCACATTAGCTCTGACCCAAGTTGATATTCTGCTTACAACGTAGAAAAATTGACATACCGGTAATACCGGGCCTTGATGCCAAAAACCTTCTCTAACTCGTGAAATTCGTCATCGGGCTGCGGAAGGTAGTCCAGCACCGCAACATTCCCTCCCAATTCTGCTACCTGGCGAGCCAAAGCCAGTCCAATACCTCTGGCACCACCTAGACAAAAATCAATACCATCCGGGTGTTACAGATAAAGAGACACAGTGTCTGGTGGGCCCAACAAACCTGTAACCACAGCCGTCTTGTCTTTATAGCTCAAGTGGGATTGTAATGGGGTCTTGTAGGCATCATCCACAATTTGCTTATGACTCGCCATGATGAATAGCCACCTATTAGCAGGAAGAGTGCTTTGTTTTAACAAAGAAAGCTGTGTTTAGTCCAGAGGGCAAGTCAGATAGTGCAGTAGTAGAGTGGAAATCTGCGATTCATCCAATCTTCAGGTTGTGGTTTTAAAGGAATGGATACCTAGCGTTTAGCCGGTTCGGTCACATCCAACCCAAATGGATCGTATTGTTCGGATATCCTAGTTGCGTCCCGGCATGCCTCGGTAGTGTTGGTATTACCGAGGTTCTTTTCCAGTTACGTGAAACTTATTGTTCATGGAAGTGTCATTTATCGAACTACTCCATAGCCACTGAAAAAAACCCCCGCAAAAGATTTTTGAAGCGTCTGGGCAGTCAGAAGTGAGCAGCTGCATAGTTCTGTACCTTCTTACAATAAAACCGAAAGGACTATCTTTTGAAGGTGAACTCAAGAGAGGCCATCCCCTGTGCAACGGCGGCGAGACATTCTTTATCTTCATAGTTTCTTTGGCCAGTAGAATTACCTGGAGCGCTCGTATTGTGACCATGAGGGACATAGTTACAAGTCAAATAGGCAGAGGTGGATAAAATCAATGAAGCACGTGTTCTCCAGGGTGTGGCCGCAGTTGACATACAAATGAACCAACACGCAATGAAGCCGATGTTGTAATTCGTTTGCAAGGGAGTACATTTTTGCTCGTACACATTAACATCCGGGCAATGGCTGATGCGGGTTTTCTGCAAATACAGCCCATGTCTCGCGCGTCGGGGACACTGAGTGTGCTGTGGATCACGAAACAATGATTACCAAAGATTAGGATTTTGCTATATGAATATTTCATACTGCTTGATGTTAATAGACTATTTCGATTTTTTTTTTACAAAAACATTAGAAGAGCACTGTATGTAAACTGTATGAAAAACGGCACATATATATTGTCCGAATTATCAGGGTAAACCGAATGTCAGTGGATACTGATTGAACGATCTAGCAAGGTTTTCTGTCCATTAAAAAACCACGAAGCAGTAAAGCTATTGGGACAATGGGGACAGGTGTATATCTCGTTGACTATTTGTTCGGCAGAATATAAGGCCACTGCTGCAACGTAGCCTACCATGTTTCACGAAATGATTCCATCACTTTGTAAAATATATATTGTCGTGGGGGATCCAATGACATTATGTGGCTTAGTCGTTCCTGTTTTGCTGTCTGTTTGTCTGGTTTTTTTGGGCGGATTTCTGCGGAAATCGTAGGCTTTAGAGCGGCCAAGTGAAAGATATATAGAATATGGGCAAACACAACACATACGAGCGAAGAGAAGGTCGAGAATGGACGTGCTTTCTGTGAAGTTTTTCCTGTTATTTTTCTAGCTCCTATTTCTGGACGTGACGTTTATGCATTTCTATCGAGGCTGATGGATACGGGTCTACTACCAAACGTGCGATTGCATCATCTTATTGCCTCTCTTATGGCAGCTTCGCTGTTGGAGGTTTGCTCTGCCTCTGCCTACGACCCTGGCCCTTGTTCTCTCTCGTGCCTCGACCTCCCTGTGCCCACCAGGCTGCCTTGAGCTTCCCCACTTCAATATCTATGATAATGAATTTAGCCCAGACTAGCTAGATCGCCGCAAACTGGGAATTTATGGTATATTTGCATTGAGTGCACACTGGATCAGTAGATCTCCAGAATAACCCTGACCCGATTGTCATCTCTCGGTCATTTCTATGTGGCTGCTATATTCCATGGGAATTCCGATCATCATTCACTTGAGACATCTGGATGCTAGCATTAACCGCATTTATCATTGGCGGACATCCCATGGATTCACTCCAATTTCCATGCCAAGTCGGCATACAAGAGTTCTGGATTAATAGCAATGAGGCGCATAGATCCAGCATATATACCCAAAGTAAGCTGTTGGTCGTATTTTAGCCTCGGTCCTGCTGAATACGCCGATATTTATGCAAGCCCTCACGTTTGCGCGGAGGCTAAGATCGACCGCTAGCATCACCTGTTCCACAATCCTCGAGAATCCTGGGTGAATGGTGCCTCATCTGTTCACAACACAACCAGCGACTGTAACATGGCAACACTTGGGCTGTCCAATTCGACTTCCAACAAACCTTCAGGGAGAGGGCAAACGGATTCAGCAAATCCAGTAGAGGATGTCCATTAATATTGCATTGCCCAGCACTTCAAAGGAATAGGAGCAAGAATTCCACATTATGTGAATGGTCTAGACCTTGATTTTGAGCCTCACAATGGTGTCCATGGATAACATACGGATCGGGGCTTTCCGAGGAGAGATACAACTTAATGAAATGGCCTTTTAGGTCTCCTAGAACCTCCTGTCCCAGTCCAGTTTTCTCGAAAATTGCCTGAGGATCCTTGCGTAAAGCGTTACGATAGAACAAAGGATCAAAAGGCCGTTGCTGTGCCAAATGGGGATTCGATGGGGCTCCAAAGAAGCATAGACCTCCCTCCATTGTTGGCAACCAGGATAGATCCCAATATTGTCATCAATAAATTTCAGTCTCCCTCTGGAACCGGCTCGGATTATAAATGATGGTTGCGGATCCATATCTATTTTATGAAATGGTGGCCTTACCCCCCACGCACAGAATATGTGGTTCTGGCTCCCAGACGAACAGATCAGTCAAACGCGTCAGTCATGAATGAATATCGGTGTCACCTTCCGTTGTGTGGTTTTCTCATGAAACCGGCTGTCGATTTGATCCTGTAATTTGTCCAGTTGGTGCCAAATACCCATGGAGCACAATTGATTGCTGTCTCGGGATTGGCGTGGGAGAAGGGATAAGAATGCCATGTCCAACAGAAGCTAGCTGTTCGAGGCCTCTGCATATGATAAGATCGGCGTATGGCCTCGTCGACTGAAGAACTTGGGCCTTTTCAATAGTATCTAACTATGAAGATGTGCCGGCATGGGATTTACGTGCGTTTGTCTGTAGTGGATCGATAGGTACATTCAATACCGTGGATCTCCAGGGTAGAGCATTGCGTCTCGTTACCATGACAATTGTCCGGTCAGTCAGTTGCAGACCTTGCATAAATCTACCAATCGTAAAATCTTCGCCTCTACTTTCCTCGGTCATGCCAACAACAAGCAGCTGTTGTGCTCTGAAAGTCATAATAGGTATGGGTAGTGACCTATGCTGGATCAAGAAGATTTAACATAACACCCATTTCCTTCTCACCCGGCCGGAAATTCCAGAGGCTCGAGTTCTCCGGGTTGACATGATTTCAGTCCCAGTTCGAAATGAGTTACCCAGAGACCCATTTGTCCTGGGAGGGGGAAGTCACGATCGCCTGCCTTGGAAGGTCATGTGAACAAGGAAAAGGCGGGGACATTTGACATCCCATCGCCTTGCATCACCCGAGATCCACGCCTTCCATTAAAACTAGTTCACAGGATCCTGGCACCATTCCTGCTACTATGATGTACTATACACAACTACACCTCTCACCTAACTATTTCATAACTACTAGGGTATGGGTATGGAGATAAGCATTGTATTGGATGAGGCGAGGCGATCATCCTTTCGTCCATCCGAGTTGGATTTCGACCCCAAACGTTTAGTATTGGATGGACGTGAGTCAGACAACTTCCGAGATCAGATTGCGTGAAATCCTTCAAGTTCCACCCTAGCAATTGGGGTACACGAAGACGAATAGCTTGCCGAGGGATTGAGTTCACAAAACTAACCTCGGGAAGCTCAAGGGTTCAGAATATAATTATACACCATATTTTTTAATTATTTAAGAAAAAGAATCCATACTGTCGGCCTCGCTCTCTCACAGCAATACCGCTCATTGACTTCGCGAATCACAATTTGCCCAGGATGGATATGCAGTTCCCCGTCTTACCTGAGGATGAGTTCGTCCTATACGCTACTGTCCGTGGCTATTCCTTTGCTTTTCGATCATTCCTCTACTGACGGCCTGATTTTATCTTAGGTTTGTGCCGTGCCAAATGGTGGTGATGACGTTGAACGTCATCTTCGTGGCCTTCTCAAATTGACACTCCGCGAGCCGGGAACTCTAGATTATGTTATCTCGCGCGACGATATCAATCCGGATACTTTCCATGTCTACGAGAAATACACCGGCCGTGAAGCCTTTGAGAAGCATATTGCAAGCCAAGAATTCAAGGACTTTGCGGCCTCCGGGCTCCTTGCCAAGCCACCTGCACCAAAGGCGCTGAAGCCTCTTCGGCCGCTATAGGTGACCTTCGGGACTGTGGAGGGATACCGCGGGGGAGTCTTGCACTATCAGGTTCAGAAAGAGAAGTGGAGAGATTACTGGCTTTGATACATGTCTTGACGCGTATATAAGGCTTATTTTCTGATCAATATATTGATTAGATTCGTTACCTAGTGAGGTGTAATAGCATTCGAATCGTATGCTAACTGGATAGCCATTACCAAAGAGCAATTCTACATACTCTAGGCATGGAATTGTCCACCGTTTGTAGCTGCCAAATCCAGTCCCACTAAAGGGCTACGAAAATTAGTTCTCCGTCGTGAGAGCCTAGTACCGTAGCATGCCCACCCGCATCGCTTACCACATTGCGGTAAGCGATGTGGGCAGGAATACCATAGTTCATGTTTGATTAAGTTGTAGAGAAAACAGTAGATATATTTTGGATACTTTATCCCTGAGAATTCATATTCTACGACAGGAATTCTTATGATGACCGGGTTTGAAGCCAGCCATGAAAATGCGTAGCCACATTCGCCTAAGCCCCACAAAAATTTTTTAAGACAAAAGAGTGCCTCGATCAAGCTCTAATTAAATGTAATATAGTTGCAATAATAATTGAACCGCTAACTGAGTTCATTATTCACAGACCTCGGGCATTTCCTATCCAGCGAACAAGGGTTAACTCAGTTCTGGGGCCATGCAGAGGTGATACATTTGTTGGGTCCGGTATAAATACAATACGAGACAAATGAGTCCAAGAAACCGCAGAAGTATTCTAGATCTCAATGCTGCCCTCCTGCCATCCTTCTCTTAATTAAACCCAAGCATCTGGGTCATTGTTAGGCCAAGATACATAGTATTCATCCAGAGGCTGTACAGCCCATAGAACCCAACGGAGTTCATGGTGAATAGCAAATTTGGTTGGAGTATAAGCCGCAAGGCCCATGGCAGTTAAACCGGGCAAGGATGAGCCGTTCATTATGGCCCCCCCGTTGAGGGGTAAGGGGAACGTTGGCAAGGGTATTGGTTTAGCGGGAGCTGGGTCTTGCTTCTACATCTGATACATCTGACAAGCCAGAGTCCACGTTGATTGATTTTGGTTTTGTATAATCAAGATGAGGTGCTATGACTCCAAGTTTTAAATCTACTGATGATAATAATTACATACGTACTGTTCAAATATGCTGGTCAAACCGTTGGCTTCCTCATCGCGGGCTATCGATGCAAATGCCGGCACAGTTTGCGGCATAGTTGACGTCCCCATGGCTACACAACGACGTCAATCATCCAAATAGCTTCCTCCTCTTGCAACATCCGTCGTTATGAATTGGGCATCCACCACGTAGGTCGACGAGATCTCTGACGCCAAGTCCCTACCTTGGGCATCATTGAGATCCGCGATGACAACATTGATGCTGCAACTGGCTAGTTTTCTTGTCGTTGCTTCGCCTATGCCTAATACTCCACCAGTAATGATTTGATTGTGTGCAGTCCCATTGAAGACACCGCGAATAGATGAGAGGCACCGTAATGTCTACCGAGTGGTAACTGGCTGGGAAGAAAGAACGAGGGCCATTGTTAGCAAGAAGAAGACTAGATTGTTGGATTCTTTCACAATTGCGACGAAAACTGCCCCACATCCATTACCACCTAATTATTAATGGAAGCCAAACTCTTGCCGGACGCGGGGTTGGCGACCGTTGCCCCATGATCGAGGGGCTCGGAAATTGTTTTTCCGTGCGCGAGGACGGCTTTGACGGCCATCTGGAAATCCACGGTAAAACAAACGGATTATAGCATGCTGAAGGGCTTCCGAGCTGAGATTTAGGTTGATGGAGTATCGCAGCATCTCGCTACTATTTAGTACCTGATATTTGGCCATCATCAGTAGTTGACAACCACAAGCCCTTCCAGTTACCTACCATTAGATTGACGAACAGGTCTTTCCCAATGTCTCCAGCGCTGAAGGGTCCATTGACTGGCTCCAACGGGGTGCACAATGACGGCATCAAGAGTGTCTCGACTGAAGGTGAACACTCCAACGGAGCAGACAAACCAGCTGTTTCCAGTGATCGTCTGAACGAGTTCGGATATCCCCAGAACGGGTCAGGTCGCAACTATGTTCTGCCCAATACATGGCACTCCAAAAAGACGAAGATCCGCGTAGCATGTATTGGCGCTGGGGCTTCAGGTACGTTTGGCTTGCCATGTTCGCATGACACGACGCGCTGCTCACTTGCATGTAGGGATATGTCTCGCCTACAAGATGCAACATCAGATGGATCCCAACACCTGGGAGCTGGCTATCTACGAGAAGAATGACAATATTTGCGGGACATGGTATGAGAATAAGTCAGTGTCCCAAGTCGCTGTGGTTGACGTCGAACGCTGCTAACCTCGTGCCTTTTACAGATACCCAGGTAACTATAAATTAGTCCATTTGTAATCCATGGCGATGTAAGACTAATGAATGGTTCCTCCTATAGGTTGCGCCTGTGATGTAAGTCAATTCCAGAAAAGCACCTTCGTATGGTATACGTCGACTAACGAGTCGAGACAGATTCCGTCGCATGTGAGTATAGTCTGAACATAGCCAGAGACGAGAGCAACCAGCTGAGTTACGGGCAGATCTACACCTACAGCTTCGAACCCCATCCCGATTGGTCTACCTACTTCGCGTATGCGCCGGAAATCCTGGAGTACTTCCGCAGTGAGTAAAACACCCTCGCTCAGCCGAGGTTGCGGGTGGGCCCGGACTGATGAAATGCGTTACGGTAGAATTCGCGGATAAACATCAATGCCAGCGCTTCGTCCAGGTGAATTCGAAGGTGGTGGAGGCCACATGGCATCCCAGGGAAGGAATCTACAAAATCGTTATCGAGGACACCAACACTGGAGAAACCAGGGAGGACTGGTCGCACGTCCTAGTGAACGCGACGGGAAACCTCAATAAATGGAAATGTTGGTGTTCGGCTCCATCATTTGGATGTGGATGACTGACGACAACTGCATAGGGCCTGAAATCGAAGGATTATATGACTTTGCAGGACCAAAGATGCATCCATCGCACTGGGACGAGTCGGTGGATTTCGTAGGCAAGACGGTTGGCAGTAGGCCTCGCTGTTCGATATGACATGTTCTGTCACTGACTGATCTGTTTCATAGTTATTGGTACTGGGTCGACCGCCATTCAGGTAGTCCCAGAGCTCCAAAAAGGTAGGGTGTGTACGAAGGTAACTCCAGAACATGCTGACTCGTTTAAACAGTTGCAAAGGGCCTCAAACTGTTCATGCGATCACCCACTTGGATCAGTCCTCCTTTCGGGGGAAATGTGCTGAAGGAAGACCTCAAGGGGGGGGAAGAGAACGCTGCAAGTCGGCAATACGTCTTCACCGATGAGGAGAAACGCAAATTCAGGGAGGACCCTGATTTCCTGCTCAATATGCGACAGAAAATCGAGGCGGAGGTGAATCTCCTGTTCCCCTTCTTCCAGCGAGGAACAGATCTGCAGAAGCAGATGCATGTCGTGATGACGGAGGAGATGCACAATCGGATTGGGCCAGGACATGAGGAGCTGAAGGTATGGCGATACATTGCCCAATGCGGGAAAGATTGAGCCGTGCTGACGAAGCTTCAGGAACATTTGATTCCCAAATGGCTCCCAGGCTGCCGTCGGATTACTCCGGGAGACGGTTATCTCGAAGCTCTCACTCAGGATAACGTTCAGCCAATCTTCAACGAAATCTCCAAGATCGTACCCGAAGGCCTGATTGACTCCGATGGAGTGCTTCACAAGGTTGACATCCTGGTGTGCGCTACCGGGGTAAGTTGGCACTGATTGCAGAAATCTGATCGATTCACACTGATCACGCGCGCAGTTCGACATTCCCTACGCCCCTCATTTCAAACTTACCAACGGAGACGGGATTAACATGCAGGACGAGTGGAAGGACGATCCAAAGTAAGTGGACGGACTGACGCTCGCATAATCGTTGTACTGACCGCCGTGCAGCCTCTATCTTGGACTGACCGCTCCAAGGTATCCCAACTACTTCGTCATGGTTGGTGTGGGCGGCACATGGGCCAAGTAAGCATCTCCCTCCTTTGTTTCCCTGAACGTTGTGCTTATATTGACTGCATTTGCAGCGGAACCATCCTTCCAGCGGTAAATCAACCTCCCTTCCCGAGCTCCCTATCTTACAACCGACCATGACTGACAAGCTTCCTATGCAGCTGGAGACCGCTTCCGAACACTTTATTAAGATATTCCGGAAAATGCAAGAGGAGGGCATTAAGTCAATTGAAGTGACACAGGAAGCATGCGACGACTTCATCTACCATCTTGACCTCTTCCACAAGTCCAAGGAAACTGTCTGGAGCGACACTTGCCGCAGCTGGTATAAGAAGAACGGCAAGGCATGGATCTGGCCAGGCGCGGTGAGTAGAACCCGGTTCTGGCGAATGACAATTGTTTGACTGACAAACCGTAGACTATCCACTACCTGAAAACGCTCAATGCGCCACCACGCTATGAGGATTATAAATTCACGTACTGGAGCGGTCGGCGCTTCGCCTACTTCGGGGATGGCAATGTTCAGGCGACAGCCTTGAAAGAAAATGTCTCGGCCATGGCGCCGTACATCAGGGAGAGCGATCACCCCTGGCATATTGCGTAGATTCAAAGGTTATCTCAACTAACCCTCGTCAGTTTACCAAAGACTTCCATATTTTGTGTGCTTTTTGATCTTTAAAATGGAAACGCTACATTTTATTTTACATGATATAAGGCTCATACCGAGGGGTGTTCGTAGCGAATTGGCTTAGTTGACCTGTTTTTGGCCATTCAGGTGAGTTCGGCTGGAACTGCAAACATATTCACCACTGATTAACAGGCTCTTGATACCCTGCAAACAAATTCCAGGCCCCTAAAGATGGATGATACATTTCGTCTTAGACCTATCTCTATACAGAGCCAATTACTACTTAGGCGGATATTTTTCACATTCCTTGGATGAGCAGATATAGACTTTCAGACCCAAAAGAACCTCTTCCCTTGTCGTGACCAAATTACCATGACCATAATTTATGTTGGTTGGCACTTTTCTGACACAGCATGACGTTACCGTACATATCATAATAGGTGAAATCTCTCCTTGAAGGAAGTTAAGTAGCCATTGACAATCAGTGTCTGCCAGGTGGATTGGCTTGGACACAACCCTCCCTCGAAGGAAAAGGGTGCGACGTGGGGGCGAAGCAAATCTTACGGCCCGGCTAGACCCAATTACAGCATGTGTCTCTCCATCACGTTTAAATCTTATGACCAACCCTATTGGTCCGTCCTCGGTATTAAATTGACCAAGCTGTGATGACAGGACTGCTATTATGGTCTAACCAGTACAAAGGACGAGAGTGTCAAGGGCGAGTTGTCGAATTGTCTGCGCAAGGGAAGCAGGGAAAGGAGCGAAAGACACGTTCTGTATCGAGCGATCTATGCAGACCATGTCTCTAGCCAGGAAAGAGGCTCTTTTATAGAAAACAAAGGAAACAAGCCAAACAGGCCAAACAGGGGAAAGCTGGTCACCTGTAGTCACCTGACATGGGTAATGGGAATCTCAATCAACCTTTTTCTTGACGAAATGACGATTTTCATATGGGACGAGTTCGCTAGTCAAGCAACAAAATTGAGTATCAGCCACGCTCTTACATTGAAAGGCTGGTCAAAAAAGACTGCCCGAGTCAAGGGCCGAGAGCGCAACCTAGACCTACGTGACGAATACTTTCATTTTATCCTAGATTTCAAGTCGTTTTACCTTGTCTATGTGGATAAGTCTGGATGTGATAAAAGGATAGGCTTTAGGCGCACGGAGTGGCCCCTACTAGGTATAGCACTAGAAATGCTTCACGCCAAACATGACCGTAGATCAGGATCAATCTCTCGGCTGTGGCCATAGAGACTAGCGACAAGAAACGTTCCAAACGCTCCTAGGCAAAGGGTTCAATGTAGAAGCTACCTTAGTTGACGCAATCAGCACGATCAGAAGGAAATAGTCACCCTCCTTCTGGCCTATGGCACAGACCCGGACTTTGCCAGGTCTCCGTGAAAGTGCAATTGGCCAAGCGATCTCAGGAGAGCATTGCTGCGCCATGGGGCTTGTATCTACCGGGAGGATCTGAATTTGTCCGAGCCTTCGCTCTCGAGCATATTGCAAGGCTAGCAGAGGAATTACCTGTTCATCCTGTCATCCGTTTGTTTCGCGCAAAGCTTGGCAGGGACGGCGATTTCCCTTCAGAATTGGGGTTCAATTCAGAGGAGGCTTTGGTGAGGACATCTTCAGTATAGTCAGCAGGACCAAGCATACCTACGCGTAGAAGCCAGCATCGACTGTGGTTTATTCTCACTCAAGCAGCTGGATTTGGCTACGAAAATTGAAAGTATTGCAGTACTATTCTCGAAGCTCATATTTGGATTAGAAGGTCGCTTTGGTTCTAGCATTAAGCAAACCAATCTCTATTACAACGCATGCTTTCAAGTGAAGTATCTTATTATAACCAGTTACAAAGATTCAAAGGTTAACCACCCTAGTGATAGTGGTATTCACAACAGTACTAAACACGAGGAAAGAGGAAGCAGGAATGACTCGAGGAGATCCAAATCACACGTCGATGCCGGCGGCAGCTGGTACTAATCAACCAGACATCAGGCACCACGTACGTGGGTCCCCAACAAATCCACCATGCCCCTCAAAAACCTGCCAAAAACACATCTTATGTGCCCAACCCCAAGAAAAATCCCATGTTTGTATGAGTTCCGCCCGATCGAGTTCAGTCGCTATCCTTACCCTCCGCCTCATCGGCAGTCGCGATAATCGCTGGTGGCTTAGGGATATTCCTGCGGAAGATGTGGCGCTTGAAGAAGTAGGGAAGCCACACGGTGAGCTCGTGGCCGATGAACTTGCTCGTCGGAACGGAGAAGACCTCTGTGGGGGATGTTAGCGGGGTAATTGGAGGATATTCTACGTGGGTTGTCACTTACGGTCCAACTCTTCCAGGGTGAGTTGCTTGGTTTCTCTGACGAAGCAGAATATCATGAACCAGGCGATAAGGTTGAGGCCAGCATAGAAGCCGACTATAGTTGGGTTAGTACTCCCTCACAGCAGTACTCGGTGGTGGGTACTTACATGCTCCAGTGGGAGTCATGACGGTCGTCATGCGAGGGAAAGTCAAGCCGAGAATGCCGGCTAGGCAGGTATGTCAGTAGAGTTCAAGTATGTGTTTTGAGTTTGATCAACTTACCGAAGGTGTTGTTAATGCACACGGCCCACGCCATTCCTTGCTCACGCTGGATGGTAGGGAAGACCTCAGCAGAATACTGGAAGGCCACGGGGCCTTCACCCAGGGAGTAACAGATGGTGAAGAGATAGACGAACCTATTGGGAATTCTCTGTTAGGTATTTCCGGTGTTTAAATCTCGACATGGGAAACATACAGCACAACAGGTCCAATATGCGCTCCTCGGCTGCGATTATCATCTGAGTTCAGAAGAGACAGACCAGCGGCCAAGAGGAAGATACACATCAGGGGGAAGGTCTTGAGAGAGAAAATGTTAGTCGTATTCTGTTTATACTGTCACGAACAACTTACGATCAATGTCAAAGTTCGACGACCCTTGGTGTCAATCAGGAACAACGTAGGAATTGTCGACACGACCTGGATGGCACCGTAACCAAGAGAAGCGTACAAGGCCTGGACTGCGGTATAACCAGCATTCTCGAAGATAGTTGAACTGTAGAACGAAATGACTGCAAGGTGTTAGAGATGACCGTTGATTGAGGGCGATGAACCACTTACTGTTAATACCGCACATTTGCTGAGCAATCATAACGGTCGAAGCACCGTAGTTGGCACGTCTGATTCTAGGCACGGTGAACAGATCCCGCATACGAGAGAAGTAGCCCGCACCACGGGCCTCCTTCAATTCCTCCTCGTAAATAATCCACGAGTAGTAAAAGTCTCGCGCGCCAATGATAGGATGAGCGCGGAGACGACACATCGATCGGAAAGCTTGGGCGTGCTTGCCATGCTTCATGAGCCAACGGGGAGACTCGGGGCAGAAGAAAATGCCAATCATGAGGATGAACGATGGAATAAAAGCCGAACCAAGTTGGAGGCGCCAAGAGATATCTCCAGTGTCCTTGACAATCACGTTGGCACAGAACCCCAAGAAGATACCCGCCACCACCCAAAGTTGCCAAAACATGACCAAAGCTCCTCGGATACGGTGCGGTGCCATCTCAGCCGAGTAGATGGGAACTGTGGCATTCTTTGCACCGATGCCGATACCCATGATGAAACGTGCGGCGAATAGACCTTGCCATGTCTCTGCAAAACCAGAACCAATCGGGGTAGCAGTGAGACAAGCAGCTGTCAAGAAGATTTCACCTCTTCGGCCCAAGTAGTGGTTAAGTGGATCAACAATGAAAGCACCACTGGATGGGAAATTAGTTTTCTGTTCTTAGAAACAAGAAAGATCGACCTTTTCCTAGATACTCACATGAGACCAGCAGTCAGGAAAATGATCGAGTTGACCAGTCCGACAATCCATTCATCACGTCCCTTGCCATTGATACCCAGAGCCTCAGGGAAGGACAGGTTGGCTCCGTTGGATCCAGTCTGATCCCAACCTTGTGTAGCAGCACCAATAGCACACAGTGCGATCGAGTACCACAGCATGACCGGGCCGTGCCACTTGTGGTCTCGCTCATAGATCAGGGCTGCACGTTCATCTTCAGTAAGCTCGGTGATGTCCTCAAAGTCCTTGGGGCTGCGAGCAACCAGGGCAGCACGGCCAAACAGGTCAGCGTGCTCGGACAGGTCGTGCATTTCCGCGAATCCGCGGGCATCCTCGTAGACTTGTTCCTTGGAGGAGCGCTGTGTGAAGCCAGAGGGTCAGTATGAATATTCGATGCCTCCCTGATAGAGTGCGACAAGCGCAGTCTTGGGAGTTGACCTGGGCAAAGCTTACCTTCAGAGGGTTCACGACGATGTTGAGAGCCGCAGCGTGAGATGGACGTCTTTCCTCGCCAATGGTGGGCGATGTAGCTTGAGTCGCGAATTCATCATGGGCAAGAGGGTCCTTGCCCGTGAGATCTTTTTCGTCTTTTTCATTCATGATGGATGACGAGTTGGAGTTAACGCAGTGGTGTGAAGAAAGTGGTGTCGAGATAGTGAGTCGAGAGGGTGATGTTTAGGAGATGAAGTTGGAAAGGGGTGCGGAGAGGTGAACGTGCAGCTCTGAGAAATAGCGCACGCGATGAATCCTTCTTTGAATCCTCACTTGAGTTGAGTGCACAAGTCGGCGCGCAAACCCTGGGGGGGGAAGAACGTTGGCGACTCCACAGCATTTAAAGCTTCGGCCTTTCAACCCCCCCCTCCCCCCGTGGGGTAAAAGCAGAACCAGTCACCACACCAGACACTCCTTCGGGCAAGATAAGACTCTTTCGAACGTCAGCACTCGCTCTTTCTGGGTGGCTTGCCATCCTTCCGCCCCCCCCCCCAACAGCCTGGAATCGAGTCAGCATTAGGAAAGTTCGGAAGAAGATCAGTGCACACATCGGCCGTAAGCCACGGTAAACCACCGGGCGGCCCATCCTTGTATAATTGCGCCATTTGTTTTTTAGGGTTTGATGCTCGATGGGGGCCATATTGATATTCATCAAAAGCATGAACTTGAGTTCAATGGCTAAGAAAGTTGCTAGAGCCTTTTCTAGATTTCCATTCACTCGATATCTCCGTGAATCCTTCAACTCCCATCGACCCCCCTCGATCAGCGCCCCCGAGAAACGTGGATGTTCGGCAGCAACGCCGTCCGCTACGAGCCATGTGGTGCGGGATTGGATAGACCCATTCTCGGCGGGCCCACCGACTGCGCTCAAAGCGTTTGCGGGGAGGGCAAAGGGAAAGAGTCAGAGTCACTGGGCGAACGACTGGGAAGCGTCGATTGGTCGTTGAAGTCTCGCCCGGGACGCCTTTTCTGGCTTGCGAAGCAGCTTAGCTGGTCCTGCTGGGCCTGCCGAATCCCCCAACAAACGCCCCAGTCATGCGGTGTATTTATGGGGCATTTGAATCATCCTGCTGTCGTTTGCACCGAGCTCAGTCCAGTGGACTGAGTAGAGAGAACCATCCATTAATCACAATGATGAACATGCCCCAGGGCGCGCTTACTTGCCCAACACAGCATTTGCTGCCCTGGGCCACTTGCGACCAGCACATTCAGCCCCATGACTCTGGTAATTCAGTTATATCCACGGCAAGGGAGAGATCCCTCTTCCACTGACGTCTTCGGCCATGCATCCGGTTTCCTAGCTTGGAAGAATCATCCCACTCAATTGGTCCGCAACAATTGACTGGTCATGCCCATGTGGTTAGCTCATGGTGAAGCAGGAGCACTCCCTAGGCGCCTCGCATGCACAATCGTACAATACTGTACATCGTCATATCATCCAGCATTTACCCAGGCGGAGGTTTGCCCTGGATATGCCGCTGACCTGGCCAGCACTGGGTCTGAACAAGCTACCAAGACAAGAGACCTCCTGTGACTCCTGAATCACCGCTGCTGACAAATCTGGATAGATTTCCGATTTTCATCCCTACTAGGAAGGTTCACGGCATCTCCGCATACTTTCCGCCCGAGGACCCAGCGGAGAAAGTCCGGAGGAGAAAGCATTTTTCGGTTTTAGAGAACCACAATCGAACCGATCGGGAACCGGGCAATGATCTGCATGGCTGCCTCAGGCATAAACTCATCATCAACAGCTAAGACTAGCGCGGCTAGTACATCGACTTAATAACACATTTTACTCCTGATATGAGATTCCTCATAAACTCTTCGGTTTTCTGTACGGGAGATGTCCAGAAATAGTGGGGTAGCCTTCATAGTAATCCAGTGTACTTGTGACTCCAGATCATATGAGAGTCTCATGAAACATCCGACGGTCTTCACCAAAGCGGGTTTTTCTCGCACTTAACAAGATAGGTTGTTGGGAGTATCGCCAGCTCTTTATGGAGCGGGACTGAATAGAATGCGTCTGATCGGGATGTAGCACCGTACGCCGCTAGATCATTCACGTGAAGTCAACGTTGATCTTAGAGTAGGAAGGATGTCGTCAATTCTCACCCCGAAAAGTCTCCAGAGCTGGTGGGTTAATCATAGATGAGTCCGTCTTGTTTTCAAGGAGTCTTTCAAATCGTTCCTTGAATTCAGTGGCGACGACAGATGAGTCCATCGTAATCGGTGCAATCCTCACAAGACCCTTATTGATGATCGTGATACATACCGTCCTCGCTCTCGAGATCACCCAGGACCCATCCTCCGCCATAGAAACTTTAACACTATGTTATACAAACCTAAAGGATAAGTAATACTAAATTGGGTTGGTTAAAATACTATATACCAATGGGAAATATATCGTCTCTCTGCTGAGGTTGAATGCCGGAGGGAATTTGATAGTCCTCTGCGTCCAACGGTTCAGGCATTAATGGCCTGGATGACGAGAAAAAACAGGTCGCAGAACCTGGCTTCGCCCACTTGTAATAATATTTTCCGCCACCGGTAGGGCAAATGGTCAGAGGCATTCGCCCAGCTTACTATATTGCCTCTGGATATTATGTCTTCTCTGAATACGAATCTGCCACAAGTCGCCTCCTCTACCTGTGAATGTTAGCTTGTTACACTCGGTGTAAGAAAGGTATTGTTGGCAATATCTGACTTGCAACCAATCTTCTGTGTATGGGATACAAGGCAAGTTTTGATTCGAGTCGTAGGCCTCGGTAGTGACCAAAGATGACTAAAATGGCGTATTCGTCTTTATAGCAAAGGGGCAGTCACAGCTAAACCTTCGTTAGTTCAAACAACGGCGGTTGGTCCTCTTCGTCGCCGGAATTATCATTTCCGAGCCCGGTGTTGAGGTGGGCAGGAAGCCATACAACCTCGGCAGGAACTAAAGCGATAAGAAGTACTTTACTTCGAGTCTGCAACCGAGAGCAATCAAAAATTGGTTATGGAAATTGCAACAGTTGATAGCGTACAATCCTTGACAAATGTATTTTTCTGCGCTTGGCAAATCTGCGATAATTACTGGGTCGGGGGTTAGTAAGTGATACGCCTCGTTAGTTCTGGGATTGTTGAAATTTGACGATGTTTCATATCATCACGGGACTCAATGTCTGTTTTGCGGAAGATCTTCTATCTCGAGGCTGCAACGTTCTGCTTGCCCATATTACTGCTCGGCCGGAAGCGAAGGAATTCCTCGACAACCAACCTCGTTCCTTAAGCTCCCCCGGCGCGTTATATTGAAGAAGCGATGTGACGAAATGGAGGCATCTTGAAGACATGTTCACCCGTCCGGAGGCAGCATTCGGCCGCGTGGATATCGTTTGTCCTAGTACTAGAGCTTACGAGCCACTCTAGCCCAACTTCTGGTAATCTCCTGGCAGCAGCCTATCGACTGACAGCACGGACAGTGATAGATACCCGATGTTAGACATCAACCTCATTCACAACATTCGAGTTACTCAGCTGACTATCGGGGATTTCGTTGAGCGGAAGAATCGAGGAAGCATCGTGCACATCTGAGGTATCTCCGGGCAGGATGCGGCGCTCCTCACGCCCATGTATGTCGCCAGCAAATTGAGCAGTAGTGGTTTTGTGCGAAGCCTGGTGCCTTTGGAAAAGGGCTCAAGGATTAAGGTGACTGCAGTGGCCCATGGTATTGTGAAGACTCCTCTCTGGGCTGAGTCTTCGTGAGTGGTTTCATCCGTAAGTTCACAGACTGTGAAGATGTAATGAACTCAAGTGAAAAAAAAAAAAAAAAAAAAAAAGATGGAAATGATCGCCAAGGGTGACGAATGGGTAACACCAGAAACCGTTGCAGAAGTGATAGTTGACTTGATTGAGAAGGACGAGTGCGGGACTGGAAGGATTGATGGTGGGACGAGTCTGGAAGATGGAAAACGACTGTGTCGGGTGGAGCAGTTCAATAATCCAGGCCAAGAAGGAGCGGGCAATATGATGAGAGGACAAGGCTACGAGTAAAATCATTGAAATGTTGAGTGGGTACTAACTGATCTTGACGAACTGGTCCATTTTCGGTTGTTAGTAACTGCCCCTCCATAAGTCACCATTACTATAGATATTGACTGCGATTATTTTACATCCACCCGTATAAAGATATGTATACTACTGGTACAAGTACATGGAGGAGTTTCTTTGCAGGAGCCAGTCGGATCTTCTAGCTAGCTGCCTGATGGATGGCCGAGTAACGGGTGAGAATCAACTCCCCACACCCCACCTTTCCCCGCATTTAATCTTACCGAAAGATACATATCCCCAGCAAAAGACAAATCCATTTTCATTCCCTTTTCTGGCCGTCTAACTAACTACGGTCAATTACCCCTACTGGCACAACATGTCCACCAGTCTGGCTGAGCCTGGAACTGTCGGATCCAGCTTCAACACCACATGCAAGTGGACCTATACTCAACATCGGAGTGGTGAGGATAATCCCGATCCTCCACCCCGTCCCAAGCACCGACGGGCATCGAAGGCCTGTCACCCTTGCAGCTTGCGCAAAGTGCGCTGCGACGTGGTCAGAGGCGGAGAGCCATGCACGAATTGCAGATTGGACGAGGTTCACTGCTTCGTTGGGGAGAGAAGACGAGGGGGCGGGTGAGTTGAAACCAATACCATAGTTCCAGTTAATTGAGTGGTGCTAAAGTGGCTTGACTAGAGGAGAACGGAGACGACGACTAACCGCTGAGTCCCGCACAGCCGGTATCTCGACAGATGATCAGGCTGCGGCGCTGAACGCTGGGGACAGGGAGGCATTGCATCCTGGACAGTCTCTTTGGCGGGAAAGCGGTATGTGGCAATGTCTATTATCCACGGATTTTAGGGTATCTAGTTGAACTCATACTTTTCTGCAGGGCTACTTCGAAGTCCTGGACATGAAGCGAAGAAAAGCACTCCCAGCTCGTATTCAGAGCAGGCCTCGCACATGAAGACGACCACAACACCACAAAAGGACGATCTGGACGGTTTGTCACCACTTAGATGTGTTAGCCGGAACGCGTCACAAAGCGGCTCCTCGACCAGGCTGTCAGTTAACCTGCCACCGTACATTCGGCCGTTACCTGCGGCCATCAGTCAGGTCGACCTTGATTTTTTATCGGCCAAGGGTGCCTTTGATCTGCCACCTGACTCTCTCCGCAAAGCACTGCTCGACACGTACCTGCGGTTTGTCCACCCGTATATGCTGGTGTTGGACCGAGAGGATCTGCTCCGTGCGTTTCATAGCGGGGCAGATTTTCATGTGCAAGGCGAGGCAGATCCCAGGCTGAGTCTAATATTATACTGGGCAATTCTCTTCGCAGCCAGCTCAGTAAGTTTCCTGCATTATCACTCCGCATAACGAGTCCAATACTGATAATCCAAATCCCCTAGCACGTACATATATCTGTCTTGGAAGAAATGGGATATGACTCGCGTCTAGTAGCTCGGAGGGCACTGTTTTGGAGGTCAAAATTGCTCTACGACCTATACATTGAGCAAGATTCCGTCATACTACTCCAAGCAGTCCTACTCATGTCATATCGGTTCAAGGAGACGGATAATCCGCGCGACTCATGTCGCCTGTTAGATTTCTCTACATCTTTCGTTCAAGGAATGGATTTGCCCGGCTTAATTCGGAACTCAGTGCCATTAACCAAGCGTCAGAAATTGCTTCGCAAGCTATGGTGGTGTTGCTTCGTGCGAGATACTCTCGTTGTTGAGCAACTGATGGCTCCGTCAAAGACCAAGGTAGAAGAAAGTGATATCCTTCCCTTGACACTCGATGACTTCAACGTGTCCCAAGATTCCAACACCTGGGTCCATACATCGGCCATCATATATATTAGTCAGACTCAGCTCTGCATCTACATCAACCGCATTCTTGAAACACATGTCTCCGTCGCTGCTCTCACTCGCTCACACTCGGCCTTCAGTTATGGGACCTCCGGGGCGGCGATCGGCGATTTACTTTCCGACAAGATTCGCCTGTACGATGCCGATCTGACAAATTGGCTCAAGGAATTGAGTGGAGACGCCACTCTGTCGCCAGTCAATCCGGACGGGACATCTCCAGGCGACTCCAGCTTGCAGCTACAACAGATCCTACTCCGTATGACATACCTTGTTGCTCTCTCCATCTTGCATCGACCGCAAGTCCTCCCTTCAAAATCGGAGGTGGCACTCGCAACGCACATCAACATCAGCGTCCGAATGCTCTCGAAGGACCGCATGCACCATGTGGCAACACGGACGACAGATCTGGCTGAGGCTATACTGCTGCAGCAGCTCTCTAGATATATGCCCCCTTACAGGTACCAAACCCACGCTCTTCAGCTTTTTCCTCTTGAGAGTTTTTCGTGACTCCATAAAATGCTTACCATCCAATAATCAGTGTAATTCTTCTAGTGACTGCTATTACGGTTCACTTAATGGAGATACAATTCAGCCACGGCCCTACCCGCAGTGATCTATGCCGGAAGATTAGTACAAGCGTCACACTCCTGTACGAACTTCGAGAGATATATACTGAGGCTGGGCGATCGTTGGACCTACTTCGCCCTGGCCTATTAAAAGCTGGAATACCTTGCTCTGGCTCGATAAAGCCACTATCACTAAATGGAGAATATGAGCCCAACGAGCCCTTAGAAGTAGCTTTAAGCGACGACCAGGCCGGCAGAGTTGGCTTCGGGGTCGAGCTTAACAATGCTTCTCTGCAGCCCATGACAGGCAGCACAAAGGCTGCCAACGTGGCCCAACTCGATGCTAGTGTGCCAGATCTGAGAGGGGATGGAGCGATGTTTGATATGTTTCCTGATTTGTTTTGTCCCAGCCCTGGAATACCAGCTTCTTTCCCTCTTCACCTGCTCCAGGGTTGTTCTAGTGCTGGAGGAACCGGACTGGGGGCTGATCAGAGACCTACCGGATATCCAGCATCAAGAGGACATAAGAGGATACAAAGCGGTTAGGGATCATCCGATCTTCGCCTCTTTGGCAGGAAGTGTGTGTGGAAAGTAGATCCATCATGCGAAATCCCCGCAATTAGGGTATGGAGTCATCCCGGAACAGAAGAAAGGGGACAGGCGATCTCGCATATCTCCTGTACTTAGTTTCCTTCTTCAAGGACCAGTTCGTGGATTTATTTGATATACTGATCTAGTCTTGTTCTCTCCATAAAGCTGTCATATCATTCCCTAATCGACAGGCGCTCCACCTTGTACAAGTAGATTTGTGACAATATGAACCCCTAGACCCCTGTCAAGAGCTAGTTGGTTTGACTTGGGAATATGTCCAGGTGAGGGCTGACTCGATTGTGCTCCAACCCTGATCCACTAAGGTCACCAATCATGTCCCTATTCACCAGCGCTTTGCTTTCTGTAGTCCCTCTATGTACGTTTTGCTTCCCTCTCGGTTAATTAATCGTAACTTTTCGACTATAATAGAAACAAAGTCTATCATGCACTTACTCCCGCAAGATCGAATGTATTTATCCTGGTTTTCTATTTTTCTGAGAATGGAGGAAACCACTCCCAGGATGGGACGAGAAGAGCCCGGTAGGGGCTTCTGGAGGATATAATGGGTATCATCCCCCCGGTATCAACGGCTGTAGGCAAGTATCTCCACCGATGACTTTGTTGCAAGTATTTAATATAGGAGGGATACAGGCATTGTGCTGCTCTCCTCAGTCTTGCGCTTAATAGATAATAGATCCTACTCGTAGGATTGAAGACACCTACAGCTTTCATTAAATCTCTCGTCTACGGCTTAGAATACGCCTATTGTTCTTCATCGCAGCTTGAAAGCTTTTGAAATGGTCCTGGATGTACGCCTTCGAGTACTAGTCTCTCCCTGTAGATGGCTATTATCAGGTAGGGAAATACCACCTATATTATTCAGTTCGATCAATATCCTTTGGTCCTCTGTCCTAAACTAGAAGTACTCCTTCATCTCTTCCGTAAGGTCCGATTACTGAGACCCTGAATGCGAAGAGATGCTGGGCCGTCTTTCATTATCACTGATCGGCTCAATATCTTCCCAGGGCTTTGGGCATGTGATTATACTTGGGTCTCGCAGCAACGCCTTACTATTGACGAAACTCTTGCTTTTATATAAATATATGTGATAGTATTAGTTGACATAGCTTGAAAGCAACAATCCTTTTTTCTTGGTTAGGGGATGACGCGTGTTCGAGGGGTGGGAGCGGGGTTTGTTTTCCGAAGACTACCCGAAGATCGTCCGAAAAGAACGAAGAGGAGCCGACAACATTACCATAACCCCAAATGACAGTTTTATGGTTAAGGCCAAGTGTATGTTCAAGGTGTCTGTGGTTAATCTTGGCCTCCCGCGATTGGCTAGTGCCGAAAATTTTCATCCACGCTGACCCCACAGCTGCATCACAATTAAATATATCTAGGTGAAGGGAACCTGGCCGCAGCTCATACCCTATCACAGGGTGTGCAATGATCTGGAGCACCAAGCATGTCTACGTCCCAAGAATCGAAGAGAATGCAAAAGGCTGTGGTTGTGTCACAACAGGGTCCGGATGCCACAGTCAATATCGTGGATATAACCATTCCTGAGCCTGGAATTGACGATGTTCTTATCCGACTATCTCACTCTGGCGTCTGTCATGGCGACGTGTCCCTAATCTACGGAGACTGGCAGAATATTGGCCTTCACTTCCAAGAAACAATGGTTCGGGCCCTGCTACACAGTTGATTCTTGTATGTAACTAACGGCTCGCTAAGGTCCATGGACACGAGGGAGTAGGTGTCATTACAGAAGGTAATGCGGAACCCCCCTGTCGGTGAGCCGGATTGAAGTTAATCCCTGACATTCTAACTTAGTCGGCACCAACGTGAAAAACTTCCAGCCAGGCGACCGAGTTGGCATAAAATGGATTCATAGCACGTGTGGTTTTTGCAAGTACTGCTTGTCAGGGGTAAGTCTTGAGGAATGCCCGGTAGGGAATTTTCGACTAACGAGCAAACCGCGGACAGAATGATCACTATTGCCCGAAGCAGCAGCATTTTGGACGTAAGGTGAATCCGAGCCATTTCCTTCGAGTCCAGGATGCTAAGTTCTATTTGAAAATGCACAGGGCACCATCCGGGCTCATTTCAACAGTATGTTGTCTCTCCTGCGAGGTATACCTCCCCTATCCCGCCAGAAGTCTCCGATGTGGAAGCAGGCCCAATGTTGTGCGGTGGTGTCACCATGTACCGGGCCCTGAAGGCAAGTACACCAGCCAAAGTCACTCCTCTATTGGTGTTCATAGCTTACTCCGGATCGGAATTCCAAATCAGACCTCGAAGTTATCGCCTGGGCAATGGGTAGTGATTTTCGGCGCCGGAGGTGGATTAGGTCACTTGTAAGTCTTCAACCGGCCTTGACCTCTTATATTCCATAGTCTGAGACCTATCAGGGGAGTTCAATTTGCCAAGGCCATGGGGATGCGTGTTGTCGGTATCGATGGAGGCCAAGACAAGAAAGCACTGTGTCTTTCACTAGGAGTTGATGTTTTCGTCGATTTCCTCGATGTAAAGGATGTGGTGCGTGCCGTCTCTGACCTCACCGATTCCGGCGTAGCTGGAGTTATTGTTACCGCAGCGAGCCGTTCCGCATATGAGCAGGTATTTCATCTTCAATCTCTTAATTCCCTGTATCGCCCTAACTTAGTTTTCCTGTATTAGGGAGCACGAATGCTTGGTATCGGGGGAACGCTGGTTTGTGTTGGCCTGCGTAAGTACAGCACACTCTGGTTCAATTCCAAGACGCTAACTAGGCAAACCTTCTGAAGCGCATGAACCATTCGACATCCCCGTCCAACCCTTTCAATTCATCCAAACCGGATGTGTGGTGACAGGGACCAATGCGGGTTCCCTTCAAGATGTCCAGGAGGCTTTGGCCTTTGCAGCGCGGAAGCAGGTACGGGTTGAAGTACAATGCTTTCCGATGGAGCAGGCGGAAGCTGTCTTTCAGAATGTGGTTAGTAAGCCTCCTTGCCAGGGCGAAATCTCCTAAATGCTAACTTTCCCGTCTAGAAAGCCAATCGGTATAAGGGGAGAGCTGTCCTCAAATTGGAATAAATTGGGGGCCAAGATAGCTCCGCGTTGTCCTGTGTCAGACTACGTGCATAGGACACTAGCATTGCCCGTATGACCGTTAACACATAGTCTAGGACTCAGACGTATTTATATGAGTACAAGCGACACTGGCCGACCCTATCAACTGGTGTTAAAATGCTTGCAAGCAGCAACACTCCGGCGGGTGCCTTAGATTTGACTCTATGCTGCCGTTAACAACCTTTTGACCCCAAGTACATTCATACGATTTTTTATGGATTTTTATGAAACTTACTCATTTGGAGTGGTAATGTTGCCTCGAGGTCTTATTATTTTCGCACGATGTCATTAATAGCTCATCAGTGAGGCACCTCTGACATTACCAGATTTGTAAGTTGATCCGTATTGCTACAGAGAAATGAATCGGAGTTTTTGAGGGACAAAGATCTTTTGACAGTGGATGAAAATGGAGTATCAAAAAATGATTTCCACCGATTGTAACATCAGAAACTTATCTTAATAACTGGAGTGGGCCATATTGCGGAGTTGCAGATGAGAGCGTGGGCGGGGGTTGGCCAAAAAGAACCTCTGTTTCCACATCGCCACGAGGCTGATCGGAGAAGCAGCGGAAATACCGGACTTAGATCGGCCTTGTTATTCCTTGTAGCTTGCAGTTTCCTTGAGGGACTTTACATGGGAAAACCAAGTTCTCCACATCAAGACGGGGACGCGATATAATATATGGCTCCCGAAACCACTGACATATGGTTATCCCATGCCGAGTGGGTTATTAATTAGTTAGCTGAGTCATGAGGTTAAATCAGAATGGTTATATCTAGAGCCTTAGCAGTACCCCCGTAATGCCGTTGTCTCTCTCTATCAAGCGTGCTACTAATAGCAGTAGGTGCACATGCCATGAATTTTCCAACTCATTTTCCACGATAGATAGGAATCCTTCTGCGGTACCCTTTGAATCGGCGGGCAGTGTGCAGCAACCAGTCCGGGTGTGACGTTTCCAATTTATCCGGATGAGCAAGGAAAGACGGCGTTTGCTCAGTCCACCGATGTGGATGCCGCCAAAATTGCAGCCGCTCTGGCGAAAGAGCTTTTGAACAAGAGAGTCATTCGAGCCCAACTTCTCGCCGTGATACACTACTGCTGCTTCCGACAGAACTATTTGATTCTTGACGAACGGAGCTCGTTACACTTCATGTCTTGGAAACCCACTGTGCGGAAGCGGGAGCATAGCTCAATATTGATAATTCAGTCAATAATATGCGCGAGATTGCCGCACGTAATAAATCGCCTGCACAGATAATATTCCAGCGATAGGTAGTGAGAAGAACTTGGGCATAGTCTTCAAGGAACCTGCTGGGCCTGTCTTGCCCATCGCTCCGTGAGTTTATATCCCGCCGGCATGCAAATCCCCGATGGCTGCAAATGCGTCCCCTTGTAGTCTCATTTAGTTTGAATGCAAGCGTCATTCTTGCCTTCCGCGGTTTAAGCTCAATCCTTGGTGCCGGATGTACGGTCGTTTTTAAGTTCTGAGCTATGTCCCCGAGTGCATCATTTCTTGGTGAAGGTTTTCACTGAAGCTGGAGTCCCAGCAGGTGCTATAAATGCCATCTAGGTTCTAAGGGAGGACGCAGCAGAAGGAACTGAAGCTTTGATTGGCCATTCGGCAATTCAAAATATAGATTTTATTGATAGCGCGGCTGTTGGCGGGATCATTGGTGCCATAGCTGGAAACCCCCCTTAAACGGGCCCTGATGGAATCGGGTGGGAAATGTGCATCAATTGTTCTCGACGATTGTGAGCTATAGCATGCTGCAGAAAGTGTCTTCTAGGGGACTAGGTTCTCCATGCAAGCAGTTATTTACGTTTGCTGACAGTATCACAGAGTATTTGTACACCACGGACAGATTTGGTTGCCTACGGAGTGAATCATTATATAAAGGTCTATCATAGGTCAATTCGTGCACCTGCTGAAACATCAGGCTGCGCCGAGTAGTCAACAGGGAAGGAGATAAGCAAGGAGGTTGTTCAAAAGTCTTTTGATACGCTTTTAAACGCATGTGAAAGGGGTGCTCAATTTCTAACGGGCGGGCCAAGCCATGCATCCGAGTTATCTCTTCAACCAACAACCCCGGATGGAGACGACTAAGGAGATAAAAGTTTGGGATGAGGAAACTTTCGGCGTGTCCGTATCTCTGCTCGTAGTGGATATGGACGGTGAGGCAACTGAACTCGCTAATGACTCCTCCTACGGCCTGAGAGCGCCAATACATACGAGTCATATGCAACGAGGAATTGACGTCACAAGGAAGGTCGAGCTTGCGCAAGTACATGTGGACGCATGAACAAAACATGATGACCGTGAGTGACAGTGTTCATTGCTGTTCGGCTATTCGATGGCCAATACTTGAGACTGCCTAGCAACCTAACCTCTGGCCGCGGGTGAAAGGGAGTGGTTGGGGGCGTAACTACGCTTTATATGGCCTGGAGGAATTCTCTTTGCTGAAGATAGTGAGCCTGAATATGCGTCGTGAGAGACTAGCCTTTGAAATCAGGAGGAAGTGAGAATATCTCTCAGTTTTTCACCAGGATAATATCAAGTAGTTTCACAGTCTGATCGTTTTATCGAAGGCCAGATATAAATGAATACATGATTCGGCCGCGCTCTCCCCTCCTCCAAACTCTTCGCTTTCTGTCTCTTACGGGTTGGATGCCTATATATTTCATGTGTCGATTCTCCCATAATTGCAAGGCCCTGTACCGGCTTGATGCTTCGCTTTGTCTCTTGAGCGGGTTGATATATGCTCCGTTTGTTTCTCGCGAGCCCCTCGGTAGGGTGAAAACAATGTTGATCACAACCATCTCTCTTCTACTATCCCTGTTGGCCCATTTTATGTTCGCAAATTTCATGGTGAGTTAGGTTGTGCTCAAGGTGCAGATAGTGAATGGGTCGCTAGGGTAAGGGATAGAAAGTTAGCTTAGTAGTTGTTAGCCTGCATGTTGCCGATGGAGTTGAAACTCTGTATCGAAGTCCAAGAGTGCTGATATTCAAAGCTATCTGAGAACAGATGAAGTAATTGATAGTCACAGTGGCTGCCGATTAGGCTGCCACTTCAATACAAGGATATATATCACCGGGCCCGGCATCCAACTGATCGCAAGGAACCAGCACAATAAGCCTAGAGATCCGCATACTGTGCCAGTAGTGGAGAATGCTGTCTTCCTTCTCAGCCGTAGAGCAGGTAGGGCCAAAATCAATTGAACCGACGCTTTCGTACGTAAACTTAGTTCTGTTCACGGAGAAAACGGGTCTGTGAGTTCGCTTCCCCAGACGCGCGCCTCCGTGCGAGGGTCTATGGAAGATTAATTAATCCAAGGTTCTAAATTTTAACATTTTCCTCGGTGTCACCAACGATCCGGGTTGAAAAATCCGAACGTCCATTGGTCCAGGTTTCTCTTTGGCTACTACTCCCTATATGACTCAGGGTACGGGGAATAGACGTTCATGCCGAAATTGAAGCGGAGATCGTCCGTTGAGTTCCGCCAGTGTCAGGTACAGAGGAAGTACCCCATAAATATCGATGATCTGACCGACCCACGATCAATGGATAAACAGCTTTTCGCATCAACATCACCCCGTTACTCTCACAGCATCGTTATGAATAGTTTACCAGAAAAGGTCGATGTCCACCATCATTTCATACCGGACTTCTATGCCAGTGGTACGCCGAAGAACACTCCGTCTTTGCCGTATTTCCTTAACAACCTCTGATACAGCGATCGAGACTCATGGCGATCCGTCTGGCTCCCATCTCCCCACTTGGAAGCCTGAGACGACAGGCGTTCATGAAGAATAGTTCCATCACTACAACCATCCTATCCATCACTGCCCCTGGTGCTTCCGTCCTTCATGGTGAAGGTGGACGCCAATTAGCGCGAAAGGCTAATAATTATGCCGCCGCGTTGCGGGATGAGAACCCGGATCGCTATGGGTTTTTCGCTGCGCTCCCTTCCCTGTTGGACCTGGAAGGCTGTCTCGACGAGATACGACATAGCCTAGATATCCTCAAAGCCGATGGCATCACATTATTCACCCGATACGGAAGTGAAAATTTATATCTCGGAAATGTCGCCTTTGCTCCTATTTGGCAGGAGTTGAACCAACGGCATGCCGTCGTTTTTATTCACCCAACTCATGCCGTCGACACCAATTTGGCCAGCCCTTCGTTGCCCCAGCCGATGATCGACTATCCGCACGAAACCACCCGGACGGCCATGGACCTCGTCTTGTCAGGCACAAAGCGCCGCTTCCCTAATTGTAAAGTGATTCTTTCTCACGGGGGAGGCACCATGCCCTACCTCGCCACCCGGGTCGCCAACCTCGTGAAAGGGACACCCATGGGAAAGACCACTTTGCAGCCGTCGGAAATTATAGAAGACTGCAAGTCCTTTTATTTTGATCTCGCACTGTGTGGATCTCACCACACCATGCGACTTCTCCTGGATTTCGCATCGCATGATCGTATCCTATATGGAAGTGACTTTCTCTACGCGGGTGAAGAGGGCATCCGGTCCTTTTCCCATGACCTAGATTCCTTCCCGATGGACGAGACCTTGCGCAACAAAATTTACTTCCTGAATGCTAGAGCATTGCTGCCTCGCTTCTCCCCGACTTGAGTTCTAGCACGGAGTGATTTTTGTTTACACTATATGTGCAAAAATTCGGCATTCTCACTGCTCTCTATGTTCGTACGCATGCTATCAGATTCGAGTCACCAGGCGATTCTCCGATCTGCGAATTTACTTTTCCAGTATCCCTATAGACCTGAAGCCGGAATTCCAGGCGGCACCTTTTTTTTGAGGACACCGGACGGATACGATTGAATTGTACTGTCCGGTAACACCCAGGGACTCCCCTATTTAGTAGACCCCGATATTAGTGTATGACAGAATAGACGTCGTTATGTATAGTTGCTTTCGGTCCCATTTCCTACTAGACAGGCATTCAGATCGATCGGAGGGATAATCGAGCGTAACCAGAAAACGTCCTTCCAGGAAACTGAGTGGGCGCAGAATCAATTCATACTAATTGTGATTCGCAAATTCCGAGACTCTAGGTGATTCCACGACCAACACCTAAGACTGTGGACAAACCGGAAATGGGAATAATCACTATTATCCCAAGCAGGAGCACTGTGGAACTTGGATGCACTTTTTTTTTCTCGCTCTCTCTTATTGTAAGAACACGATTCCCAACCAAAATTTATAACCCTGTATTTATATCTAATAGGGTGTTATTCCTCTTGCCGCTAATACGTTATCAATTCCACCAGACTCTACAGTGAGGAAATGAATTAATATACCCATCACAGTCGTATATTTCACCCAGATCAGCTGTATAGTTCCTGTACCGGTATCAATGCCGGTGGGTTGCAAGATTTTTGATCAGGCTGTGGTGCTCGATGCACGGAAGTAGGTCCGGGCGATGCCTCTGCTTGTCTGAGAGGAGCCTGCGTATATTATTAGGCCATTAGTCCCTGTCTTGAATCTCGCCGCTGCGTGTCTAAATTACGCCTATCCTTGTCCACACTGCTTTGCTACCGGTCGCCTTTTGCTTTTATTCGTGGTTGTTGACTTGTGCGATAGTCCTCTAGTGGATAATATATCACGGCAGATTGGATAGAAGTATGTTCCTCTGCCGTAGTATCCGACAAACCCTAATTATCTCATAATCCATGCCGGAGGCCGGAAAGATTTACCCGTACGGTATGGATCATGCTTCCAGGGAATCGTACACCTCGCCGCCTTCTGGGCAGAGAAACTTAGTCGCAATATCTATCTCGACGAGTCATTCACCGGTATTTTCCCTTGGTCTCCTTTTGGTTAACAGACTTTACGTTTCTTGTGGCCTGGGAAGGCTATCTCCGATGGCGGGTTGTCCGCATGAGGACCCTGTGGTACCAGCCGTATCGGCCGAATCTGGATCAGACGGGGCCTGGCGCGGAAGCGGAGCCTAATAGAGTTTAGTCCCCCGCTTTAACTTGTGTCGCGATCTGGAGCGGTTCCTTACCACCCAAACACGGGTCCTACCGCCTGACCCACTTTCCGTCGTGTTTTGTATAGTAATTTGGTATCTGTCGAGACATGGAGCGGTAACTTACCATGTAGCCAGGGGTTATACTGAGTGACCTACTTTTTCCTTATATTTTGTATTGTATTTTGGTATCCTTGTCATTACGGTTGCTGTAACATCATGTGCCTTAACATCTCCGGGATATTTCGACCTGCGCCCTGACATTCGTTCTTTCTCCCATCCATCCCTCTCTTGCATCCACGATTGGGTTCCACCTTGAACGTACTCCCCGGGGAACAAGGGTAGTGGATCCTGGGTGAGCAGACCACGTGCGTACAATCAGCACCGACGGACAACGACCCTGGACCGCCAGGCCCGCACTGGTTATTTTTCTTGTTGTGGAGCGCAGCGAACGGGATCGACAGGGCGATAAGCTCAATGCTGATTGGATGGCTGGGTTGACGGCAAAATCCTTCACCGCCTGCACCCGCACGGGATCTCTCCCCACCCGTGGGCCGCACCGCCAGAAATCATTCGGCCGCATACCAAGAGCAGCCGCGCTCAATCTTCCCCGCTGGGCGCTCGGCCCACTGAGAGCCGCACGGACGGTTGCGGAGCGCAACGGAGCATCTCTCACCGGGTCCCTCCAATAATCTTGATGCTGATTGGCTCGTGCGAGTGGGGGCAGAATCCGGCACCACCGGCACCCCGCACGGGATCGATCGCCACGGCTGTCAATCTACCCCGTGATTCCGGTCCGATTGCATATTCGTAGACGACGGGCCATCGGTGCAGGTCAGCAGTCGTACAGACACACAAAACCCCTCGGAGCCCGAGCGATGAAAGAATGGGGAAGGGAGTGAAGTGCGTCCGTGGAGTCGGAGTGGGTGAGGTACCCGGCTTGTAGATAGACAGGGAGCCGAGAGGGACGATGGCGAATCCTCTGGTGGTTGGGCCATGACAACACAGATCAAGGAGGCAAGTAGTCCACAGCGAAGATGAGCCGAGCCAAATCGGCGGGGAGATTCGAAAGGCGTCGAAAAGGACCGGAGTGGTCAACCGTCTACCGGACCCTGGAATACAGAAACGAAGCTAGTAATGTCGAACTACACAGTGATACGTGACCGCGATGGACAAGCTGTTGCAACCTCGCTTGTCGTCAGGACCAGGACGGACGGATACTCTGTGGTCCGAAAGCGAAGTGATCGCCCACGTCTCGGTAGCGGTGCGGAAGTAGTGGGGCAGGAAAGCTGTCGGAGCAAGCCGAGACAGCACAGGAGAGAAATCGCGATAGACGCATGAGAGAGAGGGTACTCGCTCCGTCCCGAGTAGCGACAGGGATAGGTCCTTCTCGACCTAGGGAATATCTTAAGCTTCTCACGGGAGCCACCCTGACGAAAGATCCCCCATCCAAGACCCCCCGGGGAAACAACCCGGCCTACTCCGAGGAGGAGTGACGGAGCCCGGTCACCCTCCCGGACTACAGGTCTCCTACAGGGCGTCTGCATCTAGCATACCTCTGGCTCGGGTCATAGAACACGCCTGCGTCCCGCGTCCCGCACGCTGTTCGTGCCGCAAGAAGACCCAGGAGCTAGGCGACTCGCTCGCGAAGAACCCCTCGACTCTATTGTGTCTCGAGTTGATGTGATAGAGCCTTGGGGGCGTACGTATGCATTATACTCTGTAAGGATCCGTTTCTTCTGCATCTGACTACCTTGTTCCTTCTCCCACAGGTCTACTTCTCCTTACCTAGTGAACCGATGCTTTGTGACGAGTAGTCTGGTGTTACTATGTGGAGTGCTTGGTATGCATCCTGAAGCTTGCATGGTTGACGATGAAAGCAAAGTTACCGAATCGAGATGAGAAGAGTTGGCGATCGTTATCAGTGGGATATATCAAACACTACCCTACTGGATAGATTCTCTTCTTCTTTCCTTCTCTAGACTTGGTTCTTTCGTTGAATGCACAGGATTGTTCCGACTTCCTCTTGGCTGTAACGTGCTTCTCATTCGGTCAAGTTATGGTTATTTGCGCGGATATCAGCGTGGGAGATCAGCCCCTGGGCTAGCTCGATCGCCCATGGTGGAACGGTGTCCATCACAGAGCTTTGCGGCCCCACTATGTTAACTGCGATAAAGTACAACATTCTATCTCAACAACGATCTCCCTTGAAAAATAAGAGACTTAACTCCTATAATCTCTTGATCGCATTCTTCGCCGACCAGTGCCGTGGAGGAACCTCCTTCCCATGGTAAGAGTGGCATCTATATTTGCATCTCGAACCTCCCAAAAATACATTATATTTGATGGTCATGCGCCGAAATAGTGGTCCAAAGAGTTGAACGTCTTGATAGATTATTTCTGATACTGAGGAAAGGATATTTCCTTAAATTTAAGGAACGGTATTCTGGGGTGCCTCCTCGCCCGTGGATTACGTTCACTAGTCTGGCCGCGGTCTACAGCCTACGGGAGAGGAAGGCGATCATGTAGGCCGACCAATCAGAATGTTCTATTTCTGGCGCGGGGGGCATTCCGATCCGCACTAAGCCCAATATGGCGAGAAGCCGCCAGGCGCCTGCCAGATGTTATCTATCCACATGAGAGCAATCGGAGGTGGTTCGTCCTTCCTCCATCCTCTTTCCCTCGCTTCGCCCCCACGATCTTTTCACTTTGCACCTGCGCGTCTCTACCAGTATTCTTCACTTATACGATGGAATCTCCACGGGCACTGCTTGCGAGGGAACTTCCCAACCTGATCCAGTTTGGGGGGGCCACCGCGCCCTCAGTATCAAGTGAGAGGGTTGCGCGAGCTACATGCATCTGTGGCCAGACTTCAACGCCCAGGTGCTTGCTGCGTGTGCGTCACTAGACTTTACCGCCGATGTCAGTCTGACAGATACGCCCGAGGGGACTCCTACTTTGTAGGATATGAGCTGGGCCTCACGACTCGGGTTGCCCGCCATATCCACGAGCCTGTCGCGAAAGCCTTGTCCCTGTCGAATATGCTATTGAAGTTTGGCGAACTCCAGGCGTTGACCCCCAATCCACTGGTGATTCTCGATATTGCCTTAGCTATCTTCGGGCCCGAGATCCCTCCCAGAACCCCTCGAATGACCCTGGTTGCCGCCGGGGAACTCAAGACATGGTGGACGGTGAATCTGGGGGACGTCACCGTGAGATCCAGTTTAAACAGGCGTGCTTACCTCGAGCCATACGTCGGTGCGTCACCCAAAGTATGTGCTTGGTTCCCCGGAGGAGTGGCCCTATCTTGATCCTGAGCATGTCGCGATTTTTAGGGGGATGGACCTGAGGGAACATCTTCGTGGTGGTTACTTGTGGTGGTTAGTTCTGGTGGTTAGCTCTGGAGGCTAGCCCTGGTACCTACTCAACGTCGCTCCCTCTCTTTCCTTTGTTCCATGTGTAATTTAAAGTATATTTTTTTTAACCCTTGACAAATTTCGCTTGCGCTTTACGGCACGTAAACGACCTGTAAAATACAAGCAAATACATGCAAGAAGCTCGGAATGTTGGCGGATGCCTCATATCCCAACGCCAAAGTGATATTACCAGATGTTCGCCACTATAGTAAACGAGGAAAGATAAACTATCTCCCCGCGGAATTTGTCAAGAAGCAACAAACATTATCAGCGGGCTGTCTTCCTTCTGATGATATGGCATACGTCATGTATTAGTGATGAGTACGCAAACTTGACTCACGCTGCTAAACTAGAAACGTCCGGCTACACGCGCGTGCTGCCTCCTTGGCCGTCGCCTGCGGGGATCAACGCCATCTCCGAGGACGAGCTGTGAAAGGGGGAAGCAAGGCGGCTGGAATGATCGGCGGGGTTGGGCTCGAGGGAGCGACAGACACGCTTCTATCCGTTGGTGGGTAGGGGCCCGAATGCCCATCCGCACCGGGGACTAGATATAAGTTTAGGAAGATGGTTAGTTAGTGTAGCAGGGGGATCCAGCGACATTATGTAGCTTAGTCGTTCCTGTTTTGCTGTCTGTTTGTCTGGTTTTGCTTTAGGGGATTTGTGCAGAAATCGTAGGTTTTAGAGCGGGCAAGGGAAAGATATATAGAACACCATATATAAAACACACGCATGACGAGAAGGTCGAACACGGACGTGCTTTCTGTGAAGTTTTTCCTCTCATTTTTCTAGCTCTTGTTTCTGGACGTGACGGTTATCCATTTCTTCTATTGCGGCTGCTGGATCTACTATTGGGAGGTCGTTTACCACCTGTGCGAGTCCATCCTCTGATTGATCTTACGGTAGCTTCGCTGTTGGGGGTTTGTTCGGCCTCTGCCTACGACTCTGTCCCTTGTTTTCTCTCTCGTGTCTCAACCTGCCTGTGCCGACCAGGCTGCCTTGAGCTGCCCCACTTCATTAGGTATAATCCTCCGATCGAATCCGGTGAAATCAGTCCCCCGATCAATGCAGTAAACTCTGTACTCTACCAAATGTGAAATCTTTTACGATGCACTATGTCTGATAAACTGCAAGGGAATAGTTCCGGTGATTTCAACAACCATCTAATCCTGCTCCCGGCTCATGAAAAGTGTCCCGCTGGGCCTAACTGCCGCGATGGTAAATGTGTCAGACCTTCGTATATCTTCAACGGCGGAACCAGGGCCAACTTTATTCTAATTTTCGAGTCCGTCATAACGTGCTCAATCTGGACCGTTCTTAGATGCGTTTTCTACACTCAACGCTGGATCTATACTTTGGCCTTGCTGGAAAAGGCAAGTATGGCGATTTTGTTGATAAGCAGTATATCCATTGTGAGACCTTTGGGCTCTAGCCAGATAGATGGTCTGTAGGGGACGAATGCCTCAGTGAGAAACTAGTGGACCTTCATGACGTTAGCAGGTATGATGTCGCGCCGCCTTTCCTGGAAGATCATATCTCACGCATCGTGGGCGAAAAACCGCGCTGGTTGAAGCAGGGTTAAGATCATAATTAGGAGTCCCCCCCTTTTTAGTGTGCGACGCGCTCGCAGCCTTGCTTGAGATTTATATCCATACTTCATCATTATCTTACACAAGTCCCTAAAATCCAGCCTAGTCCACCGTGCATCATCACACCGTTGTTTGGTCAACTGTATTCCCTAAGTATGAAAAGACTGCAGTTGTTACGGCCGCTGATGGTTCAGCCTTCGACAGTATTTGCCGTAGTTTCTTCGCTGCCAAAAACAAGCCGTTGACTGGGAAGTATTAATATTCTGTCGGGGCAAGCTTGAACAGTATCAGCTCGTAATAGAATTGGAGGAATAAGGTTGGGGATAAGGTTGCGCGAAACCAGTGTTGGACGCACAGGTTGATCTGTTGAAGGATGAACGTCATGGGGCAAGTTGACAACCGCGTAGCTGCGCAGTAGAGAAAGTTGACTGCAAGCGGAAGAGATGTAAAGGTAGGACATGATTGCAGAGATAAATAGCCCCTACACACTGAGGCAGGATAGCGGGCGATAAGCCGATAAACTGCCTAACGGATAATCCAATCGCAAGCAGTGAAATGTGACCACCTTAGGTACCTATACATCCGCAAAGCTGCTGGCAGTTAATACTTTAAATACCAACTGACATTCCTCTACATCGCCCTTCGATCTCCACAGCTACCACGTAGAGCTATCAATCTATCGTATAGTGGCTTTATGCCCACACCATCTCAAATTTCGGGCGGCCTTGTACGGAGGGAGGTGATGATTCTCGTCCGTATCAGATTCTAAAATTATACAGAGGGGGAAATGCGATGCTCTCTGAGAAGACTGAGGAATTGATTGCAAGTCGTCCTAGGTTGTAAATGGGCAAATTCTTCGAAGAGCCTTAGGCCAGTAACTGGAGACTCAAAAGTCTTGTGATTAACGGATGGCGGAGGGATCACACAAGTCGAGTATCATCCTGAATCAGATCCGACAGAAAATAACTGTAAGTCCACAATCATGAAGCAAAGGCATGTTCACCTAGGATAGTGAATTCATTTTCCTTTCATAACAGATACCGCTGTTGTCTATCACATGTTCCCTTGTGACCACTTGTGACAATCAAAAAGAGTGAAAGTAGTGCATGCCCTTCCATCATCGTAGCCAATATCCCCGATTAATAGCCTGATACAACGGGACAGATTCTCTGATCAGGGCCCTACCAGAAGCCCTCGACTGAGGCACCGCCACCGGGAAGACACTTTCCTGAGATCCAGAACCGGCGGCCTCTCGTGAGCGCAGCGGCGCTAATGTGGGAATATGAAGCGCAGGATCAAAACTGATCAGAATAAGCGCTTTGTGTTGAATAGGTAGACCGGGGCAAGAGATGGAATATATGTGGGAGCGTTCATCTGCGATCGCGGCTACTATTGCCCGAGCGCTGGTCTGGACAGAGGAGGCGGTGTAGTTCGGCGGGGGGATTTTTAGAAGGCCACATGTGGACGCCTCGCGAGACGAAGCGCTCCTCTGAGTATTGGATGGGAAGGCTATTAGTGTCGACTTTTGTTGGTGGGAAGAGGAGACCTGGTGCACTGGCGATGCCTTCTTCGTCAATGGGGCATTTACGTTTGCGTGAAACTGTTCGGAGACGGAGACGATCTCGCACACGGACGCCGGATGCCTGTGGGGAAGGATCGTTGACTATATCGACAAATGTGGAGCTGGCGAGGTTGTAGCTGTGATGCTTTGTGTGTACGTAAATAAATCCTTGCCGCTCCTTTGGGTCGTCACTGAGCTCATGTTCCGGGTGATGGTTGCGTCGGAGACGTTTCTCGGGCCGATGATCGTATGTCTAGTCGACGACCGGATCTTTACTCGGTCCTGCCTCTTCATTGTTGGAGTTGTTGCCCCGTGAGGGAGCTTTGGTATTTCCTTCTGGATGGGCAGCTTGTAATTCTGCGGGGGTGGGTAGGGGTTTGATATAAGGTGTACGGTGATTTTCATTTTTCCCGTCGGGCCATTCACGGTGAGATTCGACAATCATGAGGCAGCCTGTGGTTCCATCCTTACGGAGAGACAGATCCGTCCACATCTCGTGGATGGGACCTTCGCGATGCTCTCGACGCCAGAGTGGGCCGGTCCATCTCCGACTCTGGTTCCGGGGCGCATGGCAGGACCAGTGATAGAATGAAGAGAATCGCTCATCATCCTCCGACACAATCTGTGTAGAGACGGTATAGAGATGGTCCTAGTAAATATCGAAGCAAGTAGTTTGTCCCAGTTCCCTGTTCACTGCCCGATCTAGATGAAACTCGATCGTTTCATCGGTGGCTAGGTCCACCCCGCGACATAGCCAGGCTCCCTGGGAGCCGGGAGCCTCTATAAGGACACCATACCAGAGATATGAGCGACTATGCCGCACGACTATTGGGGCTGATAATGAACTCGGATTTTGTAAGAGTAGTCGTCGCTTCCGGCGACTCTGCCGTGGGGTCATATCAATAGCAACCAACGAGTCCGCCTGTGCACCGATACCCTCTAACCGAAACACAACAATACCGTGGCTGTAGTGGAGAATCCTGACCCTTCCAGCGGGGTCAAGCATCTCCGGCAAGCCAGTGTATAGCCGCGGAATGACCTCGTATAGATTTAAAACCTGCTCCTTGCGGGCTCCACGATGCACATTAAGCAGGCGAACTTCATGCCCAACGCGATAGCAGAGAACGCCTTGGTGATACACAAAATCGACTGCATATGCCAGCATTGCGGCTGCATAAGGAGATGCCGTGGCAATCGCTTCGTGGATATCGAAGCGGTACCCGGCAGCCTTCCGGTATCCAGACTGGGCCGCCAGGGCGGTGCGGCCTTCCTTGCTGTATGCGAGCACACTCTGCAGAGGGGGAAGGAGGAGGAGAACATGCTGAATTAAGTAAAAGAGTACAAAGTTGGAAAGGGGGGGAGATTCACTGCCCGCTATTCATTTCCAGCCATAGGCGTGCCTGATACTGCCACTCCTGTTAGTACTGCCTAGCAAAGCCTCATCCATGATCGCGGTGGAGTACTGCTGGCCGAAGCTCAGTCTTTCTCATACCTCTCCACTCATGTTGTCCGCTACTCTCCCCGCATGAGGAATAAGAAGTAGCACACTTCCCATGTCATTTCTTACTTAACCTTCATGTTTGTCCTGCAAGTACTCATCGTCTAACATCACAGGTCAAGCTGTAATAATTCTGACCGGTAAAGTCCCCACATTCTCCTGTGTGTCGTGTGCCTCAAGTCCGGGACTGATATCCCGTCTCTGAGATTTATCGCGATTCTCGAGGGAATTATCCGCCATCAATCCTGCCTACAGATAGTGGATTCCAGCCCAGTTAGCCCCTGTACTATCGCCGCTCTTTGAGCGAGATAACCAATCAGATCGCAGAGATAGACAGGCCTCCTGGCCGCTTCTGTATTTAGAATAATTGATATTATAGGAATTTTAAATTTTCTTGTTTTGATTGTACAATCAGGTTATTCCTCCGGTGGGTTATATATTTTGTCAATCGTTCCCCATCGATGTCTGGTCCATAGCATTCCCTTTCTCAACCTATTATTTCCGCAAACTTCTAACAAAATGACTGTCGCCAGCGCTTTTGCAACACCGTCAAGCATCTGCTAGGGTGTCATCCCGTAGGTGAGCGTCTGATACATTCTCTCCGTGTATTTACGTCGACGCATATTCCACGTCGACGCTCATTTAAAGGAAACAATCTGATTGGCCTTATATGGAGGCCTTTTTTAGTGTGACAGAGAGTGCTCACAGACGATAGTCAGGTGCAGTACTGGCAAGTTTACGTACTTCCGAGTTGCAACGATCCCGAACCTCGGGTAAGTTCCCAGTGAGCTCTATCGAGATAATGCTCATCTTCCTAGTATATTCAACTGAAGGGCTTTATAAACGTCAAAACATATAGTGGTACATTAATGCGAAGCATTTCCTCCTTCCTAATTTACTCAGAGAGCAAATCTTCCCGCAACAAATTTTTACATAAAAAGAAAGAGGTCTCAGAAGGACCGAGGTTCACCCCGGATCCTCGATCCACCGCACAGAATACCTCCGTTTCCATTGTGGTTGAAGATTTATTCCGCAGAGACGTTCGAACCTCCCTCACTTCATCCAATACAACACCATCCAATATCCCCTAGCCAAACCGGGGTTCTTAGACACTGAAAGCGTGAGGAAGGAAAGAATGAGTGTAGGAACTGCGGCCATCTCACCCAACATGTGAACGGTAATGCCTTTTAAGGACGTCACTGCGATAGAATGAGCGCTGGCACCCTTGCACCCTGCAAACGTAATTTTTATGCATAGAGTGGTTCAGCATATGACGCTGGAGGTTCCTTTGAAATGTATAGCTCTTTGTGCAACCAGGTCTTGTACAACGAAAACCTCGCTGTCTGAGAAAGAAGTGCGGACTGTCACGTATCGAGATAATGGAGGTTCGATGATGCTTGTAGGGTTTTGGCCACGAATCAGGATTTGAGGGAAACGTAGTCATCAAAGATTCAAATGATGGCGTCATAGGGGAGACGATTTGTGGTGCATCTGATGTAATTGATGGAGCCACTGGGACTGCATCCACTATATGCCTTGGAAGGACAGAAGAGACGTGCGAAAGAATCTCCAAAGGAGATTCACCGGGATAGTGCCGCTTGTTCCTTGGTGACAATCGAGAATGTTCTGGTGAAATGGCATTGTCCAAACCTGAAGTGGTAGCAATCAGTCCATCATTATGTTAAAAATGGTGTTAGACACTTGGAATGCTGAGACAAACGTACAATATAGTTGATGCTGCCTTCGTATATGCATACAGCGCAAGAAAAGGGTCCATTTGAGAGTCTTCGTGGTCCTCGAACAGATCTCGGCCTTGTCCAAAGATCGATTCAACCTTTCCGAAGACACTATCTGCCCGTTGTCTCCGCAGAAGATAGAGAGCAAAATCGCCTTGACCTCTGACAGTACCATTAATAAACAAGACCTAAACCTGCTCCCGGCTCACTCACCATCGGCAGACGACACTTCTGGTTTTTTGCCATGAAAATTCGTCTTGTACATTTCCAACATCCATCGCGACAGTATCTCTCGGTTTTCTTTTTCGCTAAACCCGTTGAATACGCTCTCATATAGCTCCGTGAGACTCCTTGGGTTTCGGGATGTCGCCTGAAACATTCGAAAAGAAAGAGCTTCAATCACTCGTTCTGCGAAGAAACTCTCTTACTTGGAATAGGCGCCCGACCCTGAGAACATAAGTTTACCGCGTTTTTCAAAGTTTGCACACAACACATACTTTCTGGCCATTCTTTCATCGCTGGGTCTGGAGGTTGGCCAGGCTGCTGCTGTCTTGGGGTTTAAGGTTGTTCATAGGGTGAGAACGACAGAAGAGAAGTCCCCAAGCGCGGAGACTAGGTTTGTTTCTCTTCGCTTTTATAATTAGTCCATTCGGGGTGTATTTCAATAGGAAAATCTTTCATGGCCGGTTCATCCTATGTACTGGTAATTCTGTCCTATATGCGCTATCATCGTACATGGTTGTAGCTGTAGATCATGGGGGCGACAGACTGGGTCCGTCTATTAGACTCCTCATCAGTAAGGGGCCATTTTATTTTATTCATACTTTTGACTATACGGCCACAATGATAGTGGGACGCGGCGACCGTTCGTCCCTGCTTAGCCGGGCCGATGGAAGTCGTCTCCCTCTGCAAAGTGGGGATTACGTATGTGCAACATTTCGAACCGTAACGATGCTATCTAAGCTCGAGTAGGTGATAGCGGTTTAGTGCAATAGAAAATTCGAATGAGGATCACTACGGAGTACAGTTTCGTTGGATCTATCTTTTCTAATTTTGGCTGGACCCTGTAACGTAATCCACGACCGAGTGCGGCATACGGCCGTATGCACCGTACGGCCGTATAGCACACTGCACCTACCACCGTATTTTTAAATAGTAATTTTTTTTCAGCTAAGACGCCTTACTTGATGTCGTCATGATGAGGCGTTGATATACTGGCTAGTACTGAAGATTCCCAGTAGAATCAATCGATTGATTGATATTAATAATAATAAGAACGGTTGAACACTCTCGAGAGTGTATCATCCAGATGCCATGTGTTACGACACAATTTACTTCCGAGTCTGTTCCTTGTACCATATGAATACTAGTCGAATTAAGTGGACAATGAATATCCTATCCTAAAAGGGTCTTAGTAGTATTTGACTACTGCTTCAGTTCGTCAGATTTGGTCGAGACCTGGAGCGGTAACTTGCCACATAGACAGAGGGTTCTACTCAGTGACCAACCTTTCTCTGTCTGGCATAGTAAGTTGGTATCCTTGGCATTCTGGTGGTCGTAACATCGCGTATCGGAGCCATCTATGGTGTATTTCGACCTGCCCCATGAGTGGTGGTGCCTGATGATGGAGATCTTTGTGCTCGTCTCCATGATAAGATTCATTGCTGTAGGAGTGATTCAGGCTTGAGACAATGATAGTTATAGACGGATGAACGCTTTCACAGGGTTTACTTGTGTTTGCACTCGTTCGTATTGGCTGGTTCGTGGGTAGTCGTCCAATTTTTACTGGTAAAGATTCAAGATGAGAACAGCCCGTTTCTTTGGGGGAAGAAGTTGGGTATCTTATGTGCAAATTCAATAAACTCTAATAAGCAGAAATACATGTATTGGAAAGCAGCGTTCGCAAGGAATTTCAATATTGGATTTCGGGTTTCGTTGTTATAATCTTTACGCACATTTGCGTTTACAAAAGAACACAGAGCAAGGCCAATAACTTATGCTCCATTTTGACCTCTCTCAACACAAACTCAGTCAACAGACCTGTAGCTGTGGCGGTAATGATTTTGTGGCATTAATCAAAAACCTTTAGCAATCACGGCATTCCATTCGTCGCGGAAGTGTTCCAAGAAGTCTTCCTTCGGGCGAGTGGGCTTCCAACCTAGAGATCGTGCCAACGTACCCGAAGTTCTTGCGCTATGTGACACGAAGTTAGCGATCAAAATTCTCAACAAAGGCATAGGGTTCAACCTTACGTCGACGCAAATCCAGACTCCGTCCACATTTTGCTTCCCCACCCAAGCTCCGCTGTTGCTTCAGCGAGTGATATAGTGCGTACTTCCTTTGTTTTAAGCTTGCCCAATTCAAAACCTGTGGTTGCGATGCCATTTGCAACTTCGTTCCAAGAATGCTCTCCATTCTCAGTGAAAAAGATACCCTGCTCTCCGTGAGGGATCACAACTCCTTCAAGCAGTCGTGCCACAAAGACCTCGTATAGAAGTCCAAGATCATGCACGTGCACGTGATTCCAGACACCACTTCCATCGCCGATAACCCACACTTGGCCCTCACGGTAGGCCGAACGGATCATTTTGGGGACTTGGATTGTCAATCTATTGAACTCCCCCTCTCCCTCTCCATAAATATCGGCAGACATCAAAATATAGGTCTTCACACCTTGTTCAATGCCTGTCTCGATAACAGCCAGATCCGTTTCTCGCTGCTCGTAGCTGAAGGCAGCGTTCATCCTACGGAGCGCTGCTACAGTCTTCTTCGGATTATCATCGGTAAATACTCCGGATGGCTCTTCGTCGTACAGTCCAAGATATGGACTATTTCCGATGTTCGAAGTTCCAGACGTCTTGAAATAAGTTATTATCAAAAATATGTTCCAGCAGAACCATCGGTGTGACTAACGTGGATATATTGGACTTGATAGCCCATTGCTTGCTTGCGCTTCGCAAGGCCCGTAATCAATGCTCTGGCGCATCCAGTAGCAAACCCTGACGCAGTATGGACCACAACTGGTCAAGGTAAAATTATTGATTAGTCTGACGCTTTCCTCTGTTGCAGTCAATGGGGATGTATTACCATCATGCTTAGACGCAACATTAGTGATGGTCTCAGTATCATCGAAGCCATTAAACACTATGGTCGCCACTTGAAAACGCTCCTTTAGTACTCTTGCCTGCTCCTCAGTTCGCACGAGAACAGAGATTTCACTCTCTTGGATCGCTTTGGACGGGCTGTTTAGCAGAGCCTTCAAGACTGTCCCACCACTGTATCTTGATTAAGGCTGTGTGTGTGCAATGGAGGATAAAGATGACATACATGTAGCCAGATGCTCCCGTAACCAGAATACGTTTGGGAACCATTGTGACCAGGTGGATATATTGGATAAGATCTGCATATCGTGATAAGTTGCAAGGGCCAGAATGTCCATTATAACTGCTAACTACACACCGTCACGGTGGTAATCGCTTACAAACCACGTCTTGGTACGATCTGCATGTCCACTTTAGGTTGCCTTTCTTCATATGTGACGGCTTGCTCGCTTCTTAGATTTCTGCTCTTCCCTTTTCTCCCCCGCTTCCGCGGACAAATGCTCATCTCACAATACCACCTCGCCCGAGCCTCAAACCCCCTTCCATCACACACCTTCGTAGACTAGTATACTTAATATGGAGTAATTTACTCACTCCCAGAAATAACACATAGGGGCCTTTCCTGCTCATGGCTTAGAAGAAACTCCTTCCTTGCTTGCTGTATAACTTACGAAGTTCAATTCTTCTGAATTACAGTACAAATTATTACTAACAGATAGAAAAAACTAACTCGTAAACCTACTTTAGGCATTTTTATTACTCTCCATATTATAAATCCTGGATTAGTTAGTTATACGAGGGTGATTAGAAATCCTCCTTCCGCTTCCGCCCTACGCGAAGACGGAAGCGGAAACAAAAGCAGCCTGAGTCTCTCCGATGATTTAGTTAAGTTGTTTGACATTGGTTTGTGCTGATTCAGCAGTTGATACCGAAATAGGAAATAACCTGACATATTTTGATAAAATCGCGGTAAGCAAGTAATTCCGCCGTCGATATAACTACCCAGTCTGTAAGAAAGTTGGACACCAAGTCAACCCCTACCTTTTAAATCGATTTTTAACACTGAGACGCAGCAAATATTCCAATATAGCTAGTTTTACATCTATTGGTCCTACGCCCAATCTCTCTGCGCCCACTACACCTTGGTGGTGATCATAATAGGTTCTGCGGAGGCTCGTCAATTCGCAGAGAGGGTGTATTAGGGATCGTCTCGGCAGGGTGTTCCGCCTACTCAACCAACGCCAGGCCCTCCTGGATGCTTAAACCTCCGTCATGTGGTATATACCGCCTAGACCTCGTAGAATTTTCCTTCTTCCTGTCATTCACAGTGCGTAGATCGCTGGCTTTCTTCGCTACAAGCGCTGCCTTATGCCAAAGAACGATAACGGCCTGTGATGATTTGATCAGGTTTTTTTAAGAAGGACTTGGTGGGCTTATTGAGCGCTGCGTAAGTAAAGCCTTAAGCGACGAAGGTTGCCTTTTTGATTGAACAGTAGTCCTAGGTGGTTTTGATGGAAATGCACTAGATCTACTGCATGAGCCGGCTATCAGGGGTTGTAGGCGTGTGAATAACCATATTTAGCTTCGAACGTACTCGATCTACGTCGCGTCGTACCAGAGCTGCTGCGGCAAAGCTCGTTTGAATAGTTTCTATTTTGCACGCCTCTGCACGTGCGTAGGGGTACAATGCTAGGATATCTAGCTTGTCGATGGACATGAATTCTCAACGGAGCGACTTTACGAATGTTTCAGCACGGCCAAACACATTGTATCAAGCGGTTATAATATGCGTGAAGAGTGCGCTGGTATATGGAGAGCTATCATGTTGTTTCCTTGCGAATTTTGTCAACGGAGCCATGAGGTGGCTGCCGTGACCATCAAGAATCCAAAGTTGATAATTTCCATGCGAATGTGACGATGTATATGGGATAAAAACCTGCTGGAGCCGTTGTCGGCTCACAGATTGACCCAAATTTCCTTTGTTCTGTATAGTAACTTGGTATTCCTGGTAACTTGGCTGCTGTAACCCCAAGTACCAGAACCATTTAAGGGGTATTTCGACCTACCCCAGGGCATCTTCTATTTGGACGGAATCAACCATCTTATTCATCTGATGCTGGTTCGACTTGAACTCATTCGCCAATATGCATACTAGTCTATACTGCATCAGCTTGCTCTGAGAGCTTATTTCGTCTGCAGTCCGTCCGCTTTGACTAACCTGAAACGCCGATCGAGTAGTAAATTACCAAACAATACCTCGCGATAGTGTTATCCTTAAGACCCCTTACCGCCCTGATTACATCGGATTACGGCCTTGGCCCTTAGTCATTGTCGGAGTAGCAGGCTGGTGCATACCCGGAGAGGAGGAAATACTGTATATCCTTGCTCCGGGCTATCCACCTGACTGCTCGACACATATCAATGATGAATCACATGATCTCCACAGGATCCAAACATTGCGCCATTCTGTAGTTTGGTTTTCCGGTCACGGGAACGGAGTTGAACGTTCAAATGCCGGACGATCCGTGACCCCAAAGTCGTAATACCAAATCATCATTTGTATCATAATGCCCGAACGACAGTCTAGCAGTTGTGACCCATGCCGGAAAGCGCGAATTGATAGCGATGCTAACCGAAAGACCCCATATTCATGCTCTAACTGTATTCGAAGGAGGCTCAAATGCACAGACACGGTAAGATGACTCTTCCCGATTGCACCTTGTTCATACCTGACTATTGTAGCGGCTGGGAATTAGAAAAGCTCAGTCGACGAACAATGTTCCTGCGATCTCTAGTTCCACACGAAGCAATGCAGATATTCGTCTGCAGACCGACTTAGATCGCCGACAAAATGCTCTGTCTTTCCATACCCTATTATGGGATATCTTCGCCACCCAGTTCGAGCCCTAGCTTGGCTTATGGATAGGGAACGACTGCTGTCCTTTCAAGTGCCTGCCCACGGTAAGGTCAAACCCTCGTGCGATCTCGACATCCAACTGACTGCCAGGCCCCGAAAACGCTCATCACGAGGTTAATGATGACTCTAGATGAAGGCAATAGCCAATTTTGCCGGAGCCCGGAAAGTCGCAGCGTGGTTTCGGTGACCGAGGATAACGTCCTGACCAATAAGGCCCCTGTACATGCGATCTACGCATTTTCCGTGCGTTGGGTTATCTCTAGGCCACCGAAGATCGACTCCGACTGTTATGCTGATATCACACAAGAAGCTCAAGATAGGCTCTCAGACGTCCTGTGGCATCGCGCCTGAGGAAATATGTATCCTCTTCTAGGACGACCAAGTTACCGGTCCAGTCTAGCTCTATATTTGTTCGGAATCACGCCTGTCACATCACAAAACCCGGAATCACGATTTAGTGATGTATGCCTAGCTACGTCATTGATGCAATTGAAAGAGCTCAGGCTCGGCGACTTCAATCGATCCCATTCAAATGATTCAAGTGCATGTCTTGGAGGAGAAAATACGGCGAACATGTCGCTGTGCTAGGAAACCGAAATTAAAAGTTGGGATTGAAGGTACGTAGATGACGTTCTCTGACTTTCAGACGGTGGGTATGAGTTAACTCCCAGAAAGGCCGTGCTTTATGAAGCCACGCCGGCACGAAAATTCTATGGGTGTCTAGACCGCGGACGCTTGATTGAGCTTAGTGGCTGTACTTTTCAATCATTCATCGCGAGATTGTTTCGAGGCTAAGATCATCTTCTATTCAACCGTGGGTTCTGCGACACCCTTCTGGTTCCACGACGCGCATTTTGGTTTGCGACACTCGTTTTGTTCTGCGACACCCTTTTGGTTCTATGTCCGATATAGCTCATATAGTATTGGTATTCGAAGAACTGTCATGATGGATCGTGGTCGCTTTCAAACAGACGTTCACGATGCTACGTACTTTCTGACTGAAGAAGAGGAAGCGCAGAGAACAATGCGAAATCCCGCTGTCTAACACTAGATTTGACAGTAAAGATTAAGCATGAATGGCGCGTCATAAGCACAACGAGATCATCAGGTCGCTAGGTTCGACTACAGACTGGCTTAAAGAGTCACATAAGGAAGTCTTTGAACGGAATAGGAATGCGAACGCATACTGCTTGATCCATGCGACTACTAAAACGGCTCCCTGTAGCCACCAAGACTGATCACCCAAGGTATTAAGGCCGGTTTACCGATATAGCTCATAGGGATATTCGAAGCACCGTCATAAAGACTTTCGCCCAGTCTTTGATTATCGAGAGCCGATCAAGCCCTCAGTATATATAACTACGCTAACTCACCAGGGTTCAAATAAGAGTCCTCTGGATGAGAATATGACCCATAAAAGCGTGAGAGCAGCTGACGACCATCCCCAAAATGAGTCGCAGGGGACATTCAGAGATGATGAAGCCAACGTTCTCCCCAAGTCCTTTATTAAATCCACTACACTAAGGTCTACGGTTGTCTTCAAATCTGATAATAGCCATGGGCCTACTACCCATTCTCATAGCTCTGAACAACTATCGACCCCCTGAAATAAATGCGTCAGAAAATGAAGACTCAGAGCCGGAAGGTCCAATTCTGAGAATCCCTGAGTGGCACACAAGATGGAAGTGGTTTATTTCACCTTCTGGTCTTGCCTGGGTGGACCATTTAGACACTTTCTGTGACAAGAGCCTATTCTTTGGTAAAAGAGTGCATTCTGCAGCGAATACTGAGACTGGAGAGGAGAGAGAGAAGGAAGAAGTGCTGGGGGTGCAGTGCTTGCCCTCATACCCTTCAGTCTCCGCCAATCAGATCGCTCGAAACTAGCTGGTCTATCAACACACAGTTTCCCAGTATCACACTTTTCATGTAGGTGTGCCCAAGAAATACGCAAGGAAAGGGTTTTCTATCTATGATTAGCTCCAACGTAATATCACTCGTGCGACATACTTCCGGGGAGGGAATACAGATGGAGTGAATGCTGTTTATATGTTTTCAACTGAAGAGGAGTGAAAACTCGTGACAGAAGGTAAACTTAAGAGAGTTAAAGATCCCGCTATAATCCCCATGAAGCGGGTCTCCAGAAACGTGAAAGATCTTTAAAATGAGGCTTTTAGAGTGACGATGGTATCTTCAGACTATCCAGAGCTCGATAATACCCTTATAGAAGAATATTAAATACCGGAAGGCTTTCCTGGGATATCTATTGATTTGAGAGCGTACGTGTTTCGTGAAGGAAATCCTAAGAGCAATTGAATACCAGAAGCCTCATCTCATGACAGGAATTGTCTCGTGTAGGCCGCCTTGAGATATTGTAGTCAAGACTAATGATATAACTAAAACGAGCCTCCTATGACTAAGCTTCTAAGAGACCTGAGCTTCCAAGACCTTAATCATATGATGGGCCTCTTGGGAAGGCTCTATTCCTGAGAGAATTGTCTTAAGACGAAACTAGTCCTGTGAGATCCGACCAGAGAACAGAGGGCAGACAAGAAGAGGTACGTTATGAGAGACTGTTCTTCGAGTTGAGGGCGTCCTATAACTAATGGTCATCCTAGGCCTAACTCAGTTTAAGACAGGTAGGGGCCAGCCAATAGTGTTGCGCTGCGGAGGTGGATTCAGTGGTTTAGTCCCGGGATCCCATTGGCTCACTTTGTTCATTGCCTGCTAAAGTGGGTCACTGTGGCAATACGGAGTCCAACTACCGCAGTAGCCTTTTATTCGGGAGTGTTTGGTGTGGCCAGACGCCCCGCGGACACACTGTATTGTGGCTGAGTGTCGAGCAGGGTGGTCTTGATATTGTGGGGGTTACAAGTTTGCGGGTTTGGCGGTAGCGCGCGCTGTTCGCCATTTATAGTATTGCCTCTCACTAACCTCCCAAACTGAGGGGGCGGTGCTTCGATGCGACGATGGAGGATGGCACGAACACGGTTTTTGTGACATTTGGCGACGACCTGGCTGTAAGTGAGGAGACAGTGGATTCGGGCACTCCGCGATGATCGGCCGGCGAAACGCCAGCAGTAGACTTGACCAGTGTATCTATGGAGATCGCGGACCCAGCGAGGACATAGTGAAACTAACGTTCTAACCTGTTCACTACTTCCATGGCAGTGGCAACACTACTAACAGTCTAACAGTCTCCTTTTTTTGCCGCGGACTAGCACAACGAGAACGAGGCTCGCGCCACCGGCTGGGCTCTGCATGTGGAAGCCAAAAGAGAAATCTCCACTTAATGCTACGATGCGCACGTCTCGTTGGTCGACAAGCCTATCCGCCGTTTTGCTTGAAGAACGTGCTCGAGCCATGTTGCCGAATTCCTGGGTCGCTGATGGATTCTTGCGAACATTACAGTACTTTCAAGGGGCCCTGAGCGGCTCGAGTTGAATCCAATGTTGGCCAGACTTCTGTCCCCAGTCGCCTATGCCAAAATTAGCGAGGTTCCAAGTAATCAATCGTCAAAGGTTAAAATTAATGGCCCCATGTATGGAGTGCAAGATGGGCAAATGGCGTCCACCGGACTCGCTCTTCTTTGGGGAAGGTTTGACAGGGTTCTCATGATTCTAACTTTCTCCACGTTTCATTGATTCCATGGATTCATTAGAATGCCGTCGGACACTTCGGGACTTTTGGTCATAGGCAGCCGGTACCTGATAACTTCTGACAGCCCTGAGCCAATATGTAGTTGAATAATGATTATGAGATTATTTGTCAGTGGACAGGTCCGACAGATACAGTAGTTGCTTAAAATCTTGTCAAGCGTGGATAGCAATGATCTTCAGGCGTGGTAGGAAAACTGTAACTTTGAACTCCACAGGCTGCCCCTTCGGCTCGTAGTTTAAACTTCACACACCTAGAGTGTGTACGGCCGTATATCACCCGTCCTAGTGCCTCAGGTGCCTCGGATAGTTTTTATTACCTATTACTCCCAGAAATTTATCACCATTTCAGCCCGCGTTGCCCGGCCCTCTTCTTGCCACTGACGACTCCGATTGTAATGCTTGGCTCTGGTCAGTGAATTTTCCTTCATAATTCTCTTTTCTTTCTTCAATTCCTTCCCCTAAACTCCCTCCCGTCCTGGTAGCCCCTCTGGGAGAGAGAGGGTGAATAGGAAATTCGGCCTATCTATACTTGATTATTGCTCTTCGGAGAATCATGTATATTAAGTGACCCACGACGCCAAATTAGCCATCACCATGCTACCGTTGGAGGGTCGCAGCAAGTCGATCTTTATCGTCACTACTATCTTTTTGGGTATTTCGTTTATTGCGGTTTGTCTGCGATGCTTTGTTCGACTCAGGCTCATCAAGGCCTTCGGCTTGGATGATGCGCTGATGGTTTTCGCGATGGTAAATGAGTGGCCTCGTTTTGCATCAAAGGTCGTCTCGTGTTTCTCGGAGTTGCTAACGACCTCTTTTCTAGTGTCTCAATATTCTTTTTGCGCTGTGTGGAATCACTGGCTCGTTGTATGGGCTGGGTCAGAAGTCACTGGAGCTCCTGCTGGTACGAAAGACCATGGAGACCGCTATGTTTGTAAGTTCTCCAAAATATGCGAGGAAAGTAAGAACAAATCAGTGACTAATAACCAACTCAAAGTGGTGGTGGCTAGGTCAAACTAGTTACGTATGGACTTGCACCATAGCAAAGATCTCTATCGCCGTCGCTCTTCTCCGCCTTACGGTCGTGCGGGCTCATGCGATCATCCTTTGGGGGTCATCGGCGTGACCTCAGTTGTCGGTCTGATTTTCTGGTTCATATTGACTCTTCAGTGCCAACCCGTCTCCTTTTTCTGGACTCGGGTTCGACTGGAGCTCGATCCGACCGCGCCCGTCCACGGTACTTGCCTGAGTCTAGATACCCTCCTCGATATGTCCTACGTCTACAGTGCTACCGCTGCGTTGTGTGACTTTACCTTGGGAATTCTGCCTGTATTCCTTGTGTGGAATCTCCAGATGAATGTTAGGACAAAGGCCGCCTTGGCCGGTATTTTGGCCCTTGGCGGTATTGCAAGCGCTGCAGTCATTGTCCGTATTCCATATCTCTCGGACTACAAGGATCCGGACTTTTTGTGTAAGTTCGCACTGTATACACCATATACCTTTTCTCGGAAACGTTGACTACCAATGCTTTTTCTTTCTGCAGACGCAACCACCAACATCTCTATCTGGTCCAACGTCGAAACCGGTCTCGGTATCGCAGCAGGCAGTCTCGTCACACTCCGTCCTCTATTCCGCTGGCTCCGCGACCCCAGCTACAGAGGAACTCGAAGCAAGCAAACCGGCGGCAGCGTGCCACTCTCGAACATGAGTGGAAAACAGACTACCCCCTCTACTCCTCGATATTGGCGACCCGATATATACCAGGATGACTCCCATGCTGCGGTTACGACTGTTCATACCTCGAATCGAGGTAGTCGCACCAGCAGTCAAGAGGATCTTAATCCCAAGCAGCAAACGAATCAGGCCATGTATTTCCAAGGCGTGAATGTGCAGAAGACATTCTATGTCTCGGAGACTTCAGAATAGCATCATACTGCATATATTTCATTTTGTTAATGGAACGGTCAATCTCTGAATCTACCCTGGTTATTTGATGGGTCACGGTGCTAGAGGCATAGAGTTCATGTATACCCAACCTTAGATGGATCTTAATTCATGTTTCCTTTAGTAACCTCGCATGGTGGTGGTTCAAGAAAATGAATCTCGATTGAGGTGGAAAGCCGACAGAACGAGATATGCTTCAACATCCTTCCAGGATATTTTTCAATGTGTTTCTTGACTGGTCTAGACTCTTATATTCTATCCATGACTACCTATATAGTGGGATGGCGAAAATTGGATGTTCCGATATTGTCATAGGGTCTTGCAGGTACTGCCCATGGGGTCGCATCCGATGGAGCCTTGGATATATATCTCGAGAAGCTCGACCAATGTAGCGACCGATGAAATTGCTGTCAAAATCGAGGCTAGTGCAATCGGTCAAGCATCTAGATCCATTTTCTCCAGAATTAATTAACGTTTCTGTTCTTCAAGAACACCAAAATCAAGCTAAAGCCGCCAAAGAATCCTCCGTGGATTCCTTCCTATCCACTTCCCAATCGAGATTATCGATCTGCATCAGTTTGTCGGCTCAATTTGATTGCAAATTCATGAAGCAAAATTCTTCTCCCTCTTCAACAAAGAAAGCAACGCGGAAAAACGGCTTCCGTGCTTGAACTTGAATCATTGAACTAGACCTGCAACACGATATACATGCTTTATCCTGCAAAAGGGTAGCATCCGATATATCCCGTGATTGGTGCTCGGCAGATAGGACACTTCTCCGTTGTTCCAAGACTTCCTGCGCATGACCTGCAGACCATGTGTCCACATAGAATGAACACCCAGCGATCTGGCTGCATATAGCAGATCTTGTACTCTAAAATACGTTTTTCTCTTTGTTGGGAAAGTTCCTCTTCCGTCTTTTGGTGCCTCTCCCTCTCCTGGCGAAGTTCATCTCGAAGTTGGCGATTTTTCTCTTGTAGCCGTTGTGTTTTATGGCTAACTGCCTTTCGAAGCTCCTCAAAGGCGTTGTCCTGGTCCGTTGTTAGTTAAGGAAGAAGAAGGCCTTGTGAGGAAACTGGTACCAATGCAGACGATTCCTTCGTTTCAGTTCTTTTGCGTTTGCGTGATGGTGTCGTTTCCGTCTCATCATTGACTGCTTCAACGATCATGTTCTCGAACTCCCGGTAACTGTAATCACGGCGAGGGGCCCTCCGAGGTCGTGAACTACCTGGCTCGAGGCTTGGCAATTCCTCGTCATCGGGTTATAATAATCGTGTCGGATGGGCTTGCCATCTTGATCTTAGTCGTCACGCTCAGGGGAGGAAAGTCGATAGAAGCCGGCCTGGGAAGACGAAAAGAGAATATCAGAGCATGCAACCAGCTGGGGGAAGGAGGCCCTTTATATACCTGAGAACCAAGAGTGATGGACTCAGCCCCTGGAAATAATTGGACTTCGTGCGATCGCAATATCCTAAGCTGCATTGCACGATTGGACGTCAAGCCGTGATGGTGATGAAACTAGGCTATAGCGTTGCATGCGCTGCCCCGACAGGCAGACAGTGTATACCTATATTTATCCGGATCCCCCCGCTTGACTGCCACTCAGGACATCATGGCCTGCTTATTCTTGTCTCTGAAGTTCCTGCACCGGATTCGGACAACGCTTGCGACTGCGCACATGATGCACATTAAAAGCATGGCGCTGGAACGCCATTTGATGTAGCAAGGCTACTTCACACCAGTTGCACCAACAAGTGGATTTTCTTTGAGATGAATAGCGTCAAAATGGCGCGTAACACACCCAGCATCATGATACATCTGGTAGCGAACATGGTCAGGGAGCCCCTTATTTGCAAAGCATTGAAAGCAAGCCTCTGGCTTCTCAGAATTCTCGAGGTATTCCTTAGTAGCACGCGATATTTATGCTCTGTTGACATGTAATGAACAGGATTATTGTACACATGATGAGAGGACAATAAAATCGATTCGACATGGCCCAAAAACACTGCAATTTAAAACCCAAGCTCAATGCAGAATAGCGTAGATTATGTTTGATGTTTAGGTCCTGATATGTTTGAGGAACTCTAGTATACACTGCGTGTGTCGGTGCGAATTTGTTGCTTCGCTTCACGCTTGAGGTACGACGGGGAGGTGGGTATATGAGAGCCGTCTAGCGCTGCGTCTTTCTTTGCTAGCTCGTCCGCGATCTCATTCCTTGCTATTCCATAGTGGCCTGGCACCCAGCGTACCTCAACCGGCGTACGTGGGGAGCTGAGAATGTACGGGGTGGAGTCCAACTGGGTAGCGAGCTGTTGGAATAAGTCCGTGAGCCCTCGTCTGTGCGGCGTGGGCCTCCTATCTCAAGGAAGATAACGAGACTAGCGGAGTAGCCTACGCAAGCAGGTTAATAGCAGCCTAGAGGCCTTCCACTGCGCCAATAATCTCGGCATCGTACACTTCCGTCCGGGGCCAGCTGACCTATAGCCTTGGATGACGGGGATAGGGTCGTAGTACACCACGAACCCGTACCCATCACCCTGGTCTATGTGTGAGCGCCGTCCAATAGAGCGTTATTCGAAGCGGCGCTGGCGCGTATGCGGCCTCGTTGCTGCGTGTGGCGGGCAGCATGCGGAGCGATGGGAGGGGTGGCTCCACGCGTGCTCTCTCCGGCGCCCGCGTGGGAGAATGTCAGAGGATCCTGGTGAGTCTTGTTTTTATATATGATAGTAACTCTCGTAATGGGTGCCTCACGTCCTGTCTATCTTGATCATGGAAAAATTCGACAGGAAATTTCTAGAGACATTTAGGAAAATCCAAATTCTTTGCGGAAAATTGCTTAAAATGTGTCTCAGCGAGTTAGACCTGTGGCGACTAAACATTATGGATTCGCCACCGTATTGGAATCAGAGGAGGTATGTAGGATGTTCTAGAAAATAATTAAGCCCAAATAAATTCTGTCCCTCCCAAGCCCTCACTCTTCGAAGAAATTTGAAAAGAGAAAAATGAAGAAAACTTAAATTAATTGACGCCTATTATTACGCCTATTATACCTAGAATTCTATCAAATCCATCCGACCTGACGGGTGTCCTAGTGCAATTTTATTCCCTTTAATTGCTGAACAAGACGGCCAAGCCTCGGGAGGACGCCATAATACTTATTTTCTGTTTAGAGCTATCCAGTCCCACTTCTTTGGAAATATCGCTGGATTTGTTTTGGGTGACCTGGAGATATGATTTTCACTCGTAGGTAGGTCGACAAGAGAGTGTCAACGTCTTCACCCGGGCAGAGCAGTGCATGTGATCAAGAGGAGGTCTTTATGGCACTTGAACTCATCAAAGTTGTGAACTCCAGGTCGCGAGTTGCGAGACAACTGTGGGAAGCCATTCGATATCTTCCGGATGTGGGTCAGAGACTCGGTGCCCTATCTCCTGCTTGCGCTGCTGAAGGATATCAAACCGCAACAGCGGCGCATGGAACACATATTTAATCGCCTCCTCTTATGTATAGCGGGAACCAGGCTGGTGTTCCCATGACCGGGACCATAATGAGTGCTGAACTGACCAATCTGCTGATGGAAAGTGGGATGTATCACCCTCTTACAACTGAACACTCTGGCCAGGGCAGTGGAAATGGTGAATCCGACCACCGTTCTCCAGAGCAGTTTCCGTGGGAACATTCTACCTCGCCTCAGCGGACCAATGCTGGCAGACTAACTGAGGACCTGAATCCGCTATTCTGGAATAACTGATCTCTTAGCATCTTTGAAAGGAAATTGACAAACGCGTTTTATTGCCATTTGCTCCCGGATTACTTCGAACTTAAAGTGCTTTTCTGTTTTAGATGGCTGGAAGATCAGTATTAGTATTATTTGCTATAATTTGTATTTTCAAAACATAAAAATCTATATATCTATATATCCACAGTTCTCTCTAGTTCTCTCTAGTTCCCTCTAGTTCTCTCTAGTTCTCTCTAGTTCTCTCTAGTTCTCTCTAGTTCTCTCTAGTTCTCTATTGTTCTTCTATTGTTCTTCTATTGTTCAGGCGAAGGTGAACAATGCACGGAATCAGGGAATGGAAACTGTCCATGCTCTAAAGTGGCGGCTGTTTGACAGTAGCGAATCGGCTTTTGGCTCGGATTTGAGGGCCAAACCGGTAGAATATGTAGCTATCCAGGGGCGCATTCGTTAGCAGGAGAGCAAGTCATGCCACTACGGCCATGTGACTCACGGAAATGGAAGCATAGCGACGGTCAAAAAGGCGAGTAAGGATGTTGCCCATTGGTATCCAAGGGCCTCATACACTGTAAGCGAAATAATCTCAGCTCTATGATCAACTTCTCATTTTAAGGGGAAGGTAACACTTACTTTGGACACCAAAGAGAGGGAATGCAGCGGCAAAGCTGCTTCGAAGGAAAGCATTGGCTGCTAATGCACTCGCTGCATACAAAGGATACGCATCGACGAGGAACGTAATCACGCCCTGGAAGACGAGAAAGACGCTAAAGTATATGGTTACCACAGGATACAACTTTTTAGTAGGAGATGTACATACCCGAGACCGAAGAAGACACTTCCAATAACCGGCATAATCCAGTGGATCTGCATATGGGATTTAGTTGTATATCGGAGCAGAAATGAAAAACTGAGCTTACCGAAGCTGTGCTGCTCCAGCCGAACCAGAACAGGCCAACCGTGATAAGAGGAGCGCCTAGAATTGCTGGCGGGAGTCGATACTCTGGACGAAACTCTTTTCCATCCGCTGAGTATTTCCGAATCAGCCTTTGCAGATTCCACCTCCAGAGAGGATCGAGGGCAACGCCGAGAAACGTGCCAATGAGTTGACCCAGGAAAGTCACGCCGATTTGCCACAAATTGAACCCGTACAGATTTGAGAAAACCAGGGGGAAGGCACCGAAGAAGAGGTACAGGGTTCCGATGATGACCGCAGTGTAGAGGCAAAGACAAAAACACATTGGCTCCAAAAATAGCAAGAGAAAAGGACGGTACATTGACCTCAGTAGGGCCTGCTGCATCGATGCCGCTCGAGGCTGCACGGCTGCACCTCCGTCAACTCCTTCGCCTAGTGTTGTCTGCAGGTGGAGTGCTTTCTTCCGTAGTAGGACTGGAGCATAGGTCTCTTTCATGAAGAGGATGGTGATAACCCAGAGTGAGGCACTCCAAATGATGATCACATAGAACGACCAGCGCCTTAAAGTCGATCAGCCTTGTAACAAATGCCGCCAGTTTTAGGTTGCGGTGCTTACCAAGAGGCGAATGAGTTGATGAATCCGCCAAGGAGTGGTCCGAGGACCGGACCGGCAAAAGGCGTAGCAGTGTATACCATCATTGGAAGCTGCAGCGTTTCACGAGTGAACAAGTCGCCTATGGTACCTCCAGCCACACTCTGAAACGCTGCACTCGTCAGGCCACCGAGCATTCGGCCAGCGAGCATTGTTCCGAAATTATTGGCCGCAGCACATGGAATGAGCCATATCGTAAACAGTGCTAAGGAGACAAAGTACACAGGACGTCGTCCATAGAACTAATAGATATCAGCTACTATTACAGGACAAAGTAGAGAGAACAGTGCATTACCTCAGAGATAGGGGCAACAAACATAGGTCCCACGCCCATGCCAAAGATGAAGAGGGATAGCCCTACTGTCGCGGCCAATTCTGAGATATGGAACTGATCTGTGATTTGTCCATATATCGACGAGTACAATGCCGAGGTACATGTTCTGCGGGTCGAACCACGTTAGATATTGGTCTTTCACGTCTCCCGGAACCGAGAACTTACACGCAGAGTGAGCTGAAGGAAACGGTAAAGACCATAACCCATTTTCGCCAAGGAGGAAAGTTTTTAGGGTTCTTCGGGTCATTTGGACCATCCCAGTCAGTAGTTAACACTAGTGGCAGATCCTTTTCATCGTCAATTTTCCCGTTCCCCAATGGCCCCCGGTCGGACGAAGACATCGTTGGCTCAAGATATTTTATTGCGTAGGGGTACTGGATGCTCCAGCTGCGGCCAGTGAAGGGATTGTTACTGCCTGAGATGAGACTTTTATACATAAATCAATATTGTATGTACGTTTCCAACTCATGAATAAGTCAGCTTGGAATTTGTCATCCTAAAAGTATGCTCGTTGATACAGTATATTACTTTCCTCGGACTTTCGCCTGCATGAAAAGCGGAACCAAAAAAGGGGAAAGTGCATATGACATAACAACGAGGCGGAAGCGGAAACTAAAGTGGAAAGAGGAGTCTTGACGATTGAGGACTAGTTACTGTGCGTTCTAGACTTGCTTATTCATCGTCCCCCCATTCCTCCATGTTTCCGCGCGAACTAGCAAGTATGGCATCTCAAAACTTTGTAGTGGACGCCGGGGATCTCCCAAAGGATCCTCATAGAATCAATAACCAGGACACATTCAATTGGACGCGTTTAGTACTTGTGCTTCCGGACAGCCTGCGATTGACGGCGATCAGTAAGAAGAATCCTAGTAATACTAATGGTGGCTTTGCAGCGCTCTTTTCCTTGAGCGCTACTGGTTCCTGAGAGGATATGAAATACACTAGTTTCAGTGGGAGACGGGAAGATGTTAAATGAGGCGTGAGCCGTCATTACCTTCATCACAATGCTTTTGATTGCCTTGCCCATATTTTAGTGACCCGCCCAGATCTAGAGAGGGAAACTTTTCGCGCGTAGGTGTTCCTCGATAACGGGAAAAAGCGTAGTCCGGGGTATGTTCGGTACAATTTTCCAGTGTCATAGGACTAATTGGCCTTATGTTTCTGGATACCGGGTCAAGACCTTCGGATCTGTTCGCACTAGTTTCGCTGTTGCAGGAGGCTCCGCTTAGACTAATAGTAGTTACTGGGAACCACCCTACATCGCACGGATTATTTCCCGAATCATAACCTGTGGGCTCAAGTAGCATTAAAAATCCTGGAGAAATCCGAAATTGTGCCATGCAGCCTCAGCCTGAGTACTGTAAAGAAATCAGCTTCTCTGAGCTTATATATTTAGAATTACCTCCACCCTGGTTTTGATCTGCGCACATTTTTGAGATATACCCCTATTATTACTCACTATGACAAATCCTACCGAGAGCAAACAGGAGCCTACCCATCTCGAAGATGTTGCAACAACCAACCAAGTCGCGATGCTAAGTGGCGCAAGAGACCATTTTTTAGATGCCAGTATGATTGAAAAAGCATCTTGTGCCCACGAATTGAAGACAGCGTCAGATGGAAAGACTGTTCTCATTCCCCGGCCCAGTGACGATCCGGCTGACCCTCTCAACTGGAGTCAGCTTCGCAAATGCCTCGTTCTGCTCGTCATATCTTGCACGGCCTTTCTACCGGATTACGGTAGTGGGACTGGGGCTGTAACTCTCATTCCGCAAGCGAAAGAGTGGGGCCTTAGTGAAGATACAGTAAATCACTCACAGGTGGGCAACGTCTTTATGCTCGGCGCCGGTGGCCTCGTGGTTACAATTCTTGCTTCATACTTCGGCCGATTACCGACACTCTTTTGGTTCTTGGTCATGGCATTGTGGACCGCGGCATGGTGTGCAGGGTCACAAACATTTGATCAGTTTATGGCCGCGAGAATACTAAACGGGTTCTTCTCTACTGTCGCCCAAGGCGGTGGTATGATTTATATACAAGATATTTTCTTCTTGCATGAGCATGCGTGCGCTACCATTTCTTTAATTCATTTTCGGGAGTCTGCTAATTTGACCTTAGCCGTATGATAAACGTGTGGTCCGGAGCTATTATCTTGAGCCCGTACTTGGGCCCCTCATCGCTGCGTTTATCATTAACACCACCAAGTGGCAGTGGGCCTTTGGAATTTACACTATTGAAACCGGTTTATGCATCCTGATGACCGTGTTGTTTGTGGACGAGACATTCTACAATCGAGACTTGGGTGCAGCTCAGCAGCCAATGAAAGGATCTCGCGTGCTCCGTCTTGTGGGAATCGAGCAATTCCGTAGCCGTCATCTACGTCAGACCCTCGCCACGGCAGTGATGAGACCCCTGAAGATCATATCAAAGCCAACAGTCTTTTTAAGTTCAATTTACTACTGCTTCACCCTCGCATGGGCCGTTGGTATAAACACAACATTGTCCATTTTTCTTGGGCCGCTTTACGGATTTGGACTCAAACAGATCGGTAAGTTTACGTGTACGCTAGTTACATGACAATATCCAAACTAAGCATGACAGGCTTTTTCTATTTTTCACCGGTGATCGCTGCTCTGATCGGAGAGCTGGTGGGACATTGGCTACATGACGCCGCCGCCAAGTATTATATGCAGCGTCATCGTGGACAATTTGAGCCTGAGGCCCGATTGCAAGTAATTTGGTGCGCGACTCCATTCATGATTACTGGCCTGGCCCTCTTTGGGTTCTGCCTAGAAAGAAAATATCACTATATGGTAACTGCAATCGCTTGGGGCTTATATGTGTTTGGTGTCATGATCGCGACCGTGGGCATTAACGCTTACAACCTTGACTCTTACCCCGAGGCTTCTGGCGAAGTGACGGCATGGATCAACATGGCCAGAACCACCGGAGGATTTATTGTGAGCTATTTCCAGGTCAAGTGGGCGCAATCCGTCGGAACTGAGGTGAGTTTTGGCACACAAGCGGGTATTGTCGGCGCCATGTTCTCTTTGGTTGTTATCATGCAGCTGTGGGGTAAGAAGATGAGGGATTGGGCTAGGGACTAAACCTAATGTCTCTGATCTTGACACATGAAAATTTTGTTCTTTCCTTTTCGCTAGATATTAAAATTAAATTTAGTTTGGCAAGATGTGATTGATATTGCTGTACCAGAGGAAGGTTATTCTCAATTGGCTTCCTCCGCGCGAGCTTGAGTGGGCCGAAGATGAAGTTGGAGCGTGTGAAGCCGGTTGGGCCATGTGACTGCGTTAAATGTCCGAACAGCTACGAATGCGAAATATGGGATCAGTCAAAATTCATTAGAATGTTTAATTCTCCCCACCCCCGTGGTTACAAGAACATGGGCATTGATATGCAGTTGAAACGTGACCACACAATTTGAAATTTCCATTCGGGATCGCCTCTTGTCATGATTCGCTACATCCCCGTGAATGTCTTTTTCGGATAAAAGTAATACCAGAATATGTGCAGGTGCTTCGTTAAATGAATTTGGAGATTTGATGCCTCGGATTGTTATAACTGGGGTCGCGGAAAATGTCGAAGCCTGAACTGCGAGAGTCAACGCGAGAAGGATGTCTTTCCAAGTACAACTCACGATACTCTACTATGTTTCCGACGGTCCTAGTATTTGCAGTCATGAAGCGCAGTAGACTCATGTAAATGGTTGCAGTACACTCCAACTACTCGGCCTAACAACATGTACCTAGTTGATAGAGTAGTCTGGTTCGCACTGAACTAGGCTCGACTGTAAAATCCTGCAACACGTACATAGTAGTTTGTACGAGTCGTCGGGGATTACTGACGGATCCCAATCCCTAGAAGGCTATTAGTTGGGATAAATTCATGATGAAGCCTTCATGGCGATGTATATGCTGTCCACACAGATCGTGGAACAATCGCACTACTTCGGTATGTCGGAATTCAATGTAATGCTTTCCGAATATGGGATGCAAGAAATGTTAGTTAAATGGCTTTCTGCAGAACTGGCGCTGTTGGTCAGATTGTATGACGAGGAGATGGTCTCCAAATGCCATAAGGTTATGAAAGACAAATGGAGTTTGCTTATTACTGTATCTAGCGCATTTTTTTAACCGCGAGTTCTTTGATAGCACGGCGGACAATGATAAGGAGTGCTATGATAGACAGTCCTCAGCATCAACAAGTAAAGACCGTCTTATTGTTTTGGCCGTAGTTTCTTCCTTCAAATTTAAATGCCTTCCTTGGTATTTGAAGGTTGACAGGAAAAGGCGACGTTGGAGGCCCTGAAAAGTACAACTCCCAGTCTTATTTTGTCTCAAATACATTACTTCATCGTGTGCCTAACTGGAAGAAGGGTTTAGCTCTTCCCCAGTTAACATAATTCGTGGCCGGGTGAGACACACGGTCAGCCTGGACACCCGAAAACAGCATATTAAAGGCGATAACTTCTTGTTGAGACTGGAGCGGTAACTTACCACGTAGACAGGAGTAAACCGGCCCATTTTCATCATAAATTACCATTTATTACGGACCCTCGTCTTGCATACAATGCCATACTGTTTCAGCTTGCTCTGACATATCTCAAATGTCAAAATTACGTGGTAATTTATGGTAACGTGTCGAAATAATAACCTTAATGGCTTAGTATCTAGATATGTATCCGGGAAATGCGCCTCCTCAAAGTTTAATGCAACTAAACACTTAGTGGGTGAAATATTAAGGAATCGAATATGGCATTTAATATGGTGTTTTGGGTTGTCCGGCTGACTGGTTATACGACCGGCCTCGAATTACGTTATCAGAACTATGTATTATAATATCAGAGCGAGGAAAAACGGTATAAGCTAGTACGCAGAATGCCGAATGAGAACTACCGGAATCATACAAAAGACTGATTGATTAGACCAAAGAAACAATAGGAGCGGAGAACCAAATAGGGGGCAGGTTGAGCTGTCCCTCGGCGGTGTAACTGAGTATTCGAGTGACCTTACCGGTATCGAGTGGTTACCCGCTAAATACATACAAACACATAAGAAAGATGGGAAACGAATGAACTAATCTGAGGTCACCGTATGGATGGACCCACTCTTTCTTGACATAACTATAATAAATGTTGCGAAAGGGATGAAAATACCTCTGAGCATCGTTGGGATTTGCAGAATGAAAGCTTCATACTCCAAGCCTCATAGAGGCGAATGATTCTTGATTATACCGGGGTGGCTCAATCCAGGTTTCTCAAGATAAAAAAAAAAAATGAAAAGTGACGCGCGGGGACCAAGACCAAATTGAGACGTCTCGCGCCAATCTCGCGCCAACTTTGTTGTGTTTAGAAAGGGGTGGATGTATGAGGGTCCGCGATTTACACCTTCCGTGCTCCTTTTTGGCATCCAGCATACGGGCGTAAGCACAATTGCTTCTTTTTATGTTGACACTGGTCCTACGCTGCCAGGGATCGAGCAATCGTCGTATTCCGCAGTAGGTTGTAGTATTTGCTACGGCCAGAGCGCTGCAGGTAGGACTAAGTCATGGCTATTGGTGGCGTTGAGGTAATTCTTTAGCTTTATAGATAATATCCGACCTGTGCACTTCGCAATGGTTCCCGGTTGGATAAAAGTCGTCAGACTCATCAGCGATGAAGATGGCTAGATCCGCCTCGACAAGGCTGATTCCAGCAAGTATCCAGATGTTGGTATTGCAGTACTCGATCGTGACAGGGTTGTGGTCAATTTGATTCAAGGTTCAGTCTTCGATGGTATTGTGACAGATATCACTTGCGCATTGCCAGAGTATATACTTCCGCATCTAAAGACTTGGATAGCCATATTGATCCAACTACTTCTTCTAAACCAGCTGTTGGGATCAAAGAATTGCCTGTTTTTCGGTGCCTGGGACTTAACTATTGCAACCATGCCAAAGAGGCCAACATGCTCATTCCAGATGTACCTGTTCTCTTTATCAAGCCTCAAAGGGCACTCAACTGGCCTTATCCTTAAAGTGTGCCAAATTTTACACAGGTTGGCTCCCGCGACTAGGAGGCAGAGTTATCAATCATTTTTTCCCTAGGTCAGGTCGAGATATTTCTGAATCGGATGTAACGGAATATGAATTGGATATACCTGCAGTAACGATATCAGTGCTCGAAAGCAGCAGTTCAGTGACAGCGAGTGCTGCTTTCAAAGGTAAGTCTAGCCAAATATTTGTCTCTTAACCTTATACGTTGTTACTTGATTCGATGGAAAAGGTATTGATGGATCTTGCCCATTGGACCCAGTCCTCATATCTTGTTCCATCATTAGCCACTCACACATTCTGCACATTAAAGAAATCTACAACGGATATGTGGTGCAGGAATCAAACACTAGGCGCGTCTACCCGGAGAGCTGACTGTTGCGGCCGCGTCAGGCTTCCAAGGTACCTGATATCCTCGCCTTACGGAAAATGATTTTTGATTTTGCAAAAACCATTGCATTTCTCTCTCCAGTGATCACTCTGGAAAAGGGTACCATGATCATGGCCGGCGCAGGTCCTTGTATTGCGGTTATGCGTAACTCCAAAGTCATCCTGAACAACGGCGATGATATAAGATTGGAGGTTGAGAAAATTAGCACTTTGGTCAACCAATACTGATATGAGTAAGAGCAACTGCTGTAGAGTGAGAAATTGTAATTGAAGTTCTCCAACAGAATGTCACACTTTGACTTCGTCTATCTGGGGACACCGAAGTAAGAATACTAGGGCCTTCACGGATGGTGAAATGCCGTATGCAGAAAGGCTGTCAATTGCAGCCTTCCAGATAATCTCAGATGAATTGTAATCCTCACCTAGAGCCATATCTTCAAGAGGATTAACTAACTTCAGGAAAATTACTTGACGAGAAAAAAATAGGAAAGCAGTCCAGGCTTAATATGTAGGAGTATGTAGAATCTTTGGCAACATCGGCCTTATCATTCCTGTCCTATCCCCCTGATTATCTCAGGCAAAGACAGCAATGCAAAGTCTTCTAAACTAGAAACCTAGAAACAGTATTCACTTTTGGTTCATTAGTAAGGCTCAAGCTACCGATCGTGAAACAACACACCTGTCAGTATATTCTTTGTCTATAATCTTGCTAACAAGGGATGAACCGACGACCAAAATAATCTTGCCGCGCCTTCGCCAATAGTTATTGGTTAGACAGCATGGCTAAGTGGACCAAGTACATTGTGACCACTGTACTCAACGAATCCTAGAATAGTCCTCATAACGATAAGAAGCTTCGACGCGCATGCTCCAGTATCCTGGAGAACCTCTGGTGCCCTCCATGCAACGAAGCGATCTGGCCGCACCAACACCGCTCCTGATTCTTCCACGCCTCGCAAGCTTTCCCATTCAAAGTAAACGTCCTCCCAGTCCTGTCTGAACCCAATGGAGTGCACCTGGATCGGAAACCTTAAATGTTTCTGCAACCATTTCAGCTGCTTTCTTCCAGGGTCCGCCTCCGATTCCACTCAGGAAGGTGAACACGCCATGGCCAGCAATGTCGATTGTCGAAATAGGGTCTCTTGGGGTTGCTTTGTTGAGCCATGCATGAGGTAACCGAGATCCAGGGTATGTGGTTCGTTCATGATACAAGACCTTATCCTCGGCCGCCTGTCCGGGTGGGGCATAGGGATTGGGCTCGTCGGCGGTGTATATTCCTTGGCTGTCGTAATACTGGTTTATTTCAACTCCCAGACCATGGAACTCATGAGAGGTATGCTTGATCGCGGCGTGCAAAGCACGGCGGCGCTTAGACCCTTCTACGGTCGCACTCTTCAATTCCTCTAGAATCTCCTTCCGTGCGGATAAGTCTGTGGGAAACATGCCTAAAGCCTCCCACACGTGGAAGTGGTCGCGGTATGCCTGGTTTGCTCTGGTGATAATTGAATGACCCACAGGCTGTCTCTCGATAGAATAGGTGGACAGAAGGGACGGCGACGCAAGCCCTTTATGAACATATGCAATCTTCCAGGCCAGGTTGAATGCGTCTTGGATGCAGGTGTTTGAGCCCAGACCGTTCAACGGAGGGTGACGATGAACGGCATCGCCAAGGCAGAAGCTGGAAATGGACAGTCGCTATTAGAGACGGCACGCTGATCTGATGGGCTGAGACCACTCACATATTACCCTCCGAATATTTCTCTGCGACGATCTCATTGATATACCATGTGGAGATATCGAGGATCTCCGCCGATGTATCATCGCCAATAAACTCCTGGACTCGCTTTTGATATTCCTCCCTGGACGGCTTGTCTTGAGAACGATCATAGTTGCAAGCTGGGAATAGAATAAACATCCACTCATTCCACGGCTTCACCATGCGCACGATTCCCATCCAGCCAAAGTCCGGGTGCTCCCGATCTGGTTGCATCACCCAATGAAGATTACCTGTTCGGTTCCTAACCAAATGGGAGAGGTCGGCCTTGACCAGCACATTGATCGCAATGCCTTGACCAGGCTGGACTGCCAGAGGCAACTTAAGCTGCTTCACCACTTCACTTCTAGCACCGTCGGCCCCGAACAGATATCGCGTACGGATCTGGTACTCCTGGTTTGACATCTCGTCACGAATATGCGCAGTGATTAGGCCAGTCTTCGCGTCGCTAGCGAACGACACGAGTGTGGTATGAAATCGACACCTGAAGCCTTTCAAAGCCGCATGACGAACCAGAACCGGCTCCAGAACTGTCTGCGGCAAATCAAATGGCTCACAGGGGCTGGCTAATTCATAATCTCCCTATAGCTTCCGTCAGTTATTTCCCTCGACAAAATACGAGCGTAGCACTTTGTTCACTTTTCGGCGGGGGTCGTTCCCCCAGGAATAAATCCGGGCGTACTCCTCGCCGGCCATACTGTGACACCATCGAGTGTGTTACATATGATCTTCTCCTGTCGATCCAAGCTTTTCCAGCTCCTCATATAAATTAATATCCCGTAGGCATTCTAAAGGGACGGGTCAACAATTCAAACAGCGAACGAAATCTTGCTAGTTAGGCAGATTACTGACCTAGTGCCGCCATATTAGTAATATGTGCGCGGGGGGTATATGCTGTCCCTAGGGCGCCGCTGATCATGATGCCCTTCAGCCCTTGATGATTTTAGTACCCAATAGCCACCGCGGTACTAATCCAGGTACACACCATGAGAGCCGAGAAAGCAATCCAAGGATGCCCCAGCAGGTCCGGCTCCGATAATGAGGAATTCCGTATCAACTCCATGATCAACTCCTTTATGTGAGTGTATAAGCTGGGCAGTGGTTCCGATTCCGTCTATTCCGGCGGGCTCTTCTGCTTCGCTGCCTCTGTTATCTCCGGGAGCACAGTTATCATTCGTAGGGAAAGGCACCATTGCTTGTTTAAGTGCGTGCGTCGATAGCAACATGTTGCTAAATGGGTGTGTTTGTACAGCGACGCTTCGTGACAATCTTCATACGGGGTACAGCCAAATAAATCAATCTCTGTTATAAGTGCTGAGTTCGTGGTGGGATTGACTAAGTCACCTTCTAGGGAGCCCAAGAGCCAGTGATTCTGTCCTGTGCACATGGGAAATTGTACCGAAGATAGCCCGACAAAAGTATTCTTATTCTCTCGGAAAAACCTCGTGCAGATTTGGAAGGATCCAGACCGCCATTGCTTTGTTCGGGTTTCCGGGGTCATGGAGAGATGAAACATGATCAATACCTTCTTTCGAGACGTAGTTTTGGTCATCAGGGAATTCAACTTTTTACGCAGATTTGTGGCTCTAACACCTTGCGCACACCCAGATGGAAGCCAAAAAGTCATGCCATAGCCAAATACAGTACTTAACTAGATTTCTAGTCTTCTTTTGTGTTGTTTGACTTTAACATCAGTAGCAATCACTCTCACCGCTGCACCGTGCTGTAAGGATTAATATCTTCAGTACCCTTTGCTTCTAATCCTTTTTGCTTCTTACTGGTAGATATGTGGATCCGATGGATCTAGAGATACTTGGATAGATTTTTAGCAGGCAATTTACAGGTTGTTCTTCTTACATTCCCACTGAGCTTCAAATAAATTTTACTACTTATAAAAAAGGGAAAGATGGCTTTCAACCAGCAAGAGAAGAAATGGTTCAATCTAATTGTGCTTGCGGAGCATGCTATGTCCCTCCTCGGTGATCATGAGAGTAGATTTGTGCGTAGTATACTTACGCTCGCTTAACTAGGATTGTTTGAAGAACACCCTCCGATGGACGTGAACAACATGTTGATGTATCCACTTGCCCTCTGGTATTGAATGGGCTACTGGACGAGTGCATGTATCGTTTGACGACTGGAACGTTTCTACCAATTTTTTCAATCGCTGCTTGTAAGAATTTGCGTGCGAAATTTGCAGAATCATACGTCTCTTCTAACTCTCGCAAGGCAAAAATGGTATGTTGTAAACTCGTAAAACCAAATCTCTGCACGTTTGGATCGTCAAATGTGCTATCATAGAGATGACTGACAGCAGCAGCAAAGAGCACCGTCACACCAGTTGCAGGTAAGCGGCATATTATTTCCAAGATTTGCAGGTCCAATACAATAATCGAAATCGCCATCGCGGCGGATCGACTCTATTGTGCGACAATTCCCGCATCAGCGGCTGATCTGAGACTCGTTGAGCAAGCTCCGGACAATGTAGAGCGCTGGAGGTTGCAAGGTATATCATTTCCAGGAGCGCCCGATGAAGATGCATGACTTTTTGCCCTTCGTCAAGTTCGCCAGGGGCAACAGGGGAGAACTGGATTGTTGGAGGGAGCTGACTTCGCCACGCTTCCAATTCTTGGTCACACTGCCAAATCTCCGATAGATCACCTAGGAACCTTCTCGTGATGGTAATCCTGTTATTTGTATTCCCCATACTTCCAACTTGGTTGTTCAGGTCCGGGTATTGAGCGGACAGAACGTGGCCAAGGGTGACACAGAGCTTTGACCTTTCAATAAACATAATTATCAAATGCCTTTGATAGCCAGCATTTTGAAGGACCTCAGAATAGCCAAGAAATCTGATGACGTTCTCAGAGACGGGGAGGAGAGAGAAATCATCGGTAGTCACCATAGGCACATCAAAATCACAGTCTCTGATCCGCATCGGCTGTCTCATGGCCAAAGCTAGTAGACGGTCACTGATGTAAATGGACCACCAAATTCGTTTCCACATACCATAATTACACACAGATTTGTAATGATTTCTTGACCCGCGATGCAAACCAATAGAGTATGCGAGAGATATACTAATCCCCAGCCAGTGCCAACTGTCCTTTGAGTCCGCATTCATCTCATCGTTATGTGTCATTAGTAGGAGAGACTGGACAAGCGAGATTGGATCGGTTTCATATTCGAGGTCGTACAAACGCCTTGCTCTCATAAAAAATGTCTCTCGGGCTACCTTTCGATTTGCGTAGCCAGCTACTCGTGGATGCTCGAAGTCAATATACACCATCGCAGCAAACATCATTGCTTGGAATAGCAAAAGACTTAAGGGGCGCATCCCGTTCTCCAGCACAATGCTCTGTATTAAAACAGAAATGTCTAAGATAGGCATGCTGGGATGCACGTAATGCACGTAGGCCTTGAGCAGCTCGTTACGCAACTCTGTATCAGGGACCGTTAACGCTCCCGTCAAGGCAAGATAGTCGACATCCTCGACCTGCAATCTGGACGACGGCTTTCGGACGAAGCCTGGAAGTTTTGCAGTCTTCTGATCATATGACAGTTGAGGAGTGGAGTCATCTGACGAAACCAAGGGGAAAGCGCAAACATCAAGGCTTGATCGATATTTGCACGGTGCATCCACAGTCAAGACCTCGGATTGGTAATCGCCTGCTCAAATTATTCTATCAGACCTATACTCCGTGTATATTTGCAGATCCTGAGTAGAGTTTGTTGCGAAGAGTTGAAAAATGAAGGATACTTACCTTTTGACACTATTATGCCAGCAGATACTGGAATAGAATTACCTAAAAGGTAGTCATCCAAAGACTTGTTGGAGGTATCTGAGACCTTATAAGGGTGGCGGGCATCTTCAAAACTAGCGAAGGGTCCAGTTTCCTGGTACTTAATTTTGCACGTTTTTCCAGTTGTCTAAAAACAAATGCGAATCTTAGCGGCCTGATAACAGTTGGACTGTAAAGTGGAAGGGTTCGGATTTGCAATCTCACAAGACGTCGGGAAATTCGACAACTGTGCAATGAACGCCACCAAATTTGCAATTGGTGCAGGGTGATCCATGCTGGATCATATCACACCGGATCCTTCGCTTTCGACAATACCAGCATGCTCGTAGGGATCGCCGTTTCGGATGTTTGGCTGCAGGTTGACTTGGATTCGCCTCGGCCTCTGTCTTATTCCGAGAGAGACCCAACTTCCCAGACGACACAGCCATAGAAGTCATTGTATATTTACCGAGCAATGTCTTTCCGCCAAATCTGATGGCCACGACACTTGATCATAATGCTGAAGCGCAAAATGATCATTATAGATGAAAGGCCGGAGATATTGACCCCTTGCTTGGTATGATTCGTAATGCTTGACTATCACAAATCTTCCTAAGGTATGGCACTCGCAATTTCATGGCACCCTGGAATTGATCCCTTGTCCATACTTCTTTATCCCTCTTTCCGAAGTGGCCAGGTAGCTGAAGCAAACAATCATGGAACGGTCTCTATTTGACACTCCGTTTGATGAGCTACCCAATCCCAAACAAGTTTGGATGGGGAAGCCTGGTAGCCATGAGGAAGGCCTTGGGAAACTAGCTATCCTCACTCCCGAAGTTGTCGCGAAGGCTACTGCCAGTGAGATCAAATGTGGTCGCCGAGTGACGATGAACTGGGAGATGACGAAGCTGGACTATCCTAATCTCAATCGTCAGCCCTGCAATCACCACATTGTGCCTTTGCTGGGAGGAGTGGCGTTTGATGATGTTTACAGTTTTAATCCCCGTAAGTTGACAATTTGGTAGCTAGATATCTTCTTGTCATTAATTGTTGACATTTTGATCGGCCATGGTGTATAGAGCAAAGCAGCCAGTGGGACGGATTGAGGCACTCTAGCCAGACAGTGCCTGGTCAAACCGACCGCATTTTCTATGGAGGTACAACTGTTGAGGAGATAAATGACCGTCAGAACGATCGCATCGGCCTTCAACATTGGGCAAAGGAGGGAATTGCAGGTAGGATTCCCTGATATTGGAAAAAGGATCCTTCTGATATACTCAGGATACTAAGAAAACCTTAACAGGTCGCGGAGTGCTGATTGACTATCTGTCCTGGTCTGAAAAGAAAGGAATCAAGTATAGCACGTTCTCGACGCATCAGGTCCGCCTCCAGGATATCATCGAGATTGCAAAGGAGAACAATATCACTTTCCAGAAAGGCGATATCCTTTTCGTCCGAATTGGTGTTACTAAGGAATGGGATACCATCATGACGGAGGACCAAAAGAGAGAATATTCCGATAACCCCCGACCCGAGCACGCAGGAGTTGAAGCTACCACGGATGTCCTCCGCTGGCTCTGGGATACTGGTTTTTCGGCAATTGCAAGTGATGCTATCAGCTGGGAGGTAAGGTTTTGGGAGAAACTCTGTGGCTTCACCGGGTATCCCGACTAATGCATGATAGGTTTACCCCCCTCAATCCCATGACATATTCCTTCATGAATATGTCTTGGCTGGCTGGGGATGCCCAATCGGAGAGTTAAGCGAGCTCAATCCCCATTTCCTCATATTCCAATCAGCTAACGTGGGGTCAATTCAGGGGAACTCTTCGATCTAGAAGCATTGGCGCAAACCTGCCAAGAGCTCGGGCGGTGGACGTTCTTTGTGACTTCAGTGCCGTTGAATATGCCTGGGGGAGTTTCATCTCCTCCAAACTGTTTGGCAATTTTCTAGCGACCCCCGGGCTTCCATCAAGTCTGTTACAATAGACGTTAACATTCATTTCTTTCAATAGTGAGAAGCACTAGTATATAGTAGCCGAAGCTTCCCAAAATTCTGTCGGATTTTTGTACTCCGTACAAATTCTTCTTGTGTACTCGATCGACGGGAGGCGTTGTTAGGAAATATCTCAGGCCGATCCAGGCCTCACTTGGTGAGGAGCAAAGGATGCACTATTCTGCACCCTTGATCCAGGCTCGGAAAGCCTCCAGTGTCAGGATATAGGAGTTCAATTGAGGGAGGACAAGGATTGGGACATATTTGAGCTAGACCAGGTGCATGCCTATCTATGACCGACTCATTTTACTATCAAGATGTTTTCTATCTTTTGACTACTGATCAAAATATGAATCTCATTCGAGACTGACCGGAAGCGTGGATTTTACGTATTTTGACCTTTGACGCCAAAGTTTTCCTCCTTTAACCAACTATGCCCCCCACCCAGGCTCTCCCAAAATTTACTACTTTTGGACATAATACGAAATTTTAGCTCTAACCATCAAAGGCAATAAAGAAGCTTTCAGCGCATCGAATGGTACCGGGGGCGTTAAGAGCCCACAACCCGTATCTTCCCGCGCATAGTGGAGTCCTTTACCGAACCCTGGTCTGACCATTTGGCGGCCAACCCACAGAGTTTATTACGAAAGGATTATTGTTGGGTGAAGAGCCGAAACTGATGGCAGCACGAGCGATGATATTTGCTATTTGCTGCATGGAATGATCGAAGGTTAACTTGTCAAGCATGTCGCGCAGTTCTACAACGGCTCCAATCTGAAGTGTCTCCGAATATGGATTTTCATAACTTCGTGTATACAAGGACATACTATAGAAGTTGGCCCTCGGTCTCACTAAATCCTTTGTAGCCTACAGCCTTATTTTACTAGCGTTCGAATTCCTGGCAAGTAAAAAGTCAATTATCGCATTATGTACACATAGTCTGACACCGACAGCATTGCTACCTTCGGTAATACTTGGATGGGCGAATTGCGTACCAAAGGAACACGGCAGCAAAAGTACAATCCACTGTAAAAAACAATACAAAATTTTGTAGGATCCAGCATAGTGGTTTGTAGCCACCAATCCTGCTCACGCTTCCCACGTTTCAGGAGAGCTAATGGTTGGCAGTTTCTCATCGGCCAGACTTTGTTCAATCTCGGTAATGAGAGGGCTGATCCCATGGTAGGGGACTGTAGAGGTCAAAGCTGCGACAATCCTTCTGCAGTTTTCTGAATGAAGTTCTTTAGGGGAAATATCGGGAGAATAGCCATCAAAAGGCCTCGTTCCCTTGACTGCGGGTTTTCGCCTGGGTTTTTCGTGCGAGTCTCAAGAATTCACAAAGCCATGCCAATATGCAGTTATCCTCGAGTTCAGTACTACTTGACGCCAGGGATGCATCGATTGACCGCAGTGTGCAGACTTGGAACTATGCGTGCCAGTCATTATGCATCATCGGCATGACCCTTTTCTTTGGCCTTCGAGTCTATACGCGTTGTTTTATTCTCAGTGGGTTTGGAAAGGAGGACTGTAAGTACACTATCCTCATCGTGAAGCGGCAGGCTTGCTAACTTTTCACAGGGCTATGTTCCGCAGCATGGTTCCTTGGAGTCTGCTATTCTATTATTGCCCTCATCAGTAAGTGGCCTGCAGGAGCCATACGAACCACGGGCTAACTAGTCAAATCCAGTGGGACATTACGGAGGCGGCTTACATTATTCTGATGTCGCTCCCAAAGATAGAATCTCATTCAATAAGGTATTTTCTCTGGTCCTATTTCAAGCACCATGCAAGGTATTCTAACAGATTAGACGGTCTATGTCACAATGGTCATGTACGGACCAACTGCCTACTTAACGAAGATCCTGTTGCTCTGGATTATGGCTCGCGTTTTCAGCCCCTTCCGCAAAGCCGTCCTCGTCACTACGGCTTCATGGCCCTCATGCTAGCCTACTACATCCCGGCCGTCATCGTGAAAGTCCGAATCTGCAATCCCATTTCCCTATTTTGGGATGTCAATGTTGAGGGAACATGCCTGGACGAGACGTCCATCATCCTTGCCGACGCAGTCGTCAGTTGTGTTAGCGACCTCATCATTCTTCTTCTTCCTCTGCCGTTGACTATGACTCTGCAGATATCAAAGAAGAAGAAGATGAGAGTTATAGCAATTCTGGGTGCAGGCGGATTGGCCGTCGCAGCCAGTATCATCCGATTGGTACTTATTGTATTGACGGGCCAATCCAAGGATGCAACCCTGGCTTTCATGAGAATCAATATGCTTGGGTAAGTCTTCTGGGCGGGGCTTTACATTACTGACTTGCGACAATTACCAGTATTCTGACTATTTACTCCTTTGGAATAGAAACGCCGAGATCGCGATAGGAGTGATTTGCACCTGTCTACCGGCCCTTTCCGCCCTCCTCAAGCGAGTCTTCCACGAATACTCCAGCAACAAGCATACCCGCGAATCCGAATACAAGCTTAGTTCGATGAGAAATCAGACTAAGACAGAACGGAGCAAAAACCAGATGACCGTACAAGAAGCTGAGTCTGACGAGGATATGCTAGTGTCCAATGCACAAAGCAACCCGACGGAAACGACAATATACGGCGATGCCGAGGAACGTGGGTTCGCACATACTTCTACCGCTGGGGGCCTTGGAATTACCAGAACGGTCAATGTCTCCACATCTGTTGAGCAGCGACTTCAATAAAGCTCAAGCTCTCTTTGACATTATCAGGTTCAACATGAATTATCGCGAAAAAAAATACACGAATTGCGCATTAATGTATATATTGTGTTGGCACTTGATGTCAATTTAAAAAGGGGGTTGGTAAGCGCCATATGACTGCCACATATAATCGTCTGAAACATCCAGATTGCCATCATTAATTTGAGGGGGGAAGATACTATCCCAGAGGTTCTGGTCATGAAATTAGCGAAGGTTCTCAGTAGAGCCACGGGGAAGAGACTGATGTCACTCACCCAGTCAATTTCCAGCATTTGCGTATCAATTTCCGCCATTCCGGGGCGCACATCATACTGTGAGGTAGACAAACTCTCGGTCGTGGCGCTTGCAGCATAGCTTTGGGGGTAAGTCGGCTGTAGCCTAGGATAATTATCGCCGTCGGGGTCCGATTCACCATATTGTACCCAAGGAGAGAAACTCTCTGATGAAGAGGCCCACGCACTAGCCGTATTCTCTATCGCCGATGGGAACTCTGCGGGAACAAAGTCACTCTCTATTGTTAAAGTCGGAAGGAGAAGGGCCGTTCCGGTGTGCATATCCTCGGTGGAAACGGCGACATTGACTGGAGCGCTCTGGGTGTGGCTTTCGGGTTGTGGTATTGGTTCCCCGTGGGCGAAGTTAAGAGGCATGCGGGGATCTGAACTGTCGCCGTCCTTTTGAGGTGTGAGGACTATCATCGAGTCATTGAATTGCACGGGGTCCTTCAACCCCTTGGCTTTCCGGTACTCTTGCATTCGCACACACACCATGGTCAATAGGTACCTGGCCTTTATATCCCGATGCGCGATGATATCTTGAAGTGTTGGGTTGTTTGTCTGCAAGGGCGGTACATTTGCCAACGCCTCGCCGAAAATGAAATCGAAGCATTGCCAAAGGCGATTGGCCTCTCGTCGCATTGGATAAGTGAAGACCTCGACAAGCAGGAGGAAAGCAGTGTGATACTGGTGGTAGGCGCCAAAATACCAGGCCCATGGCTTTAGGTCATCGGCTGATTCAAGTTCCACCGCGGCTTCGAGTGCATCCGTGCCTTTTGTCAATATGATCTGACGTAGCCTATCAGGAATTCTGTAGGTCACTGAGTTGAGGTGCCTGTGTAGCATGATTAGGTAAAGATGGCCGGTGAAAAGCTTCATCACCAAGTGCGCCATCCTTTGCACTGGGCCTGGAGTCGCTGTATTAAGGTACGACCCATATTTTGCATCCATCGAAAGACGAAAATCTTCAATTTTTGAAATGGCTTTGGTCAGGCTGAGCTTCTTCCGATCAACGCGGTTCCGCATGACCAGGCACTCTCGCTGCATTTCTTGACATTCAAATCGTATCGATGAGAATATTAGATCGTTCCACGTTGCTGGGGAACTTGGAGACTGGGGTGACCTTGCCGTCGAAACGTCGATCGGAAGCTGTGTCGTATAACCATCATTAGAGATGTAAGGTCGGGGCCCCTGGATCTCGCTTGTCTTGAGATCTAGGTAGCAAATTTGATACCAAACGAGTCGGCGGACGTGACATTCGATCGGCGAGAAGCTATATTCACTGGGATCACGATGAAGTCCCATGCATTCTGCGATTCGGATCGCCATGCCGGTCAATACTGTATGCGCACGGGAGATCTCGTCTACACACATTGACAGCTGAACAAGGAGTTTAGTGTCAGCATATGAAATTCTTCGGATACTACCCAAATAATAAATTGTCAGGAAGACCCGAGATGACATACCAAGTAAGTCACAAATGCCTGCAGTGTCTCAAATTTTGTCGATTTGAGCAGCTGAGCTTTTGCGAGTGAACTTTCCACCCCCAACTTCAGCTGATTTTTCAGCTCCCCCCGGTCAACTCGACAGGATTCCAGAACTTCTGCCTCAGACATGCTGACCACTGCCGAGAATAAGACAGCACAAACCAGTGCTAAAACTGACGGTACGACTAGATACTCATTCTCAACAGCTTCCCAAAGAGTTTGATAACGATGTGCAAATGAAGGTCTGTGAAGGACTCGCGCCACGGGATGAACAGCGTCCCAGTATCTTTGGAGCAGTTTGTCTGCGATGTTGCGTGGAGGAATGTATTTCAACAAAGAGTCTTGTGCAAGAGGCTGGCCGAAGGCGAAGTCGAGCGAAACCGCCGTAAAGGATGGTCCAGGCTTGAAGTTCTCGTTGGCTGGGATAGAAGGCACAATTGGGGGGACTGATGGAGTGCTTCGCTTTGAGAGATTTTGAAGAGAGGACATGATCTGGAACGACAGGATTAGCAACTTGAAAACCACCTTTTCACTTCTCGCATATTACCTCATCTGCAATTCTTGGCCGATAATGCCCTCCTATTCTCTCCCCAAGACGCATCCGCCCAATTCTAAAGCCCAGGTCTTCAATATCGTCGTCTACTTCGTCACCATATGCAGCATCGTGCACTGCTAGCGGGGTAGGCTCAAGAAAATCCTCGTGCACTGAGCTATCAGACCCTTCGCTTTCGTCTTCAGCGTGCCTTGAACGCTTGCGACGTGCCACCCTCTTCCCTGATTGGAGACTGCGCGTGCCAAGGGTTTCTCGAAAGCTACTGTCAATCTCATCCTTTGCCTCTTTCATCTGCACCAATCTCTGGCGAAACTGGGCGTCGCTGGTTGCGTTGCTGACATAGAGACATTCCTCGCCCAAGTTTTGACAGCTTTTGCATGGATTCTAACCGTTTCGTTAGGCAAGCTGCCGCACAATCAATCATCAGGGGGGCATGGTTACCCCTCGATCACATTTGAGCTTCCTCCGGCGACATTCGAGGCACGAGTGAATGACTCTGTTGCGGCGTCGAGCCTTCTCGCGGGGCTTCGGGGCCCCACCATCTGCTGACGAATACGCGCGGTCCGGCGATGCCCGTGGTTGTGCTTGAGTGTCACCAGGATGCGATGTGTTCCCTCTCATGGTGCGGTCTTAAGAAGGTGTGAGAGACGGCTAATGTATGAGCAGTAATTTGCAATTTGCGACGAAGAGATGTGCAAGGCAGAGAAAAAAAAGCAAAATCGGGTGCACCAGCAGGCGTGATCAGGCTGAAGCTGGGGCTGAGCTTAACACTATTCCAAATGGTCGGCAGCAAAATCATCCAATGAGCGTGTCGCTGGGGCGCGTTTGGCCCCCAAACCCTCGTGGTATCCTGGCATTGGGACCCTGTGGCTAAGGGATAGGGCGAGCGCCCCATGGACCTTGTTACTACTGGACTCAAACACAGTTTACAGGTGGGCTCCCCCCCACGTGACTAACTTTCCCGCTCAACCCACCCACGATTCGCAAAATCTCATAGGTGAGCTTAGGTCCCGGTCATGTGATGGCCGGAAGCCGGAGGGGTAGGCCGAGAAAGGTGTGTATGGGTAAGGCTCACTGGAACAAGAAACTGGTGGGTTTGTGGTGTTCTGCTGAGCCGTGGTGGCTTAGTTCTTGGCGACTGGCTCGCTGTCGGCACTTTTCCGTTGGACATTCCTCGCGCCATAGACATGCAGATAACCATGAGCCATGGCTGGCTTACGCACTATCAAGCGAGATCAGCAAAGATGTTTCATCTACAAGTTAGTTATCATTGTCAAGCGAAACATTTGATTTGAATGGGCAAGGGCAAAGCTCTTGCGGATACCTTTTGGCGTGTTCCATCGTCGACCCCAGAAGTTCATTCCACACAGCTTCCAGGTAGGGAGATAGCAAGAGAGCGAGATAAGGATTGGAATATATCTGAACGCGAGTTTAAAAGCCAGAATATCAAGTGTTAGGTTTGATTTAACTTCTCTATTGATAGAACTGTAATTCCTGCCTCAGGCAGTCACAGGTCACGGGAGATAGTCGAAATTCCTGCTTAGTGGATCATACTGCGCACCAATAGGATATCAACAAGTCTGAATTGCTCTTGCCCCTAGCTGGCTATTTATGGGGGCAAAATAATGACAAATCTTAGCGGACATACAGTATCTCCTTTCTCCTAGTATCACCCAATCCTGCTGCTCCGTCAGATATCGCAAGCATCATAGGTCCAGTCACGTGCGAGGCCGCGCAAGAGTATCCCAATTGGGGATAGTCGCCTCCGATTTGCTATCAATCGCGGGGAAGTCATCGTGAATGTCGCACACATCATGACTTCCACCGCACTTCCTGCCCAGAAAAAGGGCCGGAGTCGACGTTCAGGTGCGACGCGGCATGTGATTTGATGTTTAATCAACTAATCAGAGACAAATTGTCAGGCTTGCGGGCTCCGAAATTGTTGCGATCGAGCGAAATTTACCCGAACTTCAAGCGGATCTCTAAACGCGGCGATCACGGAGATCTGTAACAATCGACACCCGCCAAGTTTAGCCTTTAGCACATGTGTTTCCGTTTCCTCCGCTACCTTCAGATCAACAGCAACCAGTAGAACACTTCGACCCAATTGTGCCTATTAACCATTCAATTGAGCGGCAGGAAGATAATTCTGTACGTCTGCACATCGTCGCTCAGTGCCTGTCAACTAATAACCTAAGCCCTTTGTTCTTTGGTTAGGCAGCCTAGGCGTTATGTGCTGTACTAGAGCTTTATTGGGAATAAAGTGGGGAAATAAAACAAGCGCAATAGAGCGCCGATGAAAGATGAATTTGGTCGGATACAAATAATCTGTCTCAATGTTTCGCCTTTCCTGTTTCTTGAAAACCGCACCTTTTCAAACAAGTAGTTTCGTGTCCGTCGCATGGTTGAGCCATCTTCATCTTGAGACACTGTGGGGACCCGCTGTGTGATTTCTGATGGGCTTTCTGTGGAACTCGTTGCAGGTGATGATTGCATCACGGGCTCCCTTGAATCATCTCATAGCTGCATAATATGCCTTTCATGCGAGATTGAACCCGTCGATACAACACTAGGAGGGACTAATATTTCGTTGGCGCTTGATGGATTCTCCAGTCCTTCTTGTTCGGTATCGTGAAGGATGGTTCTAGGTAGCATTTCTTCGGGATCTTGGTTAGACTCATGGGGCCAGTGGACTGATAACTTGCGACTATAACCGAAGATGACAGCACCTGATCATCATCTCCACCCAGGACGGAGCTTACAATGCGGTTTGTCAGGCGTCGGAAGTTGAAAGCAGGTGGAAGCAGTACTTGTGCTCGATCACATATGTTGAGATCGTGAAAGGCAGTGAGCACCTTTCAAAGAGTTTATCTGGGTTGTGCCAAAGTATATCATCCACCACTCACACAGGAATGTCTTCCAAATCTCCCCATTTGCGGATTATAGATTTGAGATCTGGGATACAAACAGCCAAGTGATCAGCTCCCTTTGGCAATTTGCTCCAAAAGCCACAAGGCGTGCTTGGTGCCTGAGGGCGAATTATTTCTCTAAACCCTTGGCCGATAGAGTGACTGCATGGATGGATCGAGTGAAGTCTATCCAGCATTTCCCAGTGGACTGAGACTGATAATCTTCAATAGAATCGGATCAGCACCGGTGGCCACATCCATGAAGTCGAACCCTTCCAAGTAATTTTGAGGCGTATACTTGGCCTCTAAGCAGGCCACCCAGTCCTGTCTACATGATAAGTCAAGATCTGCTCCAGGAAGTCGTAAACCTGTTCAACTCCGTCTTGAAGTAAACCTTGTGTCTCCATCGTCTTGCTCGCTTGTTTTGGAGAATCAGATGCCTCAGTGCTTATTTCCTCGGATATTCCCCTTTTGTGTAGGAAGATTGGCAGTTCCATATTCTGCTGATCGATCAAAACTTCGATAGCTGAATCCGAAGCATACTCACATGCCGGTCTCTTCAACTTGTCGAGCTGAAAAAGTAACTTGGATCCAATCTTACTCTGCCGATCATCTTGGAGCGAAGCTCTAACAAGATGAAGTAAAGCACTTGTCCCATTGATAAGCCATACTCTTCTGTCCCCGACGTCATAGAAGATAACACACTTGGAGGATATGACCTTGATCTGTCCAATGTAAGATCCATTTCGCTTCAAATGCAGTGGTATGTCTTTAACACTGATAGCAAATGAAGCTCCAACGCTGATGAATTTTCCGCCTGATATGCTGAACCTTTGAAGATTACACCCTGCATGAGGCTCCCGACGTCCCGAGGCTCTAGTATCATCTCCAGAAAAGAGGAGCCTCATGGTATGATATGGCAAGCGGTAGCAGCCCCGTAGCCAGGGCTCAACTCCATCCCAGCTGAAGGGCAGCGCAGTAGCCCGGCAAGAGACAGATTGTTATTGGCGAAAAGCGCAAGGCCGCAGATCGGGTGCGTTCCACGCGACCATATGGTCCTACCCGAAGAATATGTGATTCGAAGCACGATCCACAACGTTGCTTGGTTCTCTAGGAACTTTCGCTTCGATCGATTTGCATTATTACTTACCTGGAGAAAGTTATCTGAGAGAACAGAGCGTAGGCAAATAGGAAGTATCACTCTGATGATGGTCAGATTGTCAGATTTTGCAGTGTTGCTTCGAGTTCCAAGTAATGATGATACCAGAGGGCGTGCGATGGGGTTAGGGTTGGAGGTTGGACCACTGCTCTGCATCTTGTGCCCAATTAAGAAAATGAGAATAAAATCATTTTCTAGGATTTCTGGCCGAATGCCATAATCAAAATGGTATCAGAAGTCGTATATTGTAGGTCGGTATCTAGGTGTTGATGCGATTTGATAATTAAACATTCATGGACCCGCCTTTCAATGGTCCGTCAGTAAGTTGAGGGTGGCAACCGTCGAACAACCTACAATCCTTGATTAACTCAAATTTGGAGGGTTTTTCTCTATCAATAATTCAAAGATTTTTGATTAATTTTCTGACGAGCCAATTCTTAAGATCTACGTAACCCCACAATGCAACCCGCGTAAAGTATCACCAGTTCGACACCAAAATCAATTTCGAAGCCACAAGAAGCAGCGGGAAAGTTCAGTATCAATTAGATACACTTGAACAACAGATTCCAGAGGATTCTGTAGGTCTCAAGCAAGGTATTGAAGAGATTAAGCGCTGACAGTCACATGCAGATGCAGGGGTCAATGGCTTACATTGGGGAGGCCGTGGCAATTTTCAAGAAGGATCAGCTTCAGTCAATATCAAGGGCACCTTCGAATAATAAAAAAGCCGCCGCGAAGTCTCTCCTCACGGCTCTATATTTATTGAACAAGGTGTCCGGCATACAGAGATTCGAGACGACGAAGAATTTTACCGAAACATTAAGCTCCAGCGCCAGATTTATTCTAAATGACACAAATGAAATCCTCAAATTCGGCCGACAAGGGATTAGAATATGAAGAGGTATCGCTAGAAGAGATTAGTGATGTTATATATATAGATTGAAATGATTTGATCTAGATGGAAGGGATTAATTGAGAGACATGGAGGTCAAATTGTATTACGCAGTGGGTGGACAGATGCCACGGATATCTGCAACCAAGTATGTAGAATTGGACATAACTCTAATCAACAACTAGTGAGACTAATGCATCGACTCAATAACCCATTTTACCCCAGATATGAGATTCTCCATAAACTCCCCTGTTTTCTGTACGGGGAATGTCCAAAAATAATGAGGATAGCCTTCATAGTAATCCAGTCTACTTGCGATTCCAGACCGTAAGAGGATCTCGTGAAAAATCCGAGGGTCTTCGCCAAGTGGGTCTTTCTCACACGCGACAAGATAAGTTGTCGGGAGAGCCGCCACATTCTTATGGAGAAGCACCGAATAGAACGGATCTGATCTTGATGTGACACCGTACGCAGCTAGATCGAACACGTAAAAATCAGCGCTAATCGATCTCCGAAGTAGGAAGCGTTGCGTTAGGTCTGACCCCGAAAAGTCTCCATAGCTTGTAGGTCAATCATAGATGAGTCTCTATTGTTTGCCAGGGATCTTTCGAATCGTTCTTTGAATTCAGCAGGTACGACAGAGGGATCAATGGTAATTGGTGCGATCCCCACAATACCCTTATTGATGCTCGGTTCTTCCCATTCAAGGATCCTCAAAGCCGTTGCAATGGCCAGGTTGCCCCCTGCTGATCCTCCTATGGAGTAGAATCGGCTTCTGTCCCCGTGAAACATGTCCGCATTGTCCACAGCCTGTCAATTGAAAGTAAGGTCAAGGTTGTGTCTACCGGGTTCATCAGGGAGCCTCAAGAGATTGAAGACATACCCACTTGTAGGCAATTTCACAGTCATCAAGGGAAGTGGGATATTTGTGCTCCGGTGCTAGTCTGTAGTTTACCGAAACAAGCACAGTTGGCACAGCACCACATAGGATTCGACATAATGCTATAAGGGAGTTCTCAGATTTTTCTCACTTTCCCGGAGGATCTTAATACATACCGTCCTCGCTATCGAGATCACCCAGAGCCCATCCCCCGCCATGGAAACTTTGAGACTATGTCAGGCAAATTTCTAGAGGGTAAGGAACACCGATCTAGAGTTGTTGACATACTATATACCAACGGGAAGTATATCCTCTCTCTCGCGAGGTTGATATACGCGCACTTGAATATCGGAGGGAATTTGGTAGTCCTCTACATCAAGAGGTTCAAATATCAATGGCCTGTATGACAAAAGAAAACAGAGGCGAAATCAGGCTTGACCCACTTGTAATCACATTTTCCGGCGCCGGCTGGGAAAAGGATCGGAGAATTTCACCTAGCTTCCCATATTGCCTCCGGATATTGCATATATCTCCGCTGAGTAAGAATCGGCCACCAGTCACCACCTCTGCCTGCGTGATGATTGTTAGGTTGTTATGCTGGGTTTGGCAAATGTATGATTGGCGATATCTCACTTGCTGCCAATCTTCTGTGTATGGGGTCCAAGGCATTCTTAGATTGTGAGTCGTGAGCCTCGGCGGTGACCAAAGATGAGCGAGAGGGCTCAATCGTCTTCATGGCGAAGGGACAGTCTCTCTATTCAAATAGGAGGGCTGGCCTTTACAACAGTCGACCCTAGCCGAAGTTTTCGTTGGTCGACACAACGCTCGTCTGAGCCTCATAGTTGCCGGAATTCTCATTTCCGAACCGAGTGTTGGGGTGGGGCGGGAAGTCATGTAATGTATCCTCGGCAGCGTATTAAAGCAGTACGAAGCGCAGTGGCACCCCAACTTTTCACAACACAGCCTATATTGATAATCCACCGCCTTCCAAAAACGCGTAGTACGAAATCACGGTAAGATTCCGTCGGAGCAAGGTGAGACAGTATAGACTAGTATGCATATTGGCGAATGGCATCAAGCGGAACCAACATCAGATGAATATACGATGGCTGATTGAGTCAAAATAGAAGATGCCCTGGGGTAGGTTGAAATCCCCCCTGAATGGTTCTGGTACTTGGGGTTACGATAGCCAAATATCCAGGAATACCAAGTTACTATACAAAACATGCGGAAATGTGGGTCAATCTGTAATCCTCCTGTTCCAGTGGTAAGTTACCGCTCCATATCTCGACATTATATCCTCTCTCTATCAACCAGCTATCTCCAGTGCAGATATTACTATTGAACAGGATAGGAAGCTCAAAAGAACTCACTCCGAGAGCGTATTTGTGAGCTACATGTTATCAAATGGGGGTATAGACGCATTCACCAGCACTACCCTTGGATATTGTCAGAGCGAAGAATGGCTGTATGAGCTAGTAACGCAGGACGGCGAATGAGAACTGCCGGAATCATACAGAAGATTGATTGATTAGACCAAAGACACAACACTAGCAGAGAACTGAATAGGGGGCAGGTTGAGCTGTCCCTAGGCGTTGTAACTCAGTATTCGAGTGACCTTACCGGTATTGAGTCATTACCCGCTAATTACATACAAACACATATATAAGAAAGTTGAGAAACAAATGAACCAATTTGAGCTCACTGTAATGAATGGACCCACTCTTCTTGACAGGTATCTATCTCAACTATTCAATATACCATCAAAAAGAAGCCTGAGTGTCGAATAAGTATCTCAAAACTAGTATGTGACAAGTCCAACGGGACTCCCACGGGACTACACACAGTACAAACAGCTAAAAAAACTCGGGACTAGCATAAATCGTGCATTTTGTTACAGGGCACCCTCACAAAGGACTGAGGAAAGGCCAATGGGGAGTTACAGGTCTTCTTCAGCTCTCAGTTGCGGTGAATGACGACACATCATAAGCACAGGGCTCTACAGGCAGACTACTTCCAACCTGCATTCATCTCAGATCCCATAATGAAGGTGCAGCTCATGTCTAGAAGCAGGTTCAGCTAAGGAGGACTCGGTGGCGCAGCCTGTAAAGGGGTGTATAAGAGCACATCGACCAGGTAAGAAGAAGTAGATGTAGAGGAGTGGTGACCAGTATGGTCATTTTCAGAACAAAACTGATTTTGGGGATTGCAATGCACAACTCCCGAAGGCTATTTAACGTGACCAAAACACAATAGACTCGAATGGGCTTCGAGGAGGCAGTTGGGGTCTGTCTTTATCATCATCATCTTCTACTCCTTCTGCATGAGAAACAAAGATCCTTCGTCTCTTGCCTAACACACGCTAGCTCTGCTGGGGTGGCGTATAGACAATAAAAAGATCAAAGTTATCCTGCCCCTTACCATCATCTTCATTATCCTCCGCTTCATTGTCACTAATCAAATCTAGGGTATACTAAGCTAGTTTTGTCTCTTTTCAAAGCGGCCAACTGTCTCTCTTCGGCGTTAGGCTCTTCCTCTTCGTTAGATTTACCTATTAGATCTGTAGTATCAATATCAAGCTGAGAGATATAGCAAAACATCATTAGGTCTTATATCGTTATCTCGTGGAGACTACTACGTCGATAGTGGCAGAGATAGCGAGCAGAGCTAAAGAGACGTTCCACACTAGCGTCAGTAGTAGGGATAGTAAAGAACTAAAGATCTCGCGGACTAGAGTCACTAGACCTACGAGTGTAGGATATTAGTGTTCATTCTCTCGCTAGAAGTCATAGGTGTTACGCGGTGCCTGCTTATCACTGTTACGGGGGCGTCTGTACAAGGGCCAGGAGTAAGGGTCTCGGGAAGTCACAGCTCTTCTCCGAAGTATAAGTTGCGGTGAACGATAATTCTTCTCTTGTAGGGAACCTGCTTCTAGCATGCATTCAGCTTATATACCCTGAGGAATATGTATCCAGCAAGGAGCCCGTGCATGCAAGCAAGACTTAGCAGCGGGGTGATTCGATGGCGAAACCCCTCGACTCTGTTGTGTCACGGTCATGTTAAATAGCCTTGGGAAAATGTGCGTTGGACTCTAGTCCCTGGTGTATGTCCTTACAGTCACTGTGAGTAGAATGTCCTGGGCCGATATCTGCCTGCTATTCCGCTGCGGATCTCAAGAGTTCCTCGTAACCGTACCGTTGCTATGCTAAGCCTTACACGAACTCGGGTCCTATTAAAGTATCTTACAGAGTACGCGCCAAGTAGGTCGATCACAACACTAAGCAAGCCCCCCTACTTGTGGGTGGGGTTGTCTTGAAGGTGACCTGTGAAGTGCCAAGTACAAAAGGTGGGACCCAAGTACAGTGTGCAACTGGTCGCGAATAACTAAATACATGTTTTGCCAAATCAGAGTCCTTATATGTCTAGCTCCTCCTACTCCCAGATATACTCCTCTATGGTAGATCTGGAGTTACCGTATACTCATTTGCATACTCTTTCTGGAGTCGTTCATATCCTTGGTCACGTGGTCCATGCGGCCATTTCCTGCAGCGTACTAACCGTGCGATCATGTAATGGAGTATCGAATTGCACGATTAGTTGCAGGCCGATTCTGGACCCACGGTGTGCTGCCTGCGGCTCCTGGGCATGCCCGAGGACCAGGTGGCACACATGATGGCGCTAATGCAAGGTACTGGGGGGTTGATTGGCTCCCGGTCCCCGCCCCCCGGCTTCCTCAGCGTGGCACCTTGTGCCTCGAGGTCCGTAACACGTATGCTTCTGCAGTAGTGGAAAGAGAACCGCGTTAAGACTAACACCAGTATGCGACCCATGAACAAGTTCAAAGCCAAGCAGTATATCGCGGGAGTTCCAGTCTTGCAGTCTTGATCGGTAAAATACCCGATAACTGCCATACAGGCCTGGCGAAAGGGTGAGGTCCAGCAATCTAATGCAATAGTGAGCTTCCCACCCTCAGGTAGCGTTCGAAGGAGACTCTATTGCAGTTCCTTAACGATTATCTGTAACCAGCGGCGGATAGCAATCGATGTGGTAATTTCTGGCATGGGGCAAGGCGGATTGTTCCAACAATTTCAACTAGAGCGCGGACTGGGGGTATTTAACAATCTTGTAAGGTTTTAGAGGAAGATATATCGATATTAAGGCAGACTTTTGCAGTGCGAGATGTGCCTAATGTGAAATGATATCAGTATAAGTTTTAGGTAGATAGAACTTGTCAGCCGGCCCCTCGTAGAATGAGTCTCCGAATATCTTTTCCAGTCTGTGGCGTCTCCTTCCGAAATTTAACATTTCGCTGGAATTTTTTTTTTCGTAGAAGATGTTCCTCGGCGATTAGCTGCCTATATTTAAGGGTATTATCGCATGTTTTGTACATACCCTTCAGTTCCCCGACTGATAGAGCAGGAATTTGGCGAAAATCCTTCTATAATTTCGCCGTTCGTACCCCCCGGGTATTCTCGAAGCGATTGGGGTTGATGCGGCTACCAATCTCAGTTCTCACCCACCACGCAACAAATCCATGGCTCACCACCACAGAACAAGCACTTCTTTCTTAGGGTCCAACGCGCTCACGGATCTTCGCCGGGATGCTGAAAGGGAGAGTAAAACCTACTATCGGGTATAGAATCAGGAGTGTCGCCGTATGTAGCATCAGGAAAAAGGGTTGGACGCTAACGGATGGAAGGAAAGGGAGATTATCTAGGGTTGTATGCTCAAAGATAGATAAGAGATAGTGGTCGAAAAACTGAGAGTTGACTCAATGACATAATGAATTAAATAATATGGGTATAAAGGAGTAGGTGAGCTGGGGAGACTGACAAGAAGCCCTATAACTACTAGGGAAAGGGTTAGGGGGAGGAAATAAAAGGATATAGTGGTCATCGCGAGCTATTTGAAGACTAAGTCTACTAACGCTACGCGTGATACTTAGGTACTAAACCACACCGCCAAGTTCTGTCAGATTCTTCCCAAGTCATCTATTTTAGGCGGCGAAAATAGTTAATATTAATACTGACAGTTTGAATCGTAAAAGCCTGTAATACTTCTAAGAGCTATCATTTCCTTTGAGCTTAATTCTTTGCTTCTTTGATTCGGTTTCTATCATGCATAATTTTTCAAGTAGTTCTCCCGAGGATGACGAGGCTGTCCTTAAGTCCTTAACCACGTAGAAAACTTATATTTCTCTATAGTTCACCATAACCCTACCTTCAAAGACTAAAAATAAGATTGAATCTAAAGGTAAAAGTGATACTGTTGTGATAGTTCTGCCTTGAGGCTATTCCCACTTCTTGATGCCCCAGGCTTCGGAGCCATGGGGATCCTGCGGGAACGGCAGCCTTTCGGCAGGAAGTCACCGATCTTTCGGTGGCGTAGCTGAAGGGAAACTTTGCATGAGGGGTCCACGCCGGCTTGTTACACAACCTCGTATTCTTCTGTGATCTCTCCGTCCTAGTGTTTACTCCTCCTCCTTATTTTTGGAGAAGAGACTGTATATAAACATAAGCTGTGAGGGGTAGGCTTCGAACTCCTTAAGAAACAGTCTCTGAACCAATACGACTGGGTGCCTTTTTTCTACCTGGTTGACAGGTCTTCTACCATGCAAGTAGATAACCATATAACAGATACTTCTGACCTGAATAACTGAAAAAGAGACTGTTACGTGCTAAGCGAAAAGAGAACAGAAGGTTCAATTCGGCGCTACCGACTAAGAATCAAGCCTAAGGAGAGAAAGGAGAAGAAGAGAACTACGGCGGTGCACTCGGGGCCTTTTGTATACGTCCGGCCTCAGACACCCTCTTGCTCCCCTCCAGCAAACTTCCTAATCCGGAAACCCCTGACGCATCCAAACAAACAAACCAGTTCGGCAGTTGCCTTCCCAAGACTCGTAACAGATGTAATTTCTTATACAGGGTAACTTACCGTAACTACAGTCTACGATGGTAGAGGTCGAGACCAGAACAGTGTAAATAGAGTAGTTCACGAGTTGGCCACTCCCAAACACCATACTAAATGCGATAAATTACAACTTCATATCTCAATAACTATATCTAGTTAGTATAAGATATTACGCATATATACTTTAGATAGTATTTATAACCTACTGGTGCAGTATAGAAAGATTTAATTAAGTATTAATAGAGAGATATATATATATATATATAAATAGTCTAAAACGTCAAAATTACGCCGTATTTTATAGTAAAATGTTGAAATAACAGTCTAAATGGCTTAAAATCTAGATATGCCATTCCTGTGCCTACAAGTATGCATATCCTAATATTTCAAGAGAAATAAACCCGTGGTGGTTGAAATATAGACGAATCAAAATATGGCATTTAATATGGTGTTTTGGGGTGACCGACCCGCTTGTGAATTACGTTGGTTAATAAAAAAAAGATAAATCAGGAAAGTTATCTATGCAAAATAGGAAACTTCTTGGCAACATTATGTACTCCAGGTTCCGACAGGTGCGATCTGGGAAGAGGCATGGCACAGGACTGGTGAACATTCATGTGCCTAATGCGTTGATTTTCGATAACGCCGGAAAAAGGGAAGGGACGGATAGTGACCCTGGTGTGAAAATAATTGCCTTCAAACAAGCGACGGGCACCAGAAATGACAGCATTGACGTTCTGTGGAGCCTCATGCTCAGCCAATCTGTCATCAATTCTTCTGTTGTTGCCAGGCTTCAATCTAGAGATGTATCGAATACTCAGACTCGCAAGAAAAGATTTTATGGTTTTACTCTCTTCTCCATCGAGCAGTCACATTCCTAGAAGACGCATGGATTGGGGACTGCGGAATAGGGGGCGAACCGTGGATACCCCCGGCTGACTCGTGGCAAATGACGTAAGGTAAGTTAACCAAGTAAGTTAAGGAGATTGAAGTCTATCACTAAGCGGGCACGCTTTCTGCCCTGACCATGGAATAAATGGATCCGATACCCGGAAACTGCCACTCTGTCCATTTGCACTCCCATCCCCCAGAACGACGTCGTTGAATTTGTGAGATGGCGTAAAGGCTCCTCTGGTGTGATCCGATTGTCGCGCCGCTTGTTACTGACGAAATCAGTAACTCCATCGCCTACTCGTATCATGCCCAGTTCAGACCTCACGCCGGCGAGACCTCCGCCAGATGGACTGGGATCCAACTTCGTGAACCCGACTAGCTGCGGTACCAAGTTTATTGTCGTCAATTGCATTTTCCTGCCAATTGCCTTTATTTCTATAGTAATTCGCGTGTGGACTCGCATGTTCATCACTCGTGAGTTTCGCTTGCGTCGGGATGATGGTGAGTACCCCTTCCCAAGATGGATTCCCGATTCTAATTGATATAGTTCTCATGATCGCCGCATTTGTACGAATCTTCCTTACCACCTTGAATTCCTAGCTGACCTAGTCTAGGTCCTCTCGAGCGCGTTGAGTGCTGTTACACTAAGGAGTAAGTATCTGCACTATTTTATGGAGCTCGCTGACGGTGCTAGTGGTTAAATTGGGAATGGGGCGTCACATGTGGGATGTCCTCATGAGCAATTACTCGCCAACACTTCTCCAGGTGCGATGATACGATCACTATACTGATGTTTTTGACAAAGGACCCTGACGATGGTCTAGCTCAACCTCTCTGCTGCAATCTTCTACAACGCTGGGACTGGGTTTCTCAAGGTCTCCGTGTTGCTTTTCTACATCCGTATTTTTCCGAGCCGCAATTTCCATATTGCTGCCTGGGTACTTATTTTTATTGCTGCGGGATACAATATCGCAGGCGTGCTGGCCAACATATTCAGCTGTAACCCTATTGCCAAAACCTGGGACGTGCGCATCGTCCACGGCACATGCATCAATAGACCGGTCTTTTACTTTGTCAACGCTTGTCTAGGAATTTTAACCGACTTCGCGACTGTCCTTATTCCAGTGTATGTTATCAACCCCGAGCTGGTGTGCTGATCTGACTAGCTTTAGACCATGGATACGGCGGCTGCAGCTGCCTCCACGGCAGAAGGTTCTTGTTCTCTGTATTTTAGCTATGGGGTGCTTGTGAGTTCAGCTCCATATCAGTGCTCAACATACATTCTAACTAGTGCAGCGTCGGTATTGTCAGCTGTATTCGCCTCTACAGTCTATATACGTTTTTGAGGAACGATGATTTGACCTGTATGGCGCCAACAGTTCACGGTTGACAATGGCGCTGACCAAATTAGGGACTTCTGTCGACGCTTTAATATGGTGCCTTGTTGAACTTGACCTAGGAATAGCAGGAGGCTGTGTGACAGCTATGCGACCGTTCGCTCGAAAGTATTTCCCCCGACTGCTGGGTCTGTCGCCACACGGTACCAGCGGTGACGACCATCCTTTGCCATCCGACCAGAATTTATATCCCCTGTACTCGGTTACACGTACTGGTCGAGCAAGACTGTCGTCCCTGAATTACCACCTCTCTCCTAAATGGGGGCCAAAGGGAGACAATTTGAGTCAGGAACAGATTCTTCCACCGGCAGCGGAGTAGGACGGGAACAGTTTCCTTCCTGCTTCCATCGGCTATTTATAGCCAATATCGAGCTTGCCTTTCGGGAACAAGAGGCGCTCTGGCTATCTGCTCTGATCATACAGCGGCAACCCAGTGCTTCAGTTCCGCATTTCCCGCTACAGAACAACCTAATACATCGTGAGTAAATTTATATATGAGGAGAGGTGCATTGGTGGGATGCCATGTTGTTCTTTGTTTACTGAACATCATTTAAAGGAAAACTGTTCCCCGAACCGCATCCATCACACGATTCTGCGGACAAGGAACAACACCCTGACTTTCCGGGACCCAACATAAGAACCTCTGGAACTATTTTTGGAAGCGGTGGGGCTGGATTGCTTGTATTCGGCTGTGATTCCATTTGCATCCCTGTGGGCCCTGCTATAAGCACATGTTGCGTGCGTACTAGATGGCAAAATTCACCACATCAACAATCAGCTGTAGTGTCCTTCAATGCAGTTGTCCAATGCACCTACTTCTCCTGGTAGGTTCCGACTACGCATTTTGACTATGAGCCCGACAAAACCGTTCTTGTTAAAATTAGCATCTTCTTTCCTTTTCTGTACGCAGCCACGGGACCCTGCGACAACCTCTTCGAGTTTCTCGCAGGGTCCTGTGGCATCTCTACTGTATTGATCTCGCCGATTTCTCAATTGATCATCAGCCTTTCTCGAGGTATATTTAACCTACCTCCTCACCTTACATCCTCTTGCTCCCTTCTTCAATCAATTTATATTGTCAATTCATTTCAATTGGTTCAATGCCGTGTAGATTTCTCAACTTAGTAGTAAGTTGTCAAAGCAAGGTGAGACAGTATAGACTAGTATGCATATTGGCGAATGAGGTCAAGCGAAACCAACATCAGATGGATACGATGGCTGATTGAGTCAAAATAGAAGATGCCCTGGGGTAGGTTGAAATACCCCCTGAATGGTTCTGGTGGTTACGATAGCCAAAATTACCAGTAATACCACGTTACTATACAAAACATGCGGAAATCTGGGTTCAATCTGTAATCCTCCTGTCCCAGTGGTAAGTTACAGCTCCATTTCTTTGACATACAGTGGCGCCGCAAAAGTCTCCGACCACCCCTTACCGACCGCCTACTTTCTGCCATAAATTCTGCCGCACTAAAACCTCCAAATAATCATAATCAAATTGATCCAATAACTAATATTTAGTATACCAGCCATTTGATGCAATAATAGCCTGCACTCTACGCGGCATACTCTCTGATAGACTCTCTAATATACTAAGATCGATCTGCTGCCATGCCTCCTTCGCTGTATCGATCAAAATAGCTAGAGTAGTATCATTATTTGGCATAGATAGTAGATCAGGCCGAATTTCATAGATCTTTTGCTTTAGTAGGGTCCACAGATTCTCAATTGGATTAAGATCCGGTGAGCAAGGCGGCCAAATCATAATCTCACGGCCTAGATTTGCTACAAATTCGCGTACGATCTGTGCAGTGTGCGTTGAAGCGTTATCTTGTTGAAAGATTGAAGTCGGATCAACTAGTAGAGTTGGTAGGATTCGTTGATATAAATCAAGAATAACGAAGCGATTTATACCTTGGCGAGGTGATTCTGGATCTCCATAAAGAGCTACTAAGCCACTTCGACGAAGCGACCCAGAGAATGCAGCCCAGAACATCTGTTTAACTTGGAATCCGCGATGTAGTACTGGTTGAACTTCGCCTTGAACTGCTTGGTCGGATGGGCGAATAAAGCTATACGCTGGACGAAGTCCAATACCTCGCTCAACTGTACACTCGTCAGACTAGAAGACTCGGTCAAAATCATCTTTAGTGTAGTGTTGATACCGTGAAGCCCAAGATAATCGTGCAGCAGCGTGCTCGGGTTTAAGATATGGGCGTTTCATAACTCGCCATTTCCGGAGACCCTCAACAGAGAGTAATCGCGCGATAGAATCTTTCTTGCACTTATGATTCACTTCGGAGAGTAAATCATCGTACGAGACTCGAGGGTCTTCGTGAATCTTTTGGAGGATCTTTTAGCGGTCATCGTCGTTTAAGATCTTAGGGCGCCTGGATCGCTTTAGTGACTGTTCCTTATCGCGAATTCGCGACTGAAGGCAGGTATATTTGATAGTCGAGAGTGGGATATAAGGGTATTTCTTATGAATTTGCCCATACGACCACTTTGCTACATCTTTCAATGTAACGATTTGGGTACGAAGATTCGCGTCTAATTCGCAATTCTTGCGTCTTGGCTGTGCGATAGCAGGAGATGTAGGTTGCCTAGGAGCAGTAGGAACTGGTCCTCTAGGCGTTGGAGGACTAGGCAATGGTAAACCAGCCCTTGTGCGAGGCATATTATTATAGTGAATAAGGAGAATATTATAAACAACGCGATGCGCGACTACGCTGTTCGCGTTCATGGGGTTTCCTAGGCTATATTAGGTAGGCGGTGTTGGCAAGCGGTCAGGGGGTGGTCGGAGACTTTTGCGGCGCCACTGTAAGTACATACAAAATCATACTGTTTTTGCTTGGTCCAACAAGAACTGTCCACGAGACACGAGATTGCGGTTGAAAGGGTATTGCGATAACGTAATTCACGGCCGAGCTGCGCACCCTAAAATATGTAGTAAATGCGATAAACCACCAATTTATATCTCAACAGCCATATGTTATTTTTAATTGAATATTAGCATATGAAATAACATATTTAGGTTTGGGTAATTTAGCTGATTATTTCGATGTTTTACTATAAAATACGCTGTAATTTTCACGTAGGGGACGTAAATATATATATCTCTATTAATACTTCAACTAATTTTCCTATACTTCCCTAGTATGTTACTAGATTATATACTTTCAATATCTTATCATAAATAGATATGGTTGTTGAGATATGAATTAGTAATTTATCGCATTTACTAACTATGTGTTTTGGGGTGCGCAGCTCGGCCGTGAATTACGATAATTAGTTAACTAGTTAACGAACGAAGTTCCCTGCTGATCGGAACACCTGGTCGTGCGGAACACCCCAAAACATCATACTAAATACGATATTTCATAACTTCATAATTCAACGCCCAAGGCTTGCTAAATAGTCTTAGAGTATCTTAGTGTTTAATATATCGTACTATATATTTTGATTAGGTCAAGAAATATTTTGGGGCGTGATAATGTAGGTATATATATCTACGTCACTCGATCGGAGCGTAATTTTGGTAATGCAAGTAACTAATCATTTCCTGAATATATCAGCTGTACTATACTGTTTCGAATACTAAGAAATTATATCCAACTAAAAATCAAGCTAAACTAACTCCTCGTTGTGGATATATCATGATCTGAGAAATCGTATTTAGTATGATGTTTTGGGGTGTTCCGCACGACCGGGTGTTCCGATCGGCAGGGAACTACGTTAACTAACTAGTTAGTTATGTGGAGACGCTGAATCAGCCTGTTCAAAGTGGACCCACGTTTCGCACTTATTTCCGCTTTCACATGCATTATTACGGGGAGGTCGGAAGCGGAAACAAAACGGGAAGTCAGAAGAAACCTTGCGTGCAGACTCTGAAAGGCGAAGCCCAATAAATGAGGAATTCGGATAATAATACGAAAAAGAATTGCCCCAGTGCTACAGTACCTAAGTGGACTTCCATCAGCATTTGAACAACGGTACTGTATCACGCACTATTACACCCGGCCGCGTTCTGAGTGAACGCGCTATCCCGAGGGTTATACTACGCCTATTACTATATTCTGAATATAGCAGAGCTATGTCCGCGTGGGAGACTTCAATAGCTACGAAGGCTAGCAAAGGATTATTTTGGGATTTTACACGCAAATTTACAGACCCGTAGGGTTTGCATATGTGCGAATCTTCGCCATTTAAAACCGTGGGAGAAGGAAAGGACCCTGGATGATTGAGTTTTCCTTTTTCTACTAATATAAGGCTTTCATTTACTAATAAAATCTTAGGTCCATGGTGTACTGCTGTTTTCTTAACTGTCATACGCGCAAGAGGTCCTATCAATACCCTGCATACTTTGATACACTCCATGACACTTGTGTTAATGAGGATCTCATTGGTCGAGTATTGGCTGGACGCAAGGCAAGCCAGTATGAAACAACCATTAGACAGCGTCAGCGATCTACTACAGGGTAGGAAGCATTTTTTACTAGTGGCATCCTATAGACTTTACTAGTGAAAAATTATCCGAGGCCCTCATTCGGAAGTTCAAAACTAACGACGGCGTGTGCTAAAATAAGACCAAGCTGTAAGCTGGTTTATGGGCAGGTCAAATACAGCTTGAGTTATTCAGTAAATAGATAGTTGCTAAGTAACAAGCCTAGACAATCGCTGGTCCAGCAACATACTTCGTGACATGTGCCAATTCAATAAATGTGAACCGCTCGGAATATTTCTACCCGCGTCTGATCAGTCAAAGGGAAATATTAGATCCTGATCTCTTGAAGCTTTTAGTTAATCAAGGCCTACCTCATGATAACAACGAGATGTGCCAATGCATTTACTGTACAAGAACTGGGCAACCAAAGTGGGGTATGTTATATCCCTGTTTTGCCAGTGAATATCTAATAACTTGCTGGTAAAACAGATGAGATACATCCATCGGACTGGTAAAGTACGAAAGCCGCTTGGTTCTTGTCAGGTGGAGTTTGATACCTTTATACCAGTCGATCTAGAGCATTATCCCATCGCAATCTTTTGGTCAAGATGCACACATAACAACCCCTCTGCCTCCCCCTAAAAAGCTGCCACATGAGTTGATACAGCAGATTTATTATTACTCATTTGGTTACAGACACCGGATCTGACATTAACTAAGTGCAAGAGTGATGTTACCATTAAAGTACTACTATTTATCAGTAAAAGGTACATTATGACAGAGCACCGAGCTTCATGCGTTTGCCAGAAGTACTGTAAATATACCCTTGCTGGTTTACACCAGAGCTTCGCAAATGTAGAGCGCTTCTCTGATATTATCGCAAAGAAACGAGCCCTCAAATACCCATGTGGTAGACATCTTTCTGGACTCCATCGCAAAGCTCGAATATGATCCAGGCTTCAAAGTATGTAAGAATATAGGCATTTTACCGGTAACACTAGCGTTTTACTATACAGAATAAGCATGGCATGTTTATCTTTTATGCACTTGACGAGAAGGTAAAGAAGCTAGGAACTATTACGACATTCGAGGTCGATATGTCATAAACGGGTGAAGGGGGTCTTCAACAAGGAGATATTTGCACGGCTCATCCCAGAGGGAAATGTAAGTTATTTTTCATAGATTGCCTTGGTCTTACTAATAATTTACTAATAGAATTCTAGTCACAACACTTCTTCGTGTATATGTAGACCGAGATTAGTGATGATATAAATTCCTCTTTGCTCATGCACTTGATCTTGTCAACAAACTAACCGACACGGACCTTAAATTTTACTATCTCCATGGTAGTGGAATCACGTTGATTGTTGCTGATATTTGTCCCAAGAAAATGAAAATGACAGGTGTGTTCCCCTCTTTACCCATAGTTTACTACATATTAACTAGTAAAAGGTGTGCTATGCGAGCAATTGGATGGCTATGGCATGCAATGAACGTTCTCGTTTTTTTTTCAAGATTCAGATGAGGCTGCCAAGAGGCTTGTAGCCGATTACTAGCTCTATCAGACTGCGAGAGGCATGAAGCCTATATAAGGCTGCTCGATCTAATTCTAGGTGAGTTCCTACCTTGACCTTTTTACCAGTATATTCCTAGTAACATACTAGGTTTCTAAAGTGGAATAGATCTTGTTGGGTGGGTTAATCACTATATTGATGTAATAGCGGTATAGCTCTGTAGAGCCTGATAACCCATGCCGATAAAACTTTCTCAAGGTGGAAGAAAACACGTAAATGCGGTAGAGAAGAGCCACTGCAAGGCTTATCATATGGATGTGCAAGATTCGTTACTTCAGGTTGTCATGAAGTAAGTTATACTAATAACTTATTATAATAATACCAGTAAAACTAACTTTGAACCAGGCCCCGGCTTCTCGATGAGGAAGATCTGAAGTAATTCGAAGGAAAAGATCTTCTTGGTATTCGCGATCAGTAACGTGGAGATGGATGGCATAAAAATTTGTCGCCTTCCCGTATAGCCAACTTTCTCAAGCAGCAAAATATCCTTCTGTTGTGTAGTGACATGGCATAGAAAATCGGTCACCTCCGAATTCAAATTTCTAGCGCTCGTTCATTGACAACCTAGCTATATTGCCTGATATTACTGGCTCTCCGTGCCGGCTGTCCATCCCCTGTCTTGACTTAAATTATCTGGGGTTTTCCGCCCCCTGGAGTGTCGAAACATGCACAGTAGCAAACAGGTCTTCCTTTTACGGGGGATAGATTCGGATAACAGTAGAAACGGAGATAACAATCACAGTTTTTCACTCATTTGCTCTCATGCATCCATTTCTGGATCTTTATCTCCATCTATTCCTCCAGCTTCATAACTGTCGGATCCCATGATGCAGCCGGACTGTATTCATCCGTCTCAAGCTCCCGTACCTCCTCGGGCGTCAAGTTGAAATCAAACACACCGGCATTCTCGCTGATGCGCAACGGCGTGACACTTTTGGGTAACGGAATGAAGCCCTTGTCCAGACTCCAGCGGATGAGGATCTGAGCCGGAGTCTTGTTGTACTTGTCTGCCAGTTTTTTGACTGACGGCTCCTCAAAGCGGGTTCCGCGCACAACAGGGCAGTATGCCTCTATGGCAATACCACGCTGTGTGCACCAGTCGACGATATCCTTCCGGCCCAACCACGGGTGGAGTTCAACCTGGTTTATGCTAATAATACCTCCCTTCCCCTTGCCCCCGCGCTCAGCCTCCAGCTCACCGATATGTTGCTCGAGCTCCTTCAAGTGGTGCACGCCGTAGTTGCTAACACCGATGGAACGCACCTTGCCTGCCTCAGCTGCCTCGACCAGCTGGTGAAAATATTCTATGTTAGTGGGGCATAAAGACCGAAGGGAACAGAGGCGCTGCTTACCGCTTTCCACGCGCCCTTGCGATTCTCTGAACCGCCCATAGGCTTGTGGAGGAGCATCAAGTCGATATAATCGAGCCCGGATTCTGCAAGGCTCGCGTCGATCTGAGCTTTGGCTTGATAATAGCTGATGTCGAAGACCTTGGACGTGAAGAAGATCTGCTCACGCGGGATGGACGAAGCACGGATGGCGCTGCCACAGCCGGCCTCATTAAGGTAAACTGCTGCTGAGTCGAGCTGTTGTTGATATCAGAGATATGGCTTGATGATATCCCGCAGGGACCTGTCTGCCCGAACGGAACCAACCAGGAGTAACCCACATGGCAATAGCCGGCTTTCAAGGCTTCAAGGCAGCATCGTTCCGTCTCCTCCGGTGGACTGGGTAGAATCATGTCAGTCCTAGAGGGTGCAAATGGAGAAGTGCCCAACAGGATTATTACGTTTGATAGACCTGGTTTTTATCTGTTAGTCTGAAAACAAGGATCATGGTTTTCAGGCACTGCCTACTCCGAAGCCCAGGCGGGGAATTTCGTACCCGCTGGCAAGTTTGATGGTGGATGTGATAACAGCAGCCATTTCCCGCCCAGGTGTAGTATTTAGAGTCGTAGGGTTGGAATGCCAGGAATGGAGCGCACGCCAGGTGAATTGGGTCCTTCTATATTCACGTAACCCCACTGTTGTGATCGGTGATAATTTGACTGCCTCCGCTTAACTCCGATGATTCTTTACTACCTCTTACTTGCGCGCACCGTGTAGGCGGTTGTTCATAAGTGGAAATGCAATCTAGTCACGCCGATATCACCAAAAGCGGTTTAGGTTCCGAGGATAAATGTACTGCGGCCCCGAGTATCCGTGCCGGGTTAACGCCTTAAGCATCCTTTGGAAGAGAACCCCACCTCCTCTTCCCCTCAAAACACCATATCGGCCGAAACGGATCGAGAGGTCGTTTTGACCTATCTACGATACCATGAAATAGACTAAACATGCCGGCCTTTCGTTATTAAACCTTGGTGGAGAACCATATGTTGGCCATATTCTCTGCACGGTACATGAGCGGACCATATGCGTCGAGTCCATACTCATAATGGGTGAGTATGGGTAGGGTTGAGATGAAATCGGGGTGGCGCAGACGTCAAGGAGCGTATGTATGACGATGCCCACACAGCTCCATTCGCATTTGTGCTAGATGCGGAAGAGCGCGGAAGAATACAGGTAAACCAAACTGCTTGCGTTGGTTTTACGGCAGTAATTATGTGTATCTTGCATACCTGGTAGAATAAGTACTAGGGCATCCGCTCTATTCTGCCTGCTTCGCTGGTGAGGGAGACAGACCTTTTATAATTGATCTTCTTATGGGGACACAAACAAAGACGTCGTCCTACATACCACGCTTCAGTGAGCAAAGCAAAAGGGAAAACGACAGAAAGCCAGCCAGCCAGAAGAATGAGTGCAATCAGTACCCCTCATCGAAAATCATAGTTAGTTTTATTGACAGTATGTACGTAATAACTATTACTAATAGATCTCCAAAGATTTGAACGTGGACTAGTAGCACCTCATTTTGAACATACAATCAAATTCAATCGTGAACTCTGGCTTCGGTATCAGGCACTTTAGATATAGAAAAAAGACTCAGCTCCCGTCAAATCAATACCCTCGTCAACGTTACCCCTTGCCCAGGGGAAGGGGGGGAGGGGGGATAACAACGTCTCATCCTTGCCGAGCTTAACTGCCATGGGCCTTGGGGTTCATACTCCAACGAAATTTGCTGTTGTCTGTATCACCATGAGCTGCGTTGGGTTCTATGGGCTGTCCACTATCTGGGTGAATGCTATGGTCTTGGCCTAACCATGACCCAGATGCTTGGGTTTATTAAGGGGAGGAGACAGGAGGGCAGCATTGAGAGCCAGAATAATTCTGCGGTTCTTTGACTTATTTGCCTCATATTGCATTTGCACAGGACCAAACAAAATGTATCACCTTCTTAATAGCCCCAGAACCGAGTTACGTTAACAGGGCACAGCTGGTGGTTGATGGAGCGTACACCCTTGTTTGTTGGATAGAGGATGCCCTGGGTCTGTGAATAATGAAGTCAGTTAGCAGTTCAACTACCATTGCAACTATATTCCATTTAATTAGACCTTTATGGAGGCACGATTTTGTCATTTAAAAAATTTGTGGGGCTTGAGCGAATGTGGCTAAGCATGATCAATGAATGTGTGCATTTTATGGCAGGCCTCAAAGCCGGTCATCACAAGAATTATTGTCGTAGAATACGAATTCTCGGAGATAAAGTATCCGAAATGTATCTACTGATTCTTTATAGTTTAATCAAACATTACCACGTAACCACCCTCATCGTAATTGTTGGAAAGGGCATTACTAGGCTCTCACGACACAGAGAACTAATTTTCGTAACCTTTTAGCGCGACTGGATTTGGCAGCTACAAATGGCAGACAATTCCATGCCTAGGGTATGTAGAATTGCTCCTTTGGCAAAGACCATCCAGTTAGAATACGATCCAAATTCTATTACACCTCACTGGGTAACTAATCTAATCGATATATTAACTAAACTAAAAGCGTTATATAGGCGTCAAGGCAGGCATCAAAGTCATCTATAGCGGCCGAAGAGACTTCAGGGGCTTCGGTGCAGGTGGCCCAACGAGCAGCCCGGAGGCCGCGAAGTTCTTGAATTCCTGGCTAGCAATATGCTTCTCAAAGCCTCACGGCCGGTATATTTCTCGTAGACATGGAAAGTATCCGGATTGATATTGCCGCGCGAGGTAACATAACCTGGAGTTCCCGGCTCGTTGAGTGTCAATTTGAGACGGCCAAGAAGATGACGTCCAACTTCATCACCACCATTCCGCACGGCACAAACCTAGATAAAATCAGGCTGTTAGTAGAGGAATGATCGAAAAGCCAAGGAATAGCCACTGACGGTAGCATATAGGACGAACTCATCCTTAGGTAAAACGGGGAACTGCATATCCATCCAGGGCAAATTATGATTCGGTCAACGAGCGGTTTTGCTGTGAGAAAGCGAAGCCAACAGTATGAATTCTTTTTCTTAAATTAAAAATATGATCTCTAATTATATTCTACACTGACTATTTTTCCGAGGGTACTGTTGTGAACTCAATCTCTCGGTAAACTATTTGTCTTCGTGTGCCCATATCACTACGATGGAATTGAGGGGTTTCACTCACCTAACTATCACTTGACATCAATAGCCCGTGAGAAATACTTACTCGAATTATACTTCGGTATTGTCAGGTATAGAAATACCAAGTTCCATCGATTATTAATTCATGCATAATCAGCTACCCCATGCAGCGTCTTCTTCCTACAGCAATAGACTCTACAAGATCTACAAAGCGTTACAGGACAACTAGGCCCAATAGGAAGATTAGTAACTGCCATTCCTGATGTACTAGTTACTATTACCGTAGATACTAGCCCCCCCCCCCCCCCCCCCCCCCCCAAAATAGCTCCCTAATTTGCTTCATACATGCGCAGGTTACAATACAGTGGGAAACCCGACATAAGAGAGGCCATAAAAGGCATCGTCTGCTCATGCAATTCATCCAAGATAACCGTTATCCCCTCTACCGTCTCTCCAATCCTGAAAAAGGAACAGCAGCAGCTGTTATCACAGTGCTGAACGAAGCAGCTACCATCTGACTGTATACAGAAGCTGTGCCGGAACTATACTGACGCCATACCTCTAGTCATTGAAGGTGCCGTTTGATAGTTCCTTTTGACCCACCCTCTCAGGGACGGGTGAGATGCAGAACATGTTTCTTCACGGATTGGGACCAGCGCTGTTGGTGGCTGCGGTGGGCCTTAGCGGCGTCGCGGGTGAGAACTCTCGTACATTTTCTATGCTGGAATTGGAGCATAGTCGATCTATCGCTCCCCCTGCACGGCCGTACAACCAGCTGGGTTCCACTCCGTCCAGCACCAAGTCCCATTTGGGCTGCAAATGCTTCCCTGGCGATGATTGCTGGCCGCGACAATCAGACTGGAACAGACTCAACGCTACCGTCAATGGTCGTCTAGTTGCAACTGTCCCTCTGGGCTCACCATGCCATTACCCTCAGTATGACCCAGCCAAATGCGCTGATCTACGCGATAAATGGCTCTACGCTCCGATACAGTAAGTTGGAGATCTTAGTATTTTCATCCCCGCCTTCCCTACTTAACGATCATCTTTCCTCCGCCATAACCATCGTCGCATGTTTGGCATCGCATAGTTCCTCCACGTCATGACTGTATGAGCCTCAGCACCTCAACCTGTGGCTGACAAATATTCGTAGCTATGCCTCCTCCTCGTCCGTCATGGCGCCCATATTTGCCAACCAGAGCTGTGATCCCTTTCAGCCTCGGGAAGGTTCCTGTACACTGGGTAACTATGTGCGGTACGCCGTCAACGCGACTAGCGCCAGTGACATTATGTCTGCGCTTGCTTTTGCCAAGGAACACAATATCCGATTCGTGATTCGAAATACGGGACATGATTTTCAAGGCCGATCAACTGGTGCTGGTGCCCTATCTGTGTGGACGCACTATATGAAGCATATCAAGGTACTGAACTGGAATGATACTTATTATAATGGCAAGGCACTTGAAGTTGGTGCTGGCGTGCAGGGCTTCGAGGTGATTGAGGCGGCACATGCTGCTGGTCTTGCCGTAGTTTCAGGTGAGTGTCCGACTGTTGGTCTGGCTGGAGGGTACACGCAAGGTGGCGGTCACTCTGGTCTCAGCACCGTCTTTGGCCTGGGTGCTGACAATACTCTCTCGTTTGATGTTGTCACGCCGACCGGTCAGCTTATGACGGCCTCACGTACTGAGAACCAGGATCTATACTGGGCTTTAAGCGGAGGTGGCAGCGGTAACTATGGTATTGTCGTTTCCCTGACTGTCCGGGCACATCCCGACTCTATGGTTAGCGGCGCCGAGTTTATCATTTCGGCCTCCGGAGATAAGTTGTACAACGTTGTTGATGCCTTCCACGGCGCTCTGCCTAAGATTGTTGACTCCGGCGTTATGGTTCTATACTTCTTTGGTAAAGGATTCTTGCAGCTTTCAGCTATGACGGCGTATAATAAGACCCGGGCCGAGGTGGAGCAGATTCTTCAGCCTTTTGTCGATTCCCTGGATAATATTGGAATTGCGTTAGCGCCTAACCTTACCGAATATCCGAACTACCGTCAGCACTATAACCATTACTGGGGACCTCTCCCCGTGGGCAAGACTCAGGTTGGCAACACGCTCTTTGGTGGCCGCCTGATCCCGCGCTCTGTGCTACCTGAATTCTCTCCGACTGCCCGTAAACTCATCGACTTGGGCGTTACCGTTATCGGCGTGGGTCTCAACGTGTCTCATTTTGGCCTGGACAATGTCAATGCTGTGCTGCCTCAGTGGCGTAACTCGATAGTCCACGCCGCACTTACGCTACCCTGGAGTTTCCAGGCGTCATTCGAGGACATGGTTGCCCAACAGGACAGGATAACGAATGAAATCCAACCCGTTATTGAGGTTACTACGCCAGGTGCTGGCGCGTATATCAACGAGGCTGATTTCCAGCAGAAGGACTGGCAGGAGACCTTCTTCGGATCAAACTACCCGAAGCTGCTGAAAATTAAGCAAAAGTATGATCCGGACGGCATTCTCTACGATCGGATTGCCGTGGGCAGCGAGAAATGGACTATCCACACCGATGGGAGGATGTGCCCAAGCGGGTAGACCTCTACATAGCCCGCAGGAACCCGCAACGGGTTATCAAAGAGAACAGACAGAGAGGGGACCAGAATTGCATATTTCATGTTGTTTTTCCCGCATCTTTACGTCTTCTGTTTACAACTTAGTAGTAGGGCAGTGGAAATATAGCCAAAAATCGCTACGTACTCTCTTAAATTGTCCAGTGATATGGTTCACTCCAGTTATTACGGTGATTTCTGAGGGTACGATTGGAGGAAATAACTATGTTCTTTGCTACTCCGGCTTCATCCGCTGTCAAACTATATTTGTACTCCATAAACTCAAATTCACTTCGCTGTCACAATATGGATCAGCTTGTAAACCAGGTGATTTCGCTTATCGAGATTAAAAGAGGTGCCCGACCCAGGAGAGATACATACTGAGTGAGCCATGAATGGCATCGTACGCAAATAAATAATAAACTGAGACAATTACGACTCCGAATGAGTCAATTTCAGAAATTTGTAGGAATGTGCTTTGGGCTTAAAAGGTTGATAACGGTAGCATGGACTCTATCTCAGGCAACCGCCGGAATGGTACGGCTTGAATTGAATTTTGCAGCAATGCATGTAACGCCAATGTAGAGGGTCGGCTAGTCTTACGGATTCAGGTAAGTACGTCGAAGTCCTAGATCATGTATCGAAGGTCAAATTGGCAGTATTAGTGTCCTATGCACGTCGCTGACGAAGGACAACGCTGAGCTATCTTGGCCCCCAATTTATTCCAATCTGAGGGCAGCTCTCCCTTTATACCGATTGGCTTTCTAGATAGGCAAGTTAGCATTTAGGTAATATCGCCATGACTATGCTTACTACCCACACTCTGAAAGACAGCTTCCGCCTGCTCCATCGGAAAGCATTGTACTTCAGCCCTTATTTGCTTCCGCGCTGCAAGGGCCAAATCCTCCTGGACATCTTGAAGGGAAGTCACCCGCATTGGTCCCTGTCACCACACATCCGGTTTGAATGAATTGAAAGGGTTGGACGGGGATGTCGAGTGGTTCGTGCGCTTCAGAAGGTTTGCCTAGTTAGTGTCTTGGAATTGAACCAGTGTTTGCTTTACTTACACAGGCCAACAGGAACCAGCGTTCCCCCGATGCCAAGCATTTGTGCTCCCTAATACAGGAAAACTCAGTTAGGGCGATACAGGGAATGAAGAGATTGAAGATGAAATACCTGCTCATATGCGGAACGGCTCGCTGCGGTAACAATAACCCCAGCCACGCCGCAATCGGTGAGGTCAGAGACGGCACGCACCACATCCTTTACATCGAGGAAATCGATGAAAACATCAACTCCTAGTGAAAGACACAGTGCTTTCTTGTCTTGACCTCCATCGATACCGACAACACGCATCTCCATGGCCTTGGCAAATTGAACTCCCCTGATAGGTCTCAGACTATGGAATACAAGAGGTCAAGCGCGGTTGAAGACTTACAAGTGACCTAATCGACCTCCGGCGCCGAATATCACTACCCATTGCCCAGGCTCTACCTTCCGAGTTCTGATTCAGAATTCTGATTCAGAGTAAGCTATGAACACCAATAGAGGAGTGATTTTGGCTGGTTTACTACCTTTAGGGCCCCGGTACATGGTAATATCACCGCACAACATTGAAACTACTTCCACAACAGAGACTTCTGGCGGGATAGGGGAGGTATACCTCGCAGGAGAGACAGCATACTGTTGAAATGAACCCGGATAGTGGCCTGTGCATTTTCAAATAGAACTTTGCATCTTAGACTGGAAGGAAATGGGTCTGGTTCACCTTACGTCCAAAATGCTCCTGCCTCGGGCAATAGTGGTCATTCTGTCCGCGGTTTGTTCGTAAGTCGAAAATTCCCTACTGGGCTTTCCTCAAGACTTACCCCTGACAGGCAGTACTTGCAAGAACCACACGTGTTGTGAATCCATTTTGCGCCAACATAGTCGCCTGGCTGGAAGTTTTTGACGTTGGCACCGACTAAGTTAGGATGTCAGGGATTGACTTCAATCCGGCTCACCGACAGGGGGGTTCCGCATTACCTTCTGTAATGACACCCCCCCCCCCCCCCCCCCCCGGGGCCCATGGACCTTAGCGAGCCGTTAGTTAAAAAGAAAATCAATCGAAGACGTAGCAGGGCCCGAACCATTGTTCCTTGGAAGTGAAGACCAATATTATTCCAGTCTCCATAGATTAGGGACACGTCGCTATGACAGACGCCAGAGTGAGATAGTCGGATTAGAACATCGTCCATCGTCTATTCCAGGCTCAGGAATGGTTATATCCACTATGTTGACTGTGGCGTCGGGGCCCTGCTGGGAGACAATCACTCCCTTTTGCGTCCTCTTCAATTATGGGGACTGACATGTTTGGTGTTCCAAATTATTGCACAGCCTGTGGTAAGATATGAGCCTCGGGTCAGGCCCCCTTTACCTAGATATATTTAACTGCAATCCTGTTGTGTAGGTAGCCATGGCCATATGGAATTCTTCCGCATTAGTTAACCATAGACAACATGAGAATGGACTTGGCCTTGGCCATTTGTGGCAATGGCGTTGGCTCCTCTTCGCTCCTTCAGACGGTCTTCAGGCAAACCCCCGCTCCTTACCCCTGCTCCCCACCAAACACGCCCCATTACTACCCCCCAAAAGGGGCTGCTGTTTCGAATAACTACTATTCTCACATATATTTAGATAAAAGCCAAGACTTCCTTCAATAGTAAGCCGTCGCCGCAAGGCACGAGTATAAATAGTATACGTTGACTCTTGACAATGTTACTTATAAATGCGAGAGTCGGGAAGCACTACTGCATTCGTGGGTGACTGATTTCTAATATACAGCTTCGCTACATTTGTGTGCTAAACTTGAATGGGAAGGGGGAATACCAAAAGTCACTGCCCACCACACGGCCTACATGACAGCTCACGACTTGGGAAAAGACATGAGACGGAGGGATTGTGGATTGTTTTTAGGCAAAAATTATGAAATTCAAAATTGAAATTGAGTAGTGGAAATATACTGAATAGATAACGAAAATGTCAAATTGTTATTGCCGGTGAAAAGAGGCGAGACTATTCTTTTGCGCACCCACTGGCAGACTTCCTCGTCAACCGCCCGGTGAGTAGCTTATTAGAACACCGAAATTTGCGACTTACATATTACATTAAGGTGGATAAGAATTTTACGCATCTTGAAATGTCCAAAATAGGATAATAGACGTAATCCAGAGGGGCGAATGATTGAGGGTATTCACCAGCGGGAGATTGACTATAGAAGATGAAAGAGCAACAAGCCTACAGTTGGTTTCTCGGGAACACCTATAGCTGCTGGGCATAGTCGCTGTAAAAACATGACGAGGTAAAGTCGTAAAGGTTTAACTAGTATTGCCCGAAGTCTATGAGAATCGCTTTTGTTCGATGTTCTGTTGCAAGGTGCTCGGCAAGACTACATCAAAGTATCGAATATGGGATATTGGTGACACGGGGCTGTTCTTCTCCACAAGGGCAACCTTTAGCAAGTCCGCGAATCGGACACGCTAAAGGCTTCTAATTAATATTCTACCCTTGAATAATAGCTTCATAGCTGCAGAACCAAAACTGTGCCCATTTCAAGCTCACAGGGACTTTCCGAAAACCTTAAAGCTGCCTTCAAGGGGAGTAAAGGCCTTCTCACCCGAGTCGGTGGTAGAGACGCCAAAGACCAGCTGTGCGTCAAGCTTCCACGAGGTGGGGAGGCTCCAAGTCTTCTGAATCTGCTTGTCAATCAGGAGGCTATAGTGCTGGAGATTGGCACCAAAGCCTTCGGCTTCGAGGGCGACCCAGACTATTCACAATGAGTGTCTGATATGTCTAGATTATTACGGACACTAGTTGGAAAAAGTGTAACATACCGAGGTACTGAGCCATAGCGTTCGACTCCATGGCAAAAGGATCGAATTTGTCAGCATAGATACTGAACTTCTCTTTAATCGGAGCCAAGGAATCATAGTCGACAAAGAATAACACCTGGCCCCTTAGCACCTACTAAAGTCCTTTTCTAGAGAAAAAGAAGAAAAAATTATCAAAACTTACAGTTCCATAAGCAGCGCGGAGTCCATTCAGTTTAGGTTTGGCTTGCGTCTCAAACATCTCCTCAGGAACTTGGCCAGCAGCAAGCAGCCCTTCCATGGCATTGATAGCAATGTCCCACGCCTTTTTGTGCTCCTCCTTCAAGAGGAGAACTACACGGGATGTATGGGTATTGAAAGAGCTGGGCACATGAAGGACAGAATCCTGGACTATTGCCTCAATGGCATCGTCGGAGATAGGACTCTCGGCCTTCAGATCATAGTACGTACGGAGGGACCTGGCCAGCTCAAGGAGAGTCGTGGTGGCGGGGTTCTTGAATTCGACTTGGATAGAACCCATCTTGAACGTTCTTGACTGTTGGAATGGTTGTACGGGTAATGTTGGGAATCGCTTCCGGGTTAGCGGTCGAAGAACAGACCTATTCGGTCATTAGGGATGACAATGCCTATATATCAATTTACGGCAAATTATCATCGTACCTGACTATCATTCACTCGCGTTGATTCTTGACGTTTCCAACTGGGTCCAATAACGCTTTTGGTGCCCTGCTCATCCCACTAATGTCCAATTAAATCGGTGAACTTGGGCTTCTCCTATTGACAAGGAGTTTGCAAGCTCGGTGTTAAAATTTTAAGCTACTGCTGGTGAAAGAAATTGATTGTGGAGCATTAGAAATGTGGTGCGAAAAGGGAGTCGTACCATTATTGTGCCTTGTAGTATTTATGGTAAAAACTAGCAGCTCTAGTCGGAAGAATACGGCTGTTGGCAAAACCAATACCGTTATGATACTTATTATCCACGGATCTGAATCTGAGCCGTCAAGTTAAGGCACTTGTTCTTGTTGGGGGGTGATCATGCCAATTGGACGCTGAATGGCAAGAAAACGGCGTGCCTTCCACTTGTCTGGAAATTTAGATATGGCGTGAAATACTAACAGTGGTAATTCAGGTTGAGAAAGATATATAAACAGGCTCATTTATAGGACATCATTGTCGGAAGGAGACCAGGCAATGGGTTTAGGTGTTGTGGTGGTTGGGTTGCACTTGGCGAACTACTGGCTAATACAGTAGAGCATTCGGAAAATTTCGGACGCGCCTCGATATCCATGCAAAATTAGAATCGTCTAGACTGTGGAACGCAATGACATGGATATCCGAAGATGCACAACCAATAGTGATATTCCTTCCTTAGCATTTGGGGTCTTGCCATAGTGTATATCGACAATACTTCTGAACAAGGCCTACCAAGTTGTCTCATTCTTCCGCTGCTTTCAAAATGCTGGAGACCAGGTAACTCTTGAGGAGAAACTTCCTGACAAAAAGATAAGGATAAGACCTTTCGGGAATGCTCTGGAATCCTGGCGCATGTCGCATCCGATAGGAAATCTCCTTCATAAGATCAGCGATTCATATTTCTATTACCAGTCTCAACCATTTGCCCTTAGATATGGATCTGGACCATATTATGTAGAATGTGGAAACGATAGCCCGTGCCAGAGACAAGAACGTAGGTGGAGGCCGTTGTCTTTGAAGACACATATTTCCCTTGACAATGAAGTGCGATTTACATGTTGCCTTTCGCCTACCACCAGCTCGTCCAAGAGAACAAAAGATGTCTCTCAGATTTGTCTTTAGCTAGTTGAGTCTCGTGGACTTGGGCGAGCCGACCCATTCTCTCAGCGCTTTAGCCATTGCCGTTTCTGAGGAATGCTTGTTATAGAAATCATCACGCTTAACTCATGGCGTGACCATGTAACTAGAGGCATCGCAAATATTTCGACGCCACACGGAGGGAGGACCACGAAACGTAGTTGCAGTCAGCCAGGCCACCACAGGTCTCTAGGTTAGCCTGCAGGTAATTGGTCGTTAGAATTAGAGATAGAAGATTGACTCTAGTAGTGATAGTCTGCATGTTGCTGATGGCGAGGGATTACGACCAATGAGCCCACACGGATCCGCATGTACCAGTAAGCGGAGAATGAAGAATTCATTCTCGGCTAAGAGTTGAGAGGATAAAGATCAAATTTGAACCAAACCTTCGCAAGTATACCTGTAATATATTATGAAGTTTAAATCGGCTATGAACTACTAACATTGACGTAAAATGGTGGGTGGAAGGTAGTAACGTTAAAAAACTTGTAGTTTTGAGGTCAACTTTCATTTGTGGGGCGATCCTTACGAGGGTCTGGCGCGGGACCGTATACGTGCTTCTTTCCAGCATGGCCCTAATAGTCCGGATAGTTGTGACGTCAAAAGCGGAATCAGTTCGGGTTAGTTTAGGTTGGTTTAGTGTCGGAAATTGCAATTCCGACCAAATTTTAAACTCTACAATTGAAATGCCCCTGGTTTTCTTCGCCCCACTCCCGTATTGGGCCACGGCCACGGCCACTTCCCACAAGGGGGCCGGAAACGAAGTCCACCTGTTCACTATTTTGCAGGGCAGGGGTGACACGGACCATGGCCAAGAGAACAGGAGGGAAAATAGTACGCGAAGAGAAATTTACAAGAAGCATCCTGGGTAACAGCTTTTAATGAGAAATACCGATGTGTTAATACGGGGAGCTCACCATGAATACATCCAGCATCGCTGGTACTTGTTCTTGATATACTCAAAAAGTCCTCATCGATTTCTATCGCCCAGGTCATGATTACAAGACTCATCTCGTCAACTGTGTCAATGTATATCCCCAACCTTTACGGAGGTCCATTTCAAAAGTCTTCGCCTGCCAAGCCTTTTTTAATACTAGTCCTATTTTAGCGTCGTCTTCGTATGTAATAGATCATATTCCATTTTACCCCTCCCCCTAAATCTTCTTCTCATACCCCTCCAGTCATATTGACCATCATGATCTCTACACATGCCTCGGTTATCACCCTCAAGACCATTGGGAAGACTTCTGCAGAGGTTGCAGGGCTCCTAGAGATCCCTGTCCGAACAGTTAATGATATTTATGCGCGTGCAATCAAGTGTGGTTTTGACCCGAATCAACGACCCTGGGATATTCTTGATACTATCCTCTTTGACGCTCCACGCCCTGGTCGGCCTAAAAAGCAGGTACAAGATGCTCAAGATAAAGTTTTAGCGAAAGTGCGCTATGATCGCTATGGAAGAGAGAAAACATGTGCTGATATTGCTGGGGAGCTTAGCTCCGAAGGCATCGAGATCTCTGCTACTACAATCTGGCGGATCCTCCGGAAAGCTGGCCTAAAGAAGACAAAATCGACGAGGAAGCCTGGATTGACACAGAAGATGAGGAAAACACGTCTTGATTGGTGTATCGCCCATCGACATTGGACCTTAGATGATTGGAAAAATGTGATCTGGTCTGACGAAACATCGGTAATCCTTCTTCATCGTCGAGGAAGCTATCGAGTTTGGCGAGCAAGAGATGAACGATTTTTTTCGAAGTGTTATCCGTGAGCGATGTAAAGGAAGCTCTGAATTTATGTTCTGGGATGTTTCTCGTACGATAAAAAAAGGGTCTTGCCATTGCTGGCTTCCTGAAACTGCTGCTAAGAAACAAGAAGCTGGAATAATAATCGAAAAGCTTAACAAAGAGCTTAGAACCTATTATGTGTGAACAATGGGAGCTTTCAAATGGTATACAACGCCTTCATCTTCGACAACTTCCTGGACCGAAGCCTACCTGGCGATGGAATCAAACGACTGGGAAGCTTTCAAGGAGCAAGGCTAAGGGAGGCATTGAGTAGTATCGTTATCAGTCAAAGATCTTGATTCCAAAGCTCTTTCCATTTGCAAAGGAGTGCATGATTAGTCGACCTAACACGATTGTTCAAGAAGATAAGACGCCAGCACACGATCATCACTTCCAACGGAGAGTATATGATATATATGATGTTCAGCGGCTTGTTTGGTGCGCTATCTCACCTTATCTCAATGCAACTGAGCCTGCTTGGCCATGGTTAAAGAGATACACCACTAAGGTTGCACCTAAGAGCCGTGCAGAGGCGATTGGATCATGGCGATTGGATCATGGGAAGGTGCATGGTCTGCTCTACCACAAGAGGCCATCCAAAAATGGATTGAACGAATTCCTAGGCATATAGAGGAGATTATTAGGTTAGAAGGGGCAATGAGTATGGAGAAGGTCGGTAATGGTGATACTATATTAATTTCGGCTAGTCCTGATTATGAGTAGGCATGTAACTAGCGTGGGCAGAGACTTTTGAAATGGACCTCCGTAGAAGTATCCCAGCGGGCGTAAGCCTGCCAGGAGGATTATGATAGGTATGATGTATCTAATGCTGTCAAACAGCCTGAACATCGTATGGCAAGTGGTGACTCTGATCAGGGCATTTCTTCTTGCAGGATCGCCTGTAACCTTCTGTGGAGAAACAGCATTGAAGACGGGCATGCTAAGTAAGTAACCCTAGCCTGGCTATTTTGAATTAGGTTGCAGTCCCGCTTCACCTTCACTTCCCTTGTCCTGAGGTCTATTCTAACCTAATGAGCTTAATTATCCACTCTGAATCTAGTGAACGGCTATTGGAAATTAACTCTTTGGGATCTAGACATCCTTACTGTCTCATGTGATGAGCTCGAACGCACCATTTAACAGACCCCGCCGATAATATGCTAAATGTAGCGAACAAGAGGGGATATAATCCTCTATAAATTCCCCAAGAAGCCGAAGCAATACGCAGGTTTTAGCGAGTACAAAGCTCGAACGCAAAGTTGGAAATGGATCCAGGGGTATGGATCTGGTCTGGTCAGTTTCTTCAGCTTCATCGTTCTATTTGAATTCAGACCCTTTGTCCAGAGACTACGTACTGGGTTCATCCTCTACATGCTCGACAATCTGATAGGCTGTTTACCCTTTGAGATTGTTCAACTATTATGATTACAACCTCCCTCCTAGGTATCAATATTACGGTCTAAGTTGCCACTACTATTTTTGCTAAATTCGGCCACTTTGCTTTCCTGTCCCAAGTTGTTATGGCAGCGTTGAAAAATCTGGCAAGACTGGGTTGACCCAATATGGGAAAGGGGATTGATCTGATATTTGCTTGGCCTAGTTTGCCCTTGGCCGTTTGGAGACTCCACTGACTTTTGAACAATTTGGACGTAATTTCCTAAAACGGCAGATTTTATTTTCCTTTTGTCCTGCTTGTTTCTTACGACGGAAGATGCAAATGCTACTATTTACACAGAACGGAGAGGAAGTTAAAAAACTATAGGGAAAAACGGAGAGTGGCGCAACAATAGTGATATTGCACGTCGTTGGAGATGATGTTCAGATGAAGGAGCACAAGCTTGACAACCTCGTAAGTTAAAGTGTAGAAAATGTAACAAGTGACTTTGATTGATTCAAGTCGTTT